TATAAAACTTGTTCTAAGCGGATTCTACAGTAACCCTATCTACTTGAGAAAATTTTTGAAAAAAATTTTTTGAATATTTTTTGGGACATGGAAGACTCAGAGGGGTGTTTCTCCGCGAATACATGACAGATTTGGATATACTATAGCTCATTCGAAAGTACATTAAAAACAGTCTATAAAACTTGTTCTAAGCGGATTCTACAGTAACCCTATCTACTTGAGAAAATTTTTGAAAAAAATTTTTTGAATATTTTTTGGGACATGGAAGACTCAGAGGGGTGTTTCTCCGCAAATACATGACAGATTTGGATATACTATAGCTCATTCGAAAGTACATTAAAAACAGTCTATAAAACTTGTTCTAAGCGGATTCTACAGTAACCCTATCTACTTGAGAAAATTTTTGAAAAAATTTTTTGAATATTTTTTGGGACATGGAAGACTCAGAGGGGTGTTTCTCCGCGAATACATGACAGATTTGGATATACTATAGCTCATTCGAAAGTACATTAAAAACAGTCTATAAAACTTGTTCTAAGCGGATTCTACAGTAACCCTATCTACTTGAGAAAATTTTTGAAAAAAATTTTTTGAATATTTTTTGGGACATGGAAGACTCAGAGGGGTGTTTCTCCGCGAATACATGACAGATTTGGATATACTATAGCTCATTCGAAAGTACATTAAAATTTCTATAAAACTTGTTCTAAGCGGATTCTACAGTAACCCTATCTACTTGAGAAAATTTTTGAAAAAAATTTTTTGAATATTTTTTGGGACATGGAAGACTCAGAAAGGTGTTTCTCCGCGAATACATGACAGATTTGGATATACTATAGCTCATTCGAAAGTACATTAAAATCAGTCTATAAAACTTGTTCTAAGCGGATTCTACAGTAACTCTATCTATTTGAAAAAATTTTAGAAAAAAATTTTTTGAATATTTTTTGGGACATGGAAGACTCAGAGGGGTGTTTCTCCGCAAATACATGACAGATTTGGATATACTATAGCTCATTCGAAAGTACATTAAAAACAGTCTATAAAACTTGTTCTAAGCGGATTCTACAGTAACCCTATCTACTTGAGAAAATTTTTGAAAAAAATTTTTTGAATATTTTTTGGGACATGGAAGACTCAGAAAGGTGTTTCTCCGCGAATACATGACAGATTTGGATATACTATAGCTCATTCGAAAGTACATTAAAAACAGTCTATAAAACTTGTTCTAAGCGGATTCTACAGTAACCCTATCTACTTGAGAAAATTTTTGAAAAAAATTTTTGAATATTTTTTGGGACATGGAAGACTCAGAGGGGTGTTTCTCCGCGAATACATGACAGATTTGGATATACTATAGCTCATTCGAAAGTACATTAAAATTTCTATAAAACTTGTTCTAAGCGGATTCTACAGTAACCCTATCTACTTGAGAAAATTTTTGAAAAAAATTTTTTGAATATTTTTTGGGACATGGAAGACTCAGAAAGGTGTTTCTCCGCGAATACATGACAGATTTGGATATACTATAGCTCATTCGAAAGTACATTAAAATCAGTCTATAAAACTTGTTCTAAGCGGATTCTACAGTAACTCTATCTATTTGAAAAAATTTTAGAAAAAAATTTTTTGAATATTTTTTGGGACATGGAAGACTCAGAGGGGTGTTTCTCCGCAAATACATGACAGATTTGGATATACTATAGCTCATTCGAAAGTACATTAAAAACAGTCTATAAAACTTGTTCTAAGCGGATTCTACAGTAACTCTATCTATTTGAAAAAATTTTAGAAAAAAATTTTTTGAATATTTTTTGGGACATGGAAGACTCAGAGGGGTGTTTCTCCGCGAATACATGACATATTTGGATATACTATAGCTCATTCGAAAGTACATTAAAAACAGTCTATAAAACTTGTTCTAAGCGGATTCTACAGTAACCCTATCTACTTGAGAAAATTTTTGAAAAAAATTTTTTGAATATTTTATGGGACATGGAAGACTCAGAGGGGTGTTTCTCCGCAAATACATGACAGATTTGGATATACTATAGCTCATTCGAAAGTACATTAAAAACAGTCTATAAAACTTGTTCTAAGCGGATTCTACAGTAACCCTATCTACTTGAGAAAATTTTTGAAAAAAATTTTTTGAATATTTTTTGGGACATGGAAGACTCAGAGGGGTGTTTCTCCGCGAATACATGACAGATTTGGATATACTATAGCTCATTCGAAAGTACATTAAAATTTCTATAAAACTTGTTCTAAGCGGATTCTACAGTAACCCTATCTACTTGAGAAAATTTTTGAAAAAAATTTTTTGAATATTTTTTGGGACATGGAAGACTCAGAAAGGTGTTTCTCCGCGAATACATGACAGATTTGGATATACTATAGCTCATTCGAAAGTACATTAAAATCAGTCTATAAAACTTGTTCTAAGCGGATTCTACAGTAACTCTATCTATTTGAAAAAATTTTAGAAAAAAATTTTTTGAATATTTTTTGGGACATGGAAGACTCAGAGGGGTGTTTCTCCGCAAATACATGACAGATTTGGATATACTATAGCTCATTCGAAAGTACATTAAAAACAGTCTATAAAACTTGTTCTAAGCGGATTCTACAGTAACTCTATCTATTTGAAAAAATTTTAGAAAAAAATTTTTTGAATATTTTTTGGGACATGGAAGACTCAGAGGGGTGTTTCTCCGCGAATACATGACATATTTGGATATACTATAGCTCATTCGAAAGTACATTAAAAACAGTCTATAAAACTTGTTCTAAGCGGATTCTACAGTAACCCTATCTACTTGAGAAAATTTTTGAAAAAAATTTTTTGAATATTTTTTGGGACATGGAAGACTCAGAGTGGTGTTTCTCCGCGAATACATGACATATTTGGATATACCATAGCTCATTCGAAACTACATTAAAATCAGTCTATAAAACTTGTTCTAAGCGGATTCTACAGTAACCCTATCTACTTGAGAAAATTTTTGAAAAAAATTTTTTGAATATTTTTTGGGACATGGAAGACTCAGAGGGGTGTTTCTCCGCAAATACATGACAGATTTGGATATACTATAGCTCATTCGAAAGTACATTAAAAACAGTCTATAAAACTTGTTCTAAGCGGATTCTACAGTAACCCTATCTACTTGAGAAAATTTTTGAAAAAAATTTTTTGAATATTTTTTGGGACATGGAAGACTCAGAGGGGTGTTTCTCCGCGAATACATGACAGATTTGGATATACTATAGCTCATTCGAAAGTACATTAAAAACAGTCTATAAAACTTGTTCTAAGCGGATTCTACAGTAACCCTATCTACTTGAGAAAATTTTTGAAAAAAATTTTTTGAATATTTTTTGGGACATGGAAGACTCAGAGGGGTGTTTCTCCGCGAATACATGACAGATTTGGATATACTATAGCTCATTCGAAAGTACATTAAAAACAGTCTATAAAACTTGTTCTAAGCGGATTCTACAGTAACCCTATCTACTTGAGAAAATTTTTGAAAAAAATTTTTTGAATATTTTTTGGGACATGGAAGACTCAGAGGGGTGTTTCTCCGCGAATACATGACATATTTGGATATACTATAGCTCATTCGAAAGTACATTAAAAACAGTCTATAAAACTTGTCCTAAGCGGATTCTACAGTAACCCTATCTACTTGAGAAAATTTTTGAAAAAAATTTTTTGAATATTTTTTGGGACATGGAAGACTCAGAGGGGTGTTTCTCCGCGAATACATGACATATTTGGATATACCATAGCTCATTCGAAACTACATTAAAATCAGTCTATAAAACTTGTTCTAAGCGGATTCTACAGTAACTCTATCTATTTGAAAAAATTTTAGAAAAAAATTTTTTGAATATTTTTTGGGACATGGAAGACTCAGAGGGGTGTTTCTCCGCAAATACATGACAGATTTGGATATACTATAGCTCATTCGAAAGTACATTAAAAACAGTCTATAAAACTTGTTCTAAGCGGATTCTACAGTAACCCTATCTACTTGAGATATATGTATTATCCTAGACAAGAGCCATAATTTTTCATATAAATACAAATAAATATTCAACAACTTTTTAATTATTTTTAAAAGATAAAAACAACATATAATTCAAAATAATAAACCGGAAGGAGATCAAAAAACATCAAAATTTTGCGAAAAAAAATCTGTTTTCAATTTAGACAATGTTGAAAGTGTGTTCTTTTTGGATATGTCAAAGGTTTGGCCCAAGAGGTGACATAAGCTATAGATTCCAAAGTAACAACTTACGGACTTTAAGGGAGAACATAGCCAAAAAGAACCAAAAAATGTGTCAAAATGTATTTCAAAAAAATTTTAAATTTTTTTAAGTTCTTCCCTGAATTATACGATTATTATTATTACCCGCACAACGTTCTTCTAATAAATGAACTAATTTTTGCACATAATTTGGCAGTACAAGAACACCTTAAATGAGCATAATTAATTTTTAAAATCAAAAAATTTTTAAGTCGAGTAGTCGAAACCAGGCTGGGAGTGTCTTACGAGAATCGAGATTCGAAAAATTCACAATCTCGATAACCGAGATTTTCGATCGAGATCTCGTCTCGGTCCGGTCTCTATATTGTAGTCGAACCTTGTTTTTAGATACCCCTCTTAAGGATGGAAGTGTCATCTTACAAGAGGTAGACTTAAATAGAGGGTATCTTATGACAATGTGTCTTAGATAGAGCGGTTATGAGGTGGGTATCGTATGTTAAATTGGGGGTACCTTATAATGAGGTGACTTAAAAAGTACATTAAAATGAGGTTCGATAAATAAAAGATATCTTATACGGAGGTATCATATGATCGGGTGTCTTATAATAATGTGAATGAAGTATCAATTAATTAGGGGGTATAGCTTATTTGGCATTCTCCTAATCCAATGGCCGACCAAACCGCGGTTTTTCTAATTTTGAGGGTGCCTTATATCGAGGTTCGACTTTATAATTTCTCTCTCCCTTCCTTACCAACAATTCGTTGATTATTGTCCGTTTTAACCCTAACAATTTGAATTCTTCTCAATCTTTTTAATTTTCCAGAATCTGACAAAATTAATTCCAATTCTGGCCAAACACAAATTAAAGAGCCCGACAAAACAAAATATGTTCGAGATTGACGGCCAACTTCACAAAATATTCCTCGTTGTTGTTCAGCATTACATTTTCCAAAATAATAACGATGATGACACATTTTAGAAAATGCTTGAAAATAAAAATTTTTTTTGGTATTTTTGAAGATTGTAGAAGTGTTCGATCTGCTGAAAAAATGTCCGCAGAAAATGTTCGCAGAAAAAGTCCGCAATAAATGGGAAAAGTCATCAAGAGATGGCCGGAAATGAGGAGGAAAGTCCGCAATAAAATCCGTACAAGTGGGGAAAAGTCCGCAATGAAAGAAAAATCCGCAAAAAAAGATGAAAAGTCCGTAAATATAAGGAAAATCCGCAAGAAACAGGGAAAAGTCCACAAATAAAGAAAGTCCATTAAAACGGGGGAAAAGTCTGCCAAAAAAGAGTTTAAAATCCGCAAATAAAAGGAAGATACACAAATAAAAAGAAAAAAATCCGCAAAAAAGGGGGAAAGTCCGCTAATTTGTCACCCCCAAAAAACCCACTACACCTTTTACTTTTTAAAATATTAACCTTCCAACTGTTCTTTCCACAATTCTTCCCCTTCTTCATCAGATATCGGGTCAAATCTTAGCAACAATTCACTCAAAAGTTCATATTTTGGACTTCTTCCAGTATTAGGTCTCGTTACACAATAAAGACGAGGAGCCCCAGCAGGTGTAGTTGACATATTCCCCCCAACACCCATTCCAAAAATGAATGCAACACTTCTTTTTCCGTGTAAACCAACAGTTGAGGTATAAAAACCGTCTTTGTAACCCTTGTGTTTTTTGTTCAATTGTTGGACTTCCTCCCTATAGAATGAAAAATTTTTTTCAATTTAAAGATCCGCAAATTGAAAAAATTTTGTCCGCAAATTTAGAAAATTGTCCGCAAGTTTCGTCCACAAACTAAAAATTGTCCAAAACTTTTGTCCGCAACTTTAAAAAAATGTCTGCAAATTTTGTCCGCAAATTAATTTTTTTTCAAGTTTTTGAAGAAATTACAAAAATTTACAAACCATGAAACACTTCTCAGCAAGCTAATTTTGTGTAATTCAACAGTAAAGTCTCCAGTTTTCCCCGTTCCTTTAAACTTTCTCGATTCTTTCTTTTGAACTCGATCACATTCCATTCCAAGATCTATTGAAAAAAATAAAATAAAAAAATATTTTCTAAAAATTAAAAAATTTCGCAAAAATTTTCAAGCTTACTAAAAATTTAAAAAAAAAATTTTGTCCGCAAGTTTTGTCCGCAAATTAGAAAAAATTGTACGCAAAAAATTTCAAAAAATTTAAAAAAAAACCTAATATTCCCATATCAAAAGTTCCATCAACTTTAGCTTGTTTAATTAATTCTTCACAAATATCCGTAAAATATTGAAAAAGTTTGTTTTGTGCATAAACTGGGAAACCCAACAAACGATTAAGAAATTTTGGTATTGAATTTGAATCTCTTTCGATTGCATAACGTCCATTAGACAAAGAACAAATCTGCAAAAAATTTAAAAATATATTTAAAGAAGAAAAAATATTTTTATCCGCAAATTAAAAATATTATCCGCAAAGTCAAAAATTTTTTGTCCGCAAGTGTTGTCCGCAAATTAAAAATTACATCCTCTAGTTTCCCCCTCTAATTAAAATTTTAATAAGGAAATTTTGTCCGTAAATTTTAAAAAAAATTTTATCAACAAGAGAGTTTTGTCCGTCAATTAAAAATTTTTTATCCGCAAGTTTAATCCGCAAATTAAAAAGCTTATCCGTTAATTTTCATTTTAAAGGGTCTTATTAAAATTAATAAAAATATATTTGCAAATTTACTCCCTCATAATGAAAGCATCATGTTGTAGATGGTTAAGTCCCTGCCTTAAACATAAAAGGATAGGGGTTCGAACCTTTTTGTAGGAAAACATTTTTTAAATTTCTCAAAACTCGTCTAAAATTATTATTCCAACTATTTTGCTACCAGAAAATAAAAAAAAAAATTTTTGTCCCCAAATTTCGGCCGCAACTTGCAAAAAAATTTTAAGGGAAAACAACGCTAAATAAATAGGAGGAATATATTTGCAAATAATTTCTTCCATAATGAAAGCATCAATTGTGTGGATGGTTAGGCCCCCGACTTTAACATCAAAGGGAGGGGGTTCGAACCTTTTTGGAGGTAAACATTTTTATATTGCTCAAAACTTGCTAAAATTTTTCCAAAAAATCATCCCCACCCAAAATATCGACAAAAAAATTTTTATGTGCGCAAATTTTGTCCGCAAATTTAAATTTTAAGGGAAAATGGGAAAATCTTATAATTAGTAATAGGATGGAGGTTCGGACCTTTTAGGGGGGAAAACATTTTTATCTTACTCCATAATTATTCTAAAAATTCTCCCAAATATCCCCCCTAAAAATCCTCAAAAAAAAATATCCCCAAATATTTCCACAACCAAAAAATCCCAAAAAAAAATTTTTTTGATTTCCTTACCATTCCAACGCCTTCCAAATAAATTTGCATATCTTTAAAAAAATTTCCTCCACTGTCATAATCTTTTGGTGGTTGTACAATAGGTTCACACGCCCCAGTTAAAGTTCTCAATAAAACATTTAAAGCTTCCCTTCCATAAGTGTTATCAATATTAAATTGACTCAAATCTCTAGATTCTGTTGCACGTCTATCCCCTTGAGTTAGAGCCCCCAAAGATTCTAAACGTTTTGCTACAATTGAGGCAAAACGTTTTTCTCCGGCCAATTCAGAAATTAAAAATAAATATTCTGGAGCGCTTTCTTGGTTTGAACGGTGTGTACGGCCTTTAAGAAAAATTTTTTTAATTCCAAAAAAAATTTAAAAAATAAACCAAATTGTTGTATAGCCTTATCTGCTGACCAAGGCAACTCTAAGGTTATATGAACACGTCTTCTTCTGTTTGGAGCTCGTTTGTCTGACTGTTAAATGAAAATAAGGATATTAAATTCAAAATAAGAAAAAGGACAAGGCAATTTTAAAAGGGGAGCACTGTTTTGGTTTGAATCGGGGGATGACTCTGTCATGTTAAAAAACAGAGACGGACCACAGGAGTTAAAAAAGGACGGAAACTGGCATAACATTTTGAAATATTTGGAGGAGTGACCTTATTGAACTCCCAGCTCTTTTGTTACCATTTCATTTCTGAACCTATGAGATAGAAAATGAAGTTAAATTTTGGCAAAAACAAAAACCAAGGATGTCAGGGATTCATCAACGTTCTGAAAAACAGACGTTAAGCTAAAATAAAAAAGACGGAATTTTGTAGAACACAAGAGATACCCCCTCGAAAAATAACCACCCAAATAAAATAATCCACAAAAAACCTGTAAAGAAATCCCCGAACTAGCAGCTTCAGAAATTATCGCAACCAATTTTTCTCCTCTCATAAATTTATCTTTTTCAGCAATATTCATCATTTCCAAACAAATTTCAGAATCTGCAGTTCTCAATTCATATTCAACATCCCCAGTCCCAGCTCTAGCAACAACACGTCCACGTCTACCAGTTAATTCTGCAACATACTTTGGTCCACCAAGTAAATTTATTAGACTGTCCAAAGTGTTTGGGGGCAATAATTTGCCTAATCTTTCGATGGCTGCCAGTAAATTTGTTTTGATTTCTGTTAAATTGACACTTCCGTCATCATCTTCACATGAATCGCCTATTCCGTTTAGAGAATTTACAAATTCTTCTGCTGTTTCAGTACACTAAAATTAAAAGATTTTTTGGTTCATAGTACCTTTTGGCCTATAAACATCCTTTGATGGGAGATGGAAAAGACCTATCGTGGAATGAACCCAAACCAAAACCTAACAGCCTGTGCTACCTTCCAACGAGGCCCCCTGAAATCGACACGCTGGCTACGCCCTTGCCATCCAACCCGAAATTTTTATTCATTATAGAGAGAACACTGAACTTTTTCAAAACCCCTGGACTTCTTCATGGGAAATCTACATGTAAAGTACATGGCGGAATTTTCTTTCGAGGACCCATGAGAAAAACATCCAGTGATCCTTCCGACATGAAAAAAATAATAAATTCAAGATTTCGCGAATCGAGATGGCATGATCCAAGCCAAGTTCGGCCCAAGTTCGGTTTTAATCGGAAAAAAACCATGGGTTCAGGTAACACCTGGGCAATATAAGCGTGAGTTGGGAGAGGAAACAACCGATACTATTGCTCCAAAGAGAATTTATCCAAAAAAATTACAAACCGTCACATTAGATATTTCAGGTTTCAACAAAGGTATATGCTTTTTAACAAATTCTGAAGACTTTTTGTGCTTCTTTGCTTTCTTCTTCTTTTTTGGAATTTTCGGGATATTCTCAATTTCTGGAAGAGGTGTAGTATCTTCTGAAGTACCTTGAACATCAGCCCATGGGTCCTTAAAAATTTAAAAAATTTTGAAAAAATTTTAAAAATTCAAAAAAACCTCTTCTCCCAAATTTACAGAAAATGGATTTATTTCTTCATCGTTAGAAATCGTCTTCTTTGCTGGTTTCTTTGAATCTGAACAAACAAGACGTTCAAGCTCTTCTTCATCGCTATCAACATCCTCATCCTCTCCGTCAGATTCTGAAAAAGAATTTTGAGTTTTAAAACTAGTGAAAAAAATTTTTGAAAAATTTTCCGAACAAACAACACGCGCAAGTCCAAGTTTTTAAAGCCTAAAGAAACAAGACGTTCACATTCTTCGCAAATTTTGGCCGCAAACTATTTGCGGACTCAAGAAAAACTTTTAAAGGGGAAAACCTATTGGAATGCGAAAAAAATCCTTGCGGACAAAATTTAGCGGACTCCAAAAAATTTCTTTCTCATACTCTTTCGTTTCTTAAAATTTTTCTAGAAAATTTTACAAAAAAAATTGAAAAAAAAAACCAGAAAATTCAGAATTAGCTTCATCACTTTCTTCATCCTCATCTTTTTCCTCTCCACTCCCAGACGTATTAACTTCACTATAATCATCTTCATCTTCATAATCACTATTTTCCCCATCCTCATATTCACTATTTCCACCACTTTCACGTTCAGCAGTTAATCTTTCACTTAATTCGCTTTGAATTAAAGATAGGCCAGATTTTGATCTTTTATGCCCATATTCTTCTGAATAATCGCCTCCCGTAAAATTTGAGCTTCCTTAATTTTAAAAATTAAATTAGGAAAAAAATATTGAAATGTCCGCAAAAAATTTGCGGACAAAAAAAACTATTGAAAATATGTCAACAAAAATTTTGCGGATCCTATAAATTGTCCGCAAAATATTTGCGGACACCAAAAATGTCTGCAAAAAAGCAGCTAACTCAAAAAATTATTTATTGTTAGGTAGAAAAATGTCCGTAAACATTAGCGGACTCCAAAATTAAAAAAAAGTCCGCAGAAAACTTTGCGCATCACAAAAAATGTCCGCAAAAAACTTGCGGACTCCCAAAAAAACTTTTTTCTCCTTACTTTTTCTTTTCCTATGTCTAGAACTGCACAAAAACATCCTTTGAAAATCATCAATAGCACTACTATCATTATGTGTTGGAAAATGATTTTCAACCAGAGATTGTAAAACAGATTTGGCTGTACTAACAAATTCAGTAACTTCCCCATTTTCTTCCAAAAAATCCAAAATATGTGATTCCCCAGTTGATTGAAGTCCAATAACAACACATTTTCCATCTTTTATTGCTTGTAAGGATATACGAACACAAGCATCCACTTTAGCAGAAATACACAAATATTTGAAGAAGCGTTGATGTGCACCCCAAAAACGTGCCCAAATATTTTGGCGTCCAGCGCTGGAGTCGGGAATTTGGTTTAATGCTTTCTGAAGTAAATTTTTTTAGAGAAAAAATAATTTCAGGAAATTTTAAAAAAATTTGTTAGGCATTTTGGTAAATTGACCAAATAAGCATTTTTGGCTATTTGACCAAATGAGCATTTTGGTCAAGTGACCATTTTGGCACTTTGACCAAATGACCATTTTTCAATTTGACAAAATGAGCATTTTGGCCAAATGACCATTTTTAAGTGACCAAACGAGCATTTTGGCAATTTGACCAAATGACCATTTTGGACATTTGACCAAATGAAACCAAAAATTTTAATAAAAAAAATACCGCAAATTGACGTCTACACTCCATCCATAATTTAGCAGATTCGTCATACACATTGATAAAATCACGAGATAACGGAATTTCTTCCACATAAAAATCAGCCCCTCTAAACGATAATTGTCTTGAAAGGTAAAGACCGCGTAACTATAAAAAATGAAATTAATGACCCCAAAAAAGGAACTAAAATCAAACTTTAATGTCCATAGCCACCATTTCCATTGCCCCAACACCTCGGTTTTCTACAGAATGAATAAATTCTCCAAATGTTCCGAATGTCAATCCTGGACCCCAAAGTCCGAGACGGGTCATATAAGCCATATTTCTTGGTTCTAAATTAAAATTTGGTTTAAAATAGGAGATTCAAAATAATGTGTAGGGGACGGTTGCTAAAGGAGCTTTATTTTTCTTACAAAAACGGATCCCAAAGTAAAGGTCGAGATTTTAAAATATATGGGTAAAGGTCGAGATTTTAAAATTGCATTCTAAATTGAAAACCTGAACCAGATACTGGGCCTTTAAATGCCCAGGAAGCCTAAAAAGTGCTTGGATCTCCCCTTTTTGAAACTCCCTTCTGGGTGAAGTAATTGGTCAGTCTATTTAGTGGTACCCCATTTTTGCTGATTATCAGGCCTTATTTTCGTGTGCAAATCAGGAAAAATTCAAAAATTAAAAACCTGTAGCCCCCGTTGCGGATGCATAAACAATCCTCGCCGTAGGCAGAGCTTGTTGCAATTCCAACACAACTCTTCCCGTTTTTGTTGAACGAGTACCCGCTGAAGGACAAAGGTTTTTTGCTCTGTGGCATTCATCAAAGACCACAACACCTTCAAAATCCCTTCCACACCATTGAACAATTTGTTTAAGACGTGTATTGTATTCAGCACCTTTAGTAAAAGTAAAATTTTGTATGCCAACTGTTTTTTATTTTTCATCACTCCCAAAATTCCCCTTTGTTTGCCGTAGGCACCAAATCAAACGAAAATAAAAAATATCGGACTAATGGTCCGATGTTGAAAGTATGTCGTGGACGCCGAAAATTTCTTGCGGACATAAAAAAATTATTTGAAAAGTGTCCGCAAAAAATTTGCGGACAGCAAAAAAGTCCGCAAATTTGTTGCGGTCAAAAAAAACAGTAAAAAAATTGCGGACTCAAAAAATTATCCAAGCATAGGATCATGTAGATAATTTAAATCATGCTAGGGCAAACAGAAAAAATTTTGGGAAAGAGGCCATACAAAACCCATTTTAACCAACCTTTTTGATTTTTGCTTTCACCAATTAGAGAAGAATAGGTTGCAAAAATGATTCCTTTATTTACTGACCCATTTTCTGGATGATTGATTTTTGAATATTTCATTTTATTTAGTGCATGGATTGGAATTTTGGACGCTCCAATATCTCGCATGTCCCGTTCAGAGTCAAATTTCAAGTCGGAAGAGACGCTGACCCAAATTGCTTTTCGACGTCCTCTCAAAAAATTTTCAAAAATTATTGTGGCTATTGTTCGGCCTTTTCCGACACCTGCTCCGTCTCCTAGAAAAAATAGAAAAAAGATCATTTGGGTCAGGTTAAATAAACCAATTAAATATCCGCAGCGTTCTCCAGAAGGTAAAAATCTTTCGTGTGCTTGACATGCATAAAGGACTGCTTCGAGTTGAAGGGCAGAAATCTTGCCAGAATCAATCTGTAAATATAAGGGGAATTTTAAGGGTCCGGGTTTTATTTCTTCCTTATTTTTCTCTGATTCTCGTTGGCAAGGAAATCAAAAAGGTACTGAGGACCCGTGGTTCGATAAATGGCTCAAGGATCGACCATACAGCTCAAGGACCATGCAGGGTCTCAAGGACATTGTAAGCTGGTTGCCAACGAGGACAACTAAGGTAAAATAAGGAAAAAATGAAACTTGGAAACTTGGGGAGGCTGAACTTCTTCATCGAGGAGCCTGAACTTATGCATGGGGAAAATGTGAAATTGAGCAACACCCTAACATAAATTAATCTTATTTGATAAATTTTCGAGAGGTTAGATGATGAGAGGCTCCAATATGAGTGCTCCCATATGAATCTATTAAATCTTAAAAATATACCAATTCATCAGAAATAGCCAAAGTATAGCGTATCTCAGGGGATGAAACACTGCTTAGCGAAAGAGTCTCAACAACTTCATCTGGATGTTCCAGACCACAACGAAGCCTTGGAGGTTTGTAGTTAATAAAAGTATCAGATTGAGAATGTTGAAGGGTATCAGGCTAAAAAAATAAAAGAAAAATTATTATAAAAATTAAAAAAAACCTCGTCAAGCGAAGAAGTCTGTTCAGGATTGGATTCTGAGGTAATCAAATTTTTCCCGTCATTTGTTTGATGATTGGTTTTATTTGAAAGCATTCTAATTTAAAAATAAACTGAAAATAGAAAAAGAATGGGCAAGAAAGGTGAAATACAAATCGAGTTGGCAAATTTTTAACAAATAAAAAGTGAAAAAAAGATAAGAATTTTGAACAGTCACGCACCACAAATTGAAATTTCCTTCGACTATTTAAGAATAAATAACAGATATGACGAAATTCTTGTAGATTAAATAACTTTTAATGAGATTAAATAGACAAACAAAAAATAGCGAAGAGAGTATAGAAATAGAAGAGACAGGAAAAGAAAAAGTTTAGTTAAAGTAAAGAATTAATGGGAGTTGACAAAATAACATTTAACAAAATTAAAGTTTGCTGTAAATTTGTTAAACTTTAACTTATGAGTTAATTAGAGAACGAGAACAAAGAGAGATAGGGCAGAAGAACATTAATAGTTGAATAAAGTTCCCTTTACATATTTCACCAAAACACATTTTGCCAATAAGGCTAAAAACTTACTTTTTGTCAACTAGCTTATGACAAAACGCGGGTTTTAAGCCTTATTGGCAAAATGTGTTATTGGTGAAATATGTTAGAATTTTAAGTTCTAAATTTTTCCTTTTATTTCCCCGGGTTTTATTCATATTTGGGTATTTGTCATCAATTTTATAATTAACGAGCGTTTGTTCGCCGCTTCGCGGCGAACAAACGCTCGTTTTAATTTTTTGATTAATTAAAAAATAAAATCACTTATTAATAAAAGGTTTTTTTGATTAAAAAGTTGTTGACTTTTTTAACTTAGCTTATTTTTTCTAAAATTAAGAGAAGAAACTTTTGTTTTTTTTGATTTTTTGAAAAATTAGATTTTGATTTCTTAATTTCATTTTGAGCTGTTTAATGAAATAGATGCAAAAATTTCTTAATTTCGTTTAATAAAATTACATTTTTGAAAAATTTGCTTTTTGGCGTTTTGTTTGCACTTTTTTTAGTTTACTTTTCTTAGTATAAAAGCAAAGAAAAATTTGCATAATTTCATTTTTCCTTTACACTCCTTTTTCTTTTTATTTTCTTTTTTCCTACCTTTTATTGGTTTTTAATATTTTATTTGATTTAATTAATGCTTGTTTTTTTCCTTCATATTTTTTTTAAATACTTTTCACGCTTCTCTTTTTTAAATTTTCTGTTTTTTTTTAAATATTTTTTTGAATTCTGATTCTTTCAGTTCTTTTGTTCATTTTTTTCATTTTCCTAAAGTTTTGACTCTTTTTTTAAAAAAAGTTCAAATTTTTAATACAAAAAAATTTAATACAATAAATTAAAGGTTTTTTTTTATTTTCTTTTTTGATACCTCAGGGCTCCGTTTTTATATAATTTAAGGGCTTTTTTTTCTTGTTGGTTTTATGTTTTTTTGGGGGGTTTTCCTGGGGTTTTTAAATCTTAAATAGTTTCTCTTTAGAAAAAACCATTCTAAAGGCTTTTATTGACTCATTTAATTTTTGAAAAGTATTTTTCTTGTAAAAATCTGTAAGTCATTCTATTTTTTTGTGTGCTGTTGTTTTGTTGGCATTCTGTAAAAAATAGAGAATAGTTTTAATAAATTTAGTATACAAACAAAATTCTTTTTTAAATATTCATTTTTCCCTTTTTCATTTTTTTAAAAAATTAATGTTTGTTTCCCTGTTGTTTTATTGATTTAGTTTTTTAAAAATATGCTTTGTTTATATGTTTTTTTCGGTCTAGTTTTTTTGATTTTTTATGCAATTATTTAAATTTCGTTTTTTAGTTTTGTTGTTTTTTAATATTTTAGTTTTTTAAAAAATTTTCTTTTTTAAAATTTGACTTTTTGAAATTTTTTAGTTAATTTTTTTGGGTTGAAATTTTTTATCATACTTTTTCAAAAAAATCATTTTTAATGTTTGTTATTTGGAATGTATTTTTCCTTTTGACTTCTTTTTTTCCTTTTTAATTTTTAATTGTTAGTTTTATTTTGAGCATTTGAATTTTTGAAGAAACTTAAACTGGTTTTTTTTTGTTAATTTTTTTAAATTTGTTTTTTACGGATTTCGTTTTTTTTAAAAACTGGTGACTTTAAAAAATATGTGTCTTTTTTGTCGTAAAATGTTTTTGTTTTTTTTTGTTAAATTTAGTGAATAATAAAAAAGCATTCAATTTTTTAATTAAATATTTTTAATAAGTTTTTAATCGTCTAAAAATTTATTTGGAATTTTGATTTTTCCTTTTTAAAATAGAGTTTAATTTTTCTAAAGTTAGTATAAAAACAAAACAGTTTTGCATAAATTAACTTTTCCTTTTGCATTTCTTTAGTTTTTAAGTTTGATTTTTCTTTTATTGATTTTTTCTTTCCTTTTTCATTTGTTTTTAACCACTTCTTTTTCCGCGTTTATTTTTGTACTTTTTTGTATTTCCTTTAACTTCTCTTTATTTAAATTTTGTTTTCACTATTTTTTTAGTTTTTTTTTAATTTTGTTGAATTTTTGAAGTTTATTAAGGTCAGTTATTAAATGATTTATCAATTAAGATTTTGCCCGGCCCTGAAAAACTTTCTTTTTTTTCCAAAGAAAGAATAAATTTTGCGGACCATATAGATCAGTAGTTTTTTTGGTAAAATATAGGCAATTTCTTTCAAATTATTAACTTGTGTATCTAAGTTTTTTTCTATATCATCTTTTTTTTTGTTCTAATGTCGACCGTTTTTTTCTTTTTATGAAGGCCCCCGTTAGTTTCTAATCATTTAATAGTGTAGTTAATTTTTGTTTTACAATTTGCCTTTTTTTAATTGTAAGGTTGTTTCACCTGGAGCATTTTTAAACGCTTTAGCGGGGGTTAAACGAATAAAAAGAATAAAAGAAAGCATTTCAATAGCGGAGACGCAGGTTCGTCTCCTTTCCGGCGGCTAAACTTTTGCTTAATTTTTTAGGTTAATTTTTTGCCGTGTACTTTTTCAAAAATTTCAATTTTGTTTTTAAAATTCTTTTGGAGTTTTTTGCAGTTTTTTTTTGTTTTAAGTTTTTTTTCAAATGTGTAAATTTAAAAAATATTTTGGGAATTTTTTCGCGGTGACATATTTTATATTTAGTCTTGAATTTGAAACTTTTTAATAATTTTGACTTTTTTTTTTGAAAAATATTTTTTTGTTTAAATGTGTAATTTTTTTCCGAATGAATTTAATATTTGAAAAAATGTGATTTTTAGTTTCTGCAAAATTTTTAGTTTAAAATGAACAATTTTAAAGCACTAATTTTTCAATACAAAAACAAACTTTTTTTACAAATTCACTTCTCCTTAAATTTTTTCTATATTTTATTCTTTCTTTTTGGTTTTTTTAGCTCTGAAGAGTTTGTTTACTTTTTCCGCGCTTTAATATTATATAGTTTTTGGTGCGTTTTTTTTTTGTTTTGGATTTTCGCACTGAAATTTTTATTAATTCTGATTTAGTTGGTTTGTTTATTTTTTGATTTAAGTTTTTTTTGACAAATTTTTTATGTTCAACTTATTAATTTAAATTTCTGATTCTCTTTTCGAACCCCACTTTCTTTTTTTTCTTATTTTTATGCATATTTTTAATAATGTGTTTGGCCCAACATTAAAACAATATTTAAAGTTGCTTTTTTTTTGTTTTTGTTTTTTCTAAAATTTGCTTATTTTTTATTTTTGCTTATTCTTTTTATTATATTTATTTATTATTTTTAGCTTTTCTCTTTTTTTCTTCTTTATTATATAATTATTATCTTTTTAATTTTGCTTCATTTTCTTGAATTTTTTAATACTAATTTAACAAAGTTCTCTTACATATTTTTTAACTGGATTTTAGGTTTGAAAAAACGTTTTTTCTTTTTGATTTTGTGTAATAAATTTTGTGCTTTTTCCTTTTTTTACCTTTTTTGCTGCACTTTTTTTTGTCAATGCTATTATGCAAATTTTTTTATTTTTAAATTTGTAGATTTTTTAAAAATTTTTAAAAAATATTGATATTTTTTGCGCATCTATTATATATTTTTGTTTAAATTTTTTCAAATATATTTTTTGCAAGTTTGAATTAAAATTGATTTTTTATTTTTAATAACATTTTTTTAAATACAATTTTTTAAATTTATAAAAAATATTTATTTTTTTAAAAAACTTTAAACAGTTCATCAAAAAGTTTGAAATTATTAAATCACCATTTTTGAAAATTAATTTCCCATTTGTATTTTTGAAAATTAAAAAACGGTGATTTATTTAACTTATAAAGTCTGGTTTAATTTTGTAAACTTTGTTTACATATTTATAATTTCAATAAATTTTTAAAATTTCTTTTTTAATCCGGATACTCAAGCTCATTCATATCAAAATTTATTTTTTTCCCCTTTTCTTTTTTTAATGCACTTTCCTCAAAAATTGACAATGTTAAAACACCCGCTAAAATTTTTATTTAAATTTTAATTTTTTAAAACCTTCATTTCTTTCAACATTTGCGGTTTGAAGTGTTATTTCGTCATTAATATTTAAATTAATGTTGTTTGGATAAACAAACTGCGCTTTATTTTTCCCGTCTGTACATAATGTCCCATTTTGTTTTTTCGCAAAATTAAGTATTATTGGCTTTTTAATAATACTTAAACGAACAGAACCTAAATTTAGTTTTGTTTTTCGGTTTTAAATTTTTTTGTTTATTTAAAAAGTTTTTTGCATGTTTAATTTTTTTTAATGTTTTAATTTTTTTAAAAAATTTATAATTTTTTAAAATATTTACATTTTATTAAACCATTTTTTTGCGCAATTTCTGCCAAAGAAGAAATTTTTTCGCCGAAAAATTTTTTTTCTTCAATTTTTATTTTACTTGAATTATAGAAATTAAAAATCATTTCTTCTTTACCAAACCCTTCTTTTATTTCTACACCTTGCAATTTAATTATGCTTCCCTTAAAAATTTTATCTTTGTATTTTTAATTAAATTTACTTCTTTCCCGTTTAATAGGTAAAATATAAATTCAGCTAGAATATTCCAAGAAGTTAATTTCGCTTTAGATTTATTCACTAAAACTGAACAATCTAGTACTTTTGCTTCATTTTTGCCCTTTACCATTACATTTCGTATCAAATTTGTATTTAAAAGTTCTACTTCTACATCACTAAATTTTTAACCTAGCTTGAAATTTTTATTTTTTGCTTACGCAAATTTTTCTCCTATTCGTAATTTTTCTTTTGGTGCGCCTTGGAAATCTTCGTCAATAAGAAATTTCTGTTTTAAAAATTCATAATATGTTTTTTCAGTTATTCCTTTAAATTCATTGTTTTTTTCTGTCAATTCTTCTATTGTGGAAGTTTCTTGCGCTTTAAGCTCAAAATTTAAACTTCCGTAGTTATAAAGCGAAGAAGTTTTATTTGCCGCAAAATTTTTCAATAGAAAAGTTTTTAACTATTTCAAAAATTAATTTATTTTTTAAAAAGTTTACTTTAAAATTTGATCCAATTTCATTTAATAAACGTTGAAAATTTTTATCCCATAAAGTAATATTCACAAAATCATAACTGTCATAAAATATTAATTAATTTTCGTAACTATTTTTAAAAATTTAAGTAGTTTTTCCAAATTTTATTTTTTTATAGTTTGTTTAATTGAATTTGCAAAAGTTTGTTTTGGAAAATTTTTTAAATTTACTGGGTTAAATTAGGTTATTCGTTTTTTCTTTTTCTCATTTTTTAAAATAAAATTCAAAATTTTGAAAAATTGAGATTTTCCAAATTTTTGCGAATTTTTTTATTTTAAATTTTAATATTAATAACATCTTTTTTTTGTTGTTTTTTATAAAAATTTTTTTATTTAAAATTTAATAAAATATTTTAAGTTTAATTATTTTTTTTTGAAAATTTAAAAATTTTTAAAACTTGCCCATCTGTAGCTATTAAGTTCCATACAAATATTTTATCTTTAACAAAGCGAACAGCATCAGCTGTTATAAACATTAATTTTATATCACTTAAATGTTATAATTAAATTTTTATTTTTTTAAAAAACTTACATCATTGTTTCCCCGATTTTGATAGCCTGAAGCGGTGATTTTTTTATTTTTTTCTCGGGAACCGCTGAAGTTGATTGTGATTCCATTTTTTTGTTTTAAAATATTTTTTTAAATTTTTTGTGGTGGTTTTTTCGTTTTTATAAACAATTTTTTGAAGTAAACTTTGGAAAAAATTGTATAAATTCTGTTTACTTTAAAAATTTTGGCATAAATACACTTGTGTTTTTTTTCTTTTTCTTTTTGATCCATGTTTGGTTTTTTGAGCTTTTTTTAAATATTTAGGTTCCTATTAAAAATAGTTTTAAATTAGGTGTAAACAATACACCTTGATCAAAATATTTACAGAATTTTATTTGTTTAAAGATTTCGACATAAATATTTTGTTTTTTGCTGCACCCAAAAGATCACTTGTTTTTGATCAAATTTTTTAAAATTTGAAGAAATTTTTTGAAGCAAATTATTTTTATTTATGGCAAGTTTTTAAAAAATTGATATTTTTATCTTTTCAAAACAATGATTTGAAAAAAGGAATTAATCAATTTTTTAAATTCTGACAAAACAGATGAAAGTATCATCTAAAATTTTTTTTTGAAAGATTTTATTTTTTTACAGATCATTATATCTTGTTTAATAAAAAGTGCTTCCTAAATAAAAAAAGCAATTGATTATTATTAATTTTATTTTTTTACTTTTTTAAATTAAACTAATTTTTGTTTTTAATAAATTAAATATTGTTTTTTTTTTGGAGAAAAAATGTTTTTTGAATGGTTTTTTTGCAGCAATACTTTTTTGAACAATTATTTCAATTTTTAAATTATTAAAAGATTAGTTTTAATTTTTGCTTAAAAATTTGTTTTTTAATTTTTTTTTTTCTGAAAATTAATGTTTTTTGAATATTTTAGCGCAATACTTCTTTCCAAACAATATTTTTTATCTTTTTATCATTTTCATCTAAAATTTTTATTTTGATTCCTTCCCAAGATTTAACACGTGAAAGGCTCACATAGGTTTGCCCGTGTGTGAATGGTTCTTCACAGTAATCAACACCAATTTTTTCGAATGTTTGTGATTGGCTTTTATTAATGGTAAACGCAAAAGCTAACTTTATAGGAAATTGGTGTCTTCTTAATAAAAAAGGAAATTTCTTATCTTCAATTAAAGTGACACGTGGTATAAATGTTGTTTCGCCTATTTTTTCGCCACTTTTTATTTTACATGTTAATACATTCTTTCCTAACTCTGTTACTTGCAGTCTCGTGCCATTGCAGAGACCTTCTTTAATATTTAAATTTCTTAATAACATAATCATTGCATTTTGTTTTAGAGAAATACTATGATTTGGAAAGTTTGAACATCTTAAGGAATTTAATATTTCAGGAGTAATAGGCAAATTACTATTTGGGTCAGTTTCATCTATACTAAAATATGTTATTTTTTCTCCAGAAAACTTATTTATTATTTCTTCGTTATATTTGTCAACAATTGTATTGTAAGGAGATAAAATTGCATAATTATGCAATTGTTCCAAATTGTTTTTTTTAAAAGGTTCTCCAAAAATTTCTTCAACTAAATCACCTTTACTAATGCAAAATTCAGGGACTGTTATAAAGTTATTTTCCCCTGCTTTTCCATCGCCAATATTAATTAATTCATTTGCAAATTCTTTTTCATTTTTATATACTCTCATATTCTCGGTTAATTTCATTTGGCAAAAATTTTTCCATAAAATTGATTTTTTTATTAACAAATCGATAATTTCTGTTTGTGTTCCAAATTCTTTAATAGGTAAGCATTGCCTAAAATCTCCGCTTAATATAAAAATTTTTCCTCCAAAAGGTATATTATTGCGCATAATTTCCTTTAATTTTTTATCAATTATATCAATTACAAATCTTGATGCCATCGGAGCTTCATCCCAAATAAATATTTCCGTATTTTTAATTTCTTCTGATTCTTTGCTATTTATCTCAATTCCAGAAGTAGAATTTTTTAAAATATTTAATGGAAGTTTAAATCTATTGTGTAATGTTCTACCTTTAAGCAATTGTGTGGCTGCAACACCCGAAAAAGCCATGTTACAAATTTTTTTATTGAAAGACCTTGTTAAATAAAAAATTACCTTCAAAACAAAAGACTTCCCTGTTCCCCCAGGTCCATCTATAAAAACACATTTGTCTTTATCTTTTTCTTGGATAATTTTAAGAAATTTATCAATAATTTCTTTTTGTCCCTTATTTAAAACAGCAATTAATTTATTTGCTTTTTCTAATTCTTCGACTGGATCAATTAAATCATCTTCATCTATATTAATATCTAAATTTCTAATAATAGGCATATCTGGATAGTTGGACAATGATTTATCATGATATTTCAAAGACTGCTCTATTAACATCAACCCCATGTTATTGAGCTGATCTTTGGAATACTTTGGATATTTTCTTTTTATATCGGCAGTCATATTTTCTTTAAAACTTTCCCACAATTTTGCAGGTTTTTTTGGGCCACAATGCAATAAAATATTGACAAATAAAGTTCTTAATCCCTTCGGGTATTTTCTAGAAAAAAAGCTAGCTTCTTCTAAACATTTGTGCCATTCTTCATCGTCTTGAGCTAAACCTCTTATTAAACATGCTTCGGCGAAAGTTTCGTAGATTATACCATTTACTGTTTTTAAATCCTTAAAATTTTTACCATGAACTTTTAACAATAAATATCTTAAATAATATTTTTCAGTGTCTGTTGGGTTTATGGGAATTAAACGTCCGATTTTATTCATATTTCCTTGTCTAGGATATTTCCACTTTCTATCCTTTTTAACCCAAGTACAAAATTTTGGCATTTCAATATATTTAAACTGTAAGTTTGGATTTTCTTGGCAAAATTTAAAATAGGCTGTTAAAGTTGAACATTTATTTGATGCTTCTTCTATTTCAACTTTTGATGCATTTTTTTTATAAATAACTTTTTGTTCATTTTCTAAATGTATATCTAACTTATCTACTGAATGAGACTTTCCCTGCATTTTGAATTTAAAAATACGCCAGCACGCTTCGCAGGGGCTTAAATATCTTGCTTCTAAATACGTTCCAACTTCATCATAATTTAGTATTTTCTTTTCTCCATCTTCTCCAACACTAATACACTCAATTGTGGCAGCATCATATCCTTTATAGATATAATCATAAAGATATTTGACAACCAAAATGTCACTCACTCTTTCTACATTTATATGCGCTCTAAAAGTTTTTAACAAAAAAGGATTATAGGGTACAACGTATTGATTTGTTAACTTTTGTCCTTTTTTAAAAACAAATCTATTATTATCGGGTCTTTTATAAAGTGGATAACCATCTTCGTTAATTTCTGTTGCTTCTCTAAAAGGTTTTGGAAATTTTTTTCTACATTTTCTTTTTAATTTATCCCAACAAAGAGATGTTTCTAAACAGGGTCCATGAAGCATAAAATTCGTAACAATCTCGAAAAGTTCAATATCAGTTTTTTTGTCAGGTATTTCTGCTTTTATAAATTTATCAATATCTGTTGAATTTCTCCACTTATCTTTCTGAGCTAAAGTTAATAACAAATGGACATGCGGAAGTCCTCTTTTCTGATATTCAACAACCCAACAATATCCTATTACTTCTCCAAAAATTTTTTTGTTTAAAATTAATTCCAATAAATATCTTTTCTTTAAATTAAAAACCCTTGTAACAATATCTGGTCTATCAGAGGGATTTTGTCCTGGAAAAAGACATTTTAAAATATCTGGGTCGTTTGGATTGCAAGTGAATGTAACAAAAAGATCAGGTTTTCCTGTCTCATTTACAATCGCCATTGCATCCATGAAATGTTCGTGCATGTTTCGTGGGCCTCCTGTGAATGTTGATGGAAGAATAATTTTTTTTTGAATTTCGGCACCGCTTTTTAATGATTTTTTCTTTAAAAAATCTTCAACGTTTGTATAACTACTACTATATAACTCTGTTTGGTGGTTTTTAATATATTCCAACCTATCCCATTCGATTTTTGCCGCTTGGTCCACAACCCATTGTTGAAACAATTTTCCTGCATAAAAAAGTGGTTGGAATTTTTTATTTTCTTTGTAAAACAAAGCATATTTTGTGTAATCACAAAGCGAAATTTTTTTATTTTTTAAATCATGATAATCCAAAGAATAACCATATGAACCATTTGGGTATAATATTGGGTAGCACATCGGCTCAACGCACTTATCTAATGGATATATTTCTTTTAAATTCTTTTCACCCTTAGGATAAACAACAATTCTTGCTAATGGAATATCGTCATTAGCGTCACAGACCACTATGGCGCAAACTTCATTACTTGAAGGTATATTATACCTTCTTTGATCGAATTCCTCTTTTAAACTAAAAAGTAACCTTATTTCTTGCATTTTTTCCCCTTTTTCTTGACAAATTTTGGCTTGTTTTTCATATATTTCTTTCATTAATTCATAAGATTTTGCAAACTTATTGTTTTTGCGAATATATTTTTCTATTAAATCAATCAGATTTTCATTGCACTCTTTATTTTCCTCAGATCTTATATCTAATGATTCGTTTGTATCAAGAAAGTATAACTGTCCATTTGTAGGAAGCACAGTTTTATCTTCTGGTATAGCATAAGGGTTAAATTTATGATATATTTGCCCTTGAATTTTGAAGCACGGCGGCCCTCCAGTTGGGAATTTAAATTTAAAACAGCTTATTGAAGCAAACGAAAAAGAACTATTGAGACGACGTATATTTGTAATGAAATTTTTATGATACGGACAATCGGGGAAGAAAAGTTCTTTTAATTCATTAGGATACTCTTCTATTTTTTCTTCAATATTACTAAATTTTCCCTCTTTGCAACAACTGAAAAAAGCTTTATCATTTTCATTTGTCAAATCGGTTATTTCTTCAGGAAAATGGATGGAAAAACATTTTGAACATTTTATATTAAAAGGACCCAATTCATAAAACTTTGTATTAGAAGAATCAAATGATGCAATGAGAAATTCATCTTTTTTCATTAACTTAGCTTTATTTAAGACTTTTCTTGACCTTTCTTTTCTTGAATGAGAAGATTTAATTTTATCTTCAAAAAATTCATCTTCAACTTCATCCAAGTTTATAAGTATTTCTTCATTTTCATTTACTTTCCGCTTTTTAAAACCGGAGCTTTGAACCGGTGTATTCGTTTGTTTTATCGTGTCTTTACTTTTCAAATTCTCACTTATAAAAAATTGTTTTTCTCGAACCATTTTAAAAGAAAAAGATTTAGAAACAATTAACAAATATAAAAAATTAAACCACGTTCAAAATTTAACGACCTCCGGAAACTTTGTTGAATAAATAACAAAATATTTAATTTTTGTTTAAATTTTTTTATATTCAAAATAATGTTTTTTTGCGACAAAATTATTTTTTTTTGAATTGAATGAAATTCCTTTAATTTAAAACCCGCCCCTAATTTTGTTTTTTTCCAACCTAATTACGCTGAAGTGTTCTATTGTTTATTTTTTCATAAAAATTTTATGTAAATTAAAAGGTAAACAACTTTTTGTTTGAAAGATTGCATTTAAAAAAAATTTATTTACGCCTAAAAAGAGTTTTTTTCTAGTTTAATAATGAAATCCTTCTCTTTTGTGGCCACACCTTATTTTTTGCCCTTTTGTGCTTTTAAAACTGTTAAGCTCTTTTGTACTTTTTAGCAGATTATTTTTTTGTATTTTGGTGATGGGTACTATTTTGTCCGACCACTCGTTGTTTACATTTAAAAAAGCGCAAGTGGAAGACGCTAATCTTTTTCTCTCTTTCCTTTATTATTTTTTTTTCTTGTTTTTTTCTTGTTTACTTTTTTTAAAAAATTTCGTTTCAAAAAAAATTTCTTTTCTCCCTTCAAAAAAGTTTATTTTCCGTTTTTTTAGTATAGTAAATTTTCATCATTTTTTGTTCTATTTAAACTGAAATTTTAATAATTTACTTCATTTTAGTCAATTTACGGGTATTGTGACTTATAGTGGGTTTTTTTTGGCTGGACCGATTTCGACAAATGAGGTGTCATTCGAAAGAGCTTCGAAAACTGAGTCGAACTAGATATGGGGGAAGTCGATCCGACAATCAGGGACCGAGTTACAGACCCCTGAAGTTTGAAAAAGAGAAGGGGGGAGTAAGCTCAAATTGGGTTGAAAAATTCGAAAATGCAAATAATAGCTCATTCGACTCCTCTCGACGAGCTGAGTCGAATGACACCAAAATCACCAAAATCCGACTTGATTGGACAAAGTTATGATCGTTTGTTTTAGCTCCTTACCTATGGTCTATGTGGAGGTTTTTGCTGCTACGGAGGCCCCAAGTACGTCCAGAACAAGGGAGATAGGAATAGGTTTATGTTACGAGCCCAGACCCAGCGCCCGTAGACTCCCCGCGAGGCGCGTGCCGCAAAACCCCGCGCGAAGCGCGGGGTTTTGCACAAGCGCCTCGCCTACGCTCCATAGGTTTATGTTGACCATTTTGAACCTGTTTATCTTGGCTCAGAATCAAGATATCGAGCTGATTTTGGTGTCATTCGACTCAGCTCGTCGAGCTGAGTCGAATTAGCTATTATTTGCATTTTCGAATTTTTCACCCCAAAATGAGCTTACTCCCCCCTTCTCTTTTTCAAACTTCAGGGGTCTGTAACTCGGTCCCTGATTGTCGGACCGACTTCCCCCATATCTAGTTCGACTCAGTTTTCGAAGCTCTTTCGAATGACACCTCATTTGTCAAAATCGGTCCAGCCAAAAAAAACCCACTATAAGTCACAACATTCCAATTTACTATCCAAATTTCTAATTCTGAAGTATTTCCATTATGGCTGAATTTCCCGATGTTGGTGCTCATTGTGCTGTTGCTGAGTGTCGCCAGCTTGGTAAATTCTTCATTTTATCAAAATTTTTTTTATTTTTAAGACTTCCTCCCTATCAAGTGCAATGTTTGTTCGAATATCTTTTGGTATGTTTAATTAGTCTCTTATGTTGTTTCCCTTCCTTAGGCATTAAAATGTATAAAATGGTCTAAAAATCGTGTTAAGGAGAAGGGATGGTAATAGTTTGAATGTTGCCCCTTTTTTCCCGTTTCGCTGATTATTTCAAGCTTTTTTGTAAGAAAAATAAAAAGGAAAATGAGTGGGGCAATTTCCAAACTATTACCAAATGAATTAATAAATTTATTTCAAAAATTTGACCATTTTGAGCTTCTTAACCTATAGAGTTTGAGGTTTTTAAGCACTGTAACTCAGCTCAGTGATCTATCCATGAGCTATTCTAGTGTTATTCGACTCATTTTGCGAGTCCTTTAGTTCAATTGACTAACTGACCATTTTTTACATTCTAACCAAAAAATGGACTAGAGGAGAGAAACGACATTAGTACCTTTATTTCTTCAAATACTAGAAAAATTCAAAATTTTTAGCAAACATCACTATCCCTACGACTCACATGACTGTACAAAGGCACGCAAAAAGGTCTATTTTTGTTATTTGTAACCCATTAAAATCTCTGTTTTAAGGATCCTAAGGTAACGGTTTGTCCTCTTTGTCGTCAGCCTATTCCTCTCAAATATGGAGAATCGCCTGATCTGTTAGTTAGTGATCATATTGACAAGGATTGTAAGTCTGACAGGAAACGATGGGCGCCAAAATGTGGAGTAACTGGTTGTTATAAACGAGAGGTTAATTTTTTGTTTTTTTGTCAATTGGGGAGAATTAGGCAAATTTTGGGATATTTTTGGGTTTTATGGATGGTTTGTTGGGTTGTTCCCTCCAGTGAATTTTGTGGTTTAGTTGGATCTGGTTCTGCTACTTTTTTCAGTAGGTCTTGGGTTCGATGCTGCACTGTGTTGTTTATTTTTATTGTGTTTTGTTTAAGTTCCCATATGTCAATTCGTTTATGGTTTAATGGTTTCGTCTTCGGTTACCTCCCATTTATGTCACGGGTTCGAATCCGTAAGGCTCTAGCCATTTTTATTTTATTTTTCTCGATCCCAACATGTGTTTTTGCTTTTTAAATTTCCAAAATAAAAATTCTTAAATATTTTTGCCAAAATTTAGCTCATTAAAATGGACTGTAAACACTGCGGAATTCACTTTTGTCTCGGCCATCGTCATCCAGTTGATCATAAATGCAAAGAGTCGAAGAAGGGGAACAAAAAGAGTGAAATTGTTTGTTTATTTTTAATTTTTCTTTGAAATTTTTTTAAATTTATTCAGGACACTGACGCCGAGTTGGCCAAAAAATTGGATGAAATATTAAACTCAAAGCCTTCCAAGCCTATGGATCCGGAAGAATTGAATTTCTTGTTGGCACAGCAATTGCAAATGGAAGAGGATGAACGGTTTATTTCTTTTATTTTAAAAATTTTTTCAAAAATAATTGGAATTTTTTTTCGATATTTTGAAAATTTTTGGGTCTTTATTAGTGTTATTCAAACGCGTTTTTTCGGTATCGGTATCGGTATTTTCGGTAAAATACCGATACCGAAAAAATACCGATTTTTAAAAAATTGTTCGGTACCGTATTCGGTATCGGTATTTCGGTAAAAATACCGCGGTATTACCGAAAAATACCGCCGTAATACGGTACCGTGAATAACACTAGTCTTTATTGTTATTTGGTCCAAAAGGTCGTAAGTTTTGTCCGCAATATTTCTCAAAAGAAAATAATGGCACAAACCACAGGGGAATAGAGAAAAATGGAGCTCGGAAAAAGCTGACCATTATTCCTCTTTTTGACATGAGAAACAACATGCAGACAAAACTTGCGGATTTTTGGGCCACATAACAAAAAACAAAAAATTTTGACAGTTTGAGATTTTGAAATTTTTGAGGTTTTTTTGGCATTTTGAGGTTTTGACATTTTAAAAGTTCTTGAAATTTTTGACTTTTAAATTTTTTGACATTTTGAACTTTGAAATATTTTTCCAAAAATTTTTCTAAAAAAAAATAATTTTTAAAGGACTATACTCAACGAACAAGCCCAAAGACGGGTTAACGAGGCTGCGAGAGGAGGAAATACTTCTTCAAATTCTAATTGTACAATTAACTGACAAAAATTCAAAAAAGGCATATCTTCAATTAATGTGATCTAAATAAAAGGTTCTTTTTTTTATTCCTCAAAATTTATGCTTAAAATTAAAAAAATTTATTGTAAATACGTATATCTGTCTGGCGATAAATTATTTTGGATGGGAAAATTGTGAAAATTTTTTATATAATTTTGGAGGGATTAAGAATTTAAAAATTGAAAAATTTGTTCAGAAAACTTTTGGAAAATTATATTTCTTCGGACATTTTTATAAAAAAATTTTTGAAATTTCGAAAATTTTCACTTGGAGAGGGTTAAAATTGTCTAAATTTTGTTCACCAATTTTTTTTGGTTACCTTTTTTAATTTATTTCCTTCTCCTCCCTTCCTTAAAATCGCAACAGAATCACTAAACAAATTTCTTTTTTCCTTTTTTTTATTAATAATCCCAAAAAGGAAAAAAACTTAAAATAATTGTGTTTTATTTGCTTTATTTTTAATTTTCGGCCAATACAAACAAAAAAAATCGAGAAAGTTTTTCTTCCTTTCTTCCTCCTAATTTTTGCTCACAAAGCAATTGTAAGTAAAATAATGAATTTAGAAAGTAGTTGATTCCAAGGATTTTTGAGTTTCTTTTCTCCATTTTTTCCCAAAATTTTCTGTTAAATTTTTTATTTTTTTCTGCCCGTAAAATGCCTTTTTCTTCCTTTCCCCCTTTATTTTTATTAATTCTGGCTCTGATAAACCCAACTAGTTCACAATTGAATGCCCAACTTCAAGCGCCGTCAGCTTTCTCGGCACTTCCGTTGAACCAAGCAGTGAGTTTAAAAATATTTTCCCCGGCAGGGGAGGCCCTGAGGAGGGAGCGGCATCAAAGACACCTTTAAAAAATTTCAGGGTCGGATGGTGTAGTGGGATAATTTTTAATTTTCAGTCAGAGGGGACGTGGGTTCGACCCCTTTTGGCGGAAAATCATTTTCTAATAAACCCTTATTTTCTTCCGGGATTAAAAATAAAGTCTAAAAAATATTTAAAAAAATTTTTAATGGCACAGACTTGGGGATTGAGGGTCCAAAACCATTAATTTCTCTCATTAGGCTTCTATGCTTGCCCAGCCCCTCATGCAGATTCCTCCAACCCTCCAAGGGATTTCCCCGTTGACTGCTCAATCGCCTGGAGGCCTAGCAGGGCTTACCTCCCTTGGAGGCTTAAATGGTCAACTACAAGCAATACAACAACTCCAAGCATTACAAACCCTTGGTGGGCTAGGAATTGGATTGAATGGATTAAACGGCTTGGGAATTCCAACAAATGGTGGTAAAAAATATTTTTTGCAGACTTGCACATGGATACGGATAATATCAGGATGCCTGTGGATAGTGTCTGAATTTGACCATTTTGACCATTTTAGTCGTTGACCATCTTGAGAAAAATGGGATATCCACTGATATCCTCTGATCGATATGATTCAGTTTCACTGATATTGACGGGCAAGGACATTGACCTCACGGGTATCCGGACACTGTACCAAGATCCATATCCATGTGAGCCTACTTTTTTGTCCCCGAAAAATTTCAAAATTAATTTCAGCAACTTTTATCCCTTTGGGGCAAGTTTTGATCCCAACTGGAAAAGAAGTGAGTGCAAAAGACATTTGTCGGAGTAAAGGAAATGATGGTGGACGGAACGATGACAACATGCAAATGCAAAATTCTAACAACGGCGGAGGATTTTGTCCTCCTTGCGGTAATTTTGGCTGTTGTCCTTCTGGGCAATATTGCGGTATTTTTAATATAAGCCAAAAAATTCGAATTTTGGGGGCTACCCATGAGATCAACAACCATTAGTGTGGAACCCATAGGATCGCTAATCATAAGATAAGCCATAATAAGATCGTACCCAAAGATCGACACCCAAAAGATCAACGCCCATAAATCTCACCCTTGGGATCAACACTCATAAGACCACCACCCACATGACCAAATCCCATAAGATCAACACCCGGAAGACTAACAACCATAAGATCACCACCCATAAGATCAACACCCATAAGGTCGCCTTGTTGATCTTATGGTGATATTTTGGGTTACCTCTCAAATTATTTTTAGAACCCTGTTCACAGCCTTGCCAACAAGAAAATAACAATTTCGACCAAAACCAACAACAGCAACAATTTATGATGGGAAATAACGGATATAATGAAGGGGGTCAGCAACGAAAGAGAAGGAGAGCCCGACGTAAAGTTAACATTTTAACAATGAGGAAAGGTTTTAATAATACACCTCAGACAGACCGAGAATTGACTTTATTTAATTATATAAATTTTTAATTTATTATTTATTCAAGTCAAATTTTAATAAAAAAATTTTTTTAATGAATAGGAAGAGAAAAGAGGTTAGCACGATTCGAGAAATTTTAAAAAGGATTTTTCGTGGTTTTGGCGACATAAGTAAATGCTTTATATCCATAGGATTGTGTTTAAGAGTAGGTCAGACCTCAATATACCCTCGGGGTCTTAAATAGAAGTTCTCTTATAACGAGATGTATCCTAAATAGAGGTGTATTTCTAAGAAGTAGAGAGTCCCTCCATCCAATAGTAAAGCAGATTTTCTAAAATTGTATTTTGAGGTTTTGGGGGGGGGTGGGGTGAGGAAATCTGATCCGATTTTATAGAGGTCTGACTAAATAAAATTATAAACAGATATAGTATAACAGAGGAATGACAAAAGCTAGGTAGAGAGATATTACTTAAAAATATACCTATAATATTTATTTTCCTCTATATACTGCTTGGAATTGACCAAACTTCTAATTCGTCTATTTGAAATTGGCCTAAAAATAATTTTTAAAATTTAATTTGCTTATTTAATAGAGCCATTATTATTTTTTCGACTATGAGTGGTTCTGGTGTAGTGGTAGCGTTTTAAGTTAACATTTATAAGTTACGTACTATGTTGTGGGTTCGAACCCGGTTGGCTGTTAGTTAATTTTGAATTATTTTTAAAATGTAAATTTTTAATTAAAATTTATTCTTAATTTTTTATTTTGGTTTTATAAGTGGTTGTAGTGTAGTGGGATCGTTTTCAGCTACCCCTATAAAGGGTAGCGGGTTCGAATCCGTTTGGGCGTCAAACGTTTTTAGATTATTTTTAAAATAAATTTTAACCTTTCTAAGTCTTTTAAATCGAAAAATAATTTTTTAAAAAATTTTCACAAACCTCCAGAAACTAGTTCAGGTGACTGATAAGTTCTAGATGCCCTACTTGACCCTTCTACAAGTTCATCACGAATTGCAATTGCATCACCTCCACCACTTCCAATCTAAATTTTTTTAAATAAAATTAATGTAAAAATAATTTAAAAAATACTATTAAAAATTTATCGTGTGCCGCCATAAAATAGTTATCACAAAGTTGATCAGACCTTAGAAAAATTTTTTAGTGAAATTCTGATTTTTTGAAAAAATTCTGATGAAGGTTCTGATGACGTTATTCTGATGAAAAATCAGAATAAAAAATTCTGATTTTTCAGAATTTCTCAAAAAAATCAGAATCGGCATCAGTCTGAAGGAAATTCTGATTTTCCCGAAATTCTGATTTTTCAGAATCAGAATTTTCAAAAAATCAGAATCGGCATCATAATTCTGATGAAAATTCTGAAATCGAAATTCCAATTAAGAATCAGAAAATTCTGATTTTCACCAAAATTCTGATTTTTCAGAACTTTCATCAAAATTTCCTCTTAAAAATTCCTTACCAAGTATAAATTATCGGCAATTTTAATTCATCGTCCAAACGCCACACAAAAGATTCCCCAGTTCCAAAATATTTAGCTTTAGCTCTTTCATGAACATCTTTTTTTTAAATTTTTAAAATCAAAATTAAATTTAAAAGATTAAACCGTTTCTTTCTGCCCAAGAACTAGACACATAAGCACCAAAAACTTCTCTAGTTGTTGATTTTATTATTAATAAGGATTGATCTGCCTGCTCAATTCTGAAAAAATAAATTTAAAGATGTCCGCAAATATTTAGTCGCAAAAATATTTTATCCGCAAGTTTTGTCCGCAAATATAAAAATTTCCGCAAAAAATCTTGTACGCTAGAATTGTCCGCAAATATCTGTCTGCAAGTTATGTCCGCAACAATTATATTTGTCCGCAAAATTTTTTTGTCCGCAAGTTTTGTCCGCAAATATTCTTTCGCGAAACTTTTGTCCGCAGAAATTAATTAGAATAATTTTTTTAAATATACCGAGTCCATAACTGAACAAAAGATGTTCCTTAAATTAAAAAAAAAATTTTTAAATTAAAAAATTAATTTAACCATGTTCAGAAAGTCTAAAAAGCAATTTTGGTGTTTCCAATTGAAATCTCTGCGGGAGGGCGCTCATTAATTCTTTTGCTGCATCCTCGTCAATTATTTTTGAAATAAATACTAAAAAATAAAATTTTTAAAAAATTCGCAAAATTTAGAAATGTCCGCAAGTCTTGTCCGCAAAATTAAAAAATCCGCAAAAATTTAAAAAATCCGCAAGTTTTGTCCGCAATAATAAAAGTGTCCGCAATATTAGAAAATCCGCAAATTATGTCAGCAAGTCTCGCAAAATTATAATTTTTAAACTTAATTTTAAAAAATAACCAGGCGTATAAATCCGATCATCAGGCTGACGCAAATTTTTCTCCGCTCGTATTTTACTAACAACTTCCCAAAATTTATTCTCATAGTGACGCTGTTGACGAAAGAGCGTGCCGTTGCTGAAGCGACGAATTGAGAAGCTGAAAAATATTTTTTAGGGAAATTAGATAAAATTTTGAAAGGATAAAGAAAAATGCCCGCAGATGCAAAAATGTCGTCAGCAAGTGTTGTCCATGGAATTAAAAAAAATGCCCGCAAGCTGTGTCCGCAAATATATAAATGTTCGCAAAAATTCAAAAAAGTCCGCAAAAATATGAAAATGCTCGAACTTTAAAAAGTCCGCAAGTTTTGTCCCAACATTAAAAAAATGTCGTCCGCAAGTTTTTTCCACGGAAGTTAAAAAATGTAATCCACAAGCTGTGTCCGCAAAATATAGAAAAGTCCACAAACTTAAAAAGTCCGTAAGTTTTGTCCGCAAATATTTAATTTGTAAAATTGATGATTAATAATAAATTACAAAAAATTTCTCTCCCTTACCCAATATCCAAAAAAGTCTGTACAGAAACAGGAACTTTGGAAGCAACAGAAGAAATCTTTGAAAAAAACTTCAACAAAAATTTTCCAAAAAAACCTCAAAATTTAATTGATTCAATTTATCCTCCATAGCCACTTTATTCGTATCATTATTTTGTTTTGATATTTGATGCTAATTTTCAAACTAATTATATTAATAAACCCCCTTTATTTTAAATATATACTTGTTGTTTATGCCAAAGGTAGAGAATTGTTAAAACTGCTCTAGCCAACATTTTTTGACCTTTAAAAAATTTTTTTTAATTGAATTTTAAGCGAAAAACAATAAAAAATTTGCAGCCAAAAAACAAAAAAACTTGCAGAAAAATTTGTCCGCAAAAAGTTGCGGACAAATTTTTTTAATTACTTCAATTAATCAACGGTTTGGGTATTAGTGGGAGCGATGTTTGTTACGTTCAGAATAGGTAGTGGGTTTGAACCCGTTTGAAAGTCTGAGAATATCTATGGGCCATATAACGGACAAATAGACAAAAAAGAAAGGATTATTCCGGAAGCAGAAATCGCATTAATTGGGATCTAAGATTTTTTGAGATATCGATTTGGGCTCTCGTGTGACCCTCAACAATGTCAGCCCGGTCTTAAGTTGTGATAGACTAGAAACGATATCTGTTATATTCCGGAATCCGGATTAGTGGTTTGAAACTGTTTGATGGTCCTTCCGATTTGTCCGCAAAAATATTTTAAGGAAAAAAAATTTTGCGGACAAAAATTTTTGTCCGCAAAAATTTGCGGACCTTTGGAAACATAAAATAAAAGAATTGAAAAAACCTTCAAAAAGAAAGCAGTCAATCAACCGAACAAGATAAGGGAAAGGAAGACACTTAAAATTTTAAAAATTTAATATAAAAAAAACCACAAAAAACCTTGAAAATCCAAAAATGCCAATTAGCCATTAACTCAACAATTTTATTTTCTTCTGAACCCAATCGCTTTTTTAATTTGTTGTAGACTCTTTTCTAAATTGGAAAAGAATTTTCTTAAAGGATTAAAGAGCATTTTTATGTAAAATATGCCGGTAAAATATGCAAGTTAGATTTTTTTTAGTTGCGGATTGTCCGCAAGTTTTATCCGCATGTCATATTCTGTATCTTGTGGATTTCCAGCAAGTGGTTGCGGATTGTCCGCAATTTCATCCACAAGTCTTTTGCGGATTCCCTGCAAGCGTTTGCGGATTGTCCGCAAATTTCATCCGCAGGTCACAACTCTCGATTTGGGGATAAATGTTGCGGACTTTACCGCATAAGTTTAAAAAATATATCTAAAAATTAAAACGAACCTTAAACTTTTTCAGCATAGATAAAAGTGTATATCGAGAAGCATAAACAGCCTAAAATTAAAGAAATAATTATTTTCTTAAAAAAATTTCTCTTACAATTTCCGACTGAAAAACAAATTTGTTGCCCTAAAAAATAGAAAAAAATTTCAAAAATTTCTTCAAGTAACCTGCGCCAAAAGTCGATTAATACAAGCAAAAGCAACATCTACAGGGTGATAATGAAGAAAAACGGCACAAAGAGGGTAGAGAATGGGGACGAAACGAATTTCTGGACGAGCGTATTCAATTACCTTTGAAAAAGTTTTATAAGAAATTACTTGCGGACAGTCCGCAAAAATTTACAGACTGTCCGCAAATTTCTTGCGGACGTCCGCAAGATTTTAATAAAAAATTAAAAAAAATTTTTTACAATTAAAAGACGTTGTAAATTTATAACTCCAATTTCCTTCAATCCATGATCGCAAACAACAATTCCAGGTTCAGAAAGAAAGGCAGGGCGGAAATTTTGAACTAGAAAAATTTTAAAATAAAATCCAAAAAACATAAATTGAATAAAAGGTATACCAAATGACGTAATACCAAATCCTAAAATCCAACGAAATACCAAAATTTTTATTGGTAAGGTTGGTATTAGCACGTCTTTTTCTGTTTGGTCTTTTCGGTGTCTGGCCCCTTGGCGTAGCCAAGAGGATCGATTTCGAGGGGAAGGGGAGCTTTAACCCCCAGGCTACGCCCCTGGTGTCTGGTATCATATCGAGCCCCCAACCCAAACTAAAGAGTCAGGAGATCACGAAGAAAACTCAAAATTCAAGACTTGGACTTCGGATCCGACCCCGGAAACCAGGATCCGCTCCGATAACTAATTTTTATTTAATCTGTCCCAAATGTCACCCCCTAAATTTTATCAGATTAAAAACTCAAACCTTTGCTTTTCAGAAGAGATTCAATTTGTTCTCGATAGAAAAACTTGGAAGATTCAAATTCTTTATCAGAATAAGATATTAAAACTTCCCAAAGATGTTTGCGAATTTCGTGTGTCACAGGCCAGCTATTTTCACGAAGGAATTGTTTCAACTTTAAAGAGTAAAATATAACGTAAATATTAGAAGCCCACAAGTATAAGCCCCTTCGAGGGGAAATATTGAGCTCTCTAATAAAAGCCTACTCTCTAATAGAAGCCCACTCTCTAATACAAGCCCACTCTCTAATACAAGCCTACTCTCTAATATAAGCCTACTCTCTAATAAAAGTCCCCTCTCTAATATACGCTCATCCGAGAAGACCCATTAACCCATAAGCCGCCTCTCTAATAAAAAACCACTCTCTAATAGAGGCTCACCCAAGGAGACCCTGCTGAAAATATGAGCACCCTCACAAATATAAGCCTAGCCAGTCATTAAAAATTTAAGTGCCTGGCTTATATTAGAGCATTTACAGCAATTAAAAAAATATTTTAAAAAATTTAGAAACCTGTCCAAATTGTTTATTTTGAACCAATTTATTTAAAAAATCAAAGCTTCCATATTTTGGGACAATAAAATATTCTGGTCGGAGATCCGTGTATTCAGTAAATGGAGGCGACTTGAAAAAAATTTTTTTCAAATAAAATTAAAAAATTAAATTTGTGGCACTTACATGGCTCATCAAACATATTCAAATTAAAAAAAATGTCCGCAAGAATTTTGCGGATTTTAAGCTTATTTTTTATACTATTCCCGTTACCTAGCAACCAAAAAATGCAATTATTTTTAAATAAAGAGTGGTTTGAAAACATGCCATTTTTCTCTTCAATAAGAAAATGAGAGGAACACACCAAGGGCGTAGCCAGGGGGGCTTCTGGTGCTAGACCCCCGAAAAAAACTGAAGCCCCGGAAAAAGACCAAATTACGAAAATGGCTCTGTATCCAATCGAATGATACCAATTACGAAATATAAAATACAGCAGGGATGTGGCCACTCCGCATTTTAAAAACCGAAAAGGGAAGATGGAAGACAGCTCATCGTTGCTATACAATTCAGAGTAGAGATCGCGATTTTTGAAAGCCTGACCCTGTTCCTGGGTTCCGGGTTTGATTTATTGACTTGGGCCGGATCCTGGGCCTGTAATCCAGGAAAAACCCAGGCCCAGGAAAAACCCAGGAAGGTCAGAAAATGCCTGGGCCTGGACTCTGGGTATAGGAAAAACCCAGGCCTTGATCCACACCCAGCTCGATCTCTAGTTCAGAGATATGCCGAAATCACTTTTAAAAGCGAAAGGCAAAATTCAGCAAAAGAAAGGCACATCACTGATACCATTTCGAGTAGGTCCCATACTTAGCCAGTTAATTAATCAAAAAATATACCACTTTATCCTGCACAACTTTTTTCTTTTCTTGAACAACTTGCCCATCTCCTCTTCTCGTCCCAATTTTTAAAGAGCGTCTAATAATAATAGAAAGTCTAGACAATTTACTGGAAGACTCATTTCCTTAAAAAATATACAAAAATAAACAAAATAAATTTAAAAAAAAACCTGAAGTTCTGTAAGACCGAATAAAAAAATTTTCCAAAGTATTCCCCTCATTGCTACAGGTTGCTGGACATTCGGAAATAAATGTGGTAGAATTTAGTTGTTCTTCGATAATTGAAATATTTGGAGTTTTATTAAGGTCCATAGTTTTATTAAAAAAATAATTTTTGTAGCCTAAAAACTGAAAAAATTTTTAGAAAAAATTTTAGAAAATTTTCCTAAAAAATCCCGAAAAAGACAACCCAACAAACTTCTCTTTCCATATTTGACCAATGCGACATATTGCCAATAAGGCAAAAACAGTACATTTTGCCTACACGCATTGTTGACAAAATACAAGTTTTTAGCCTTATTGGCAATATGTCGAGCTAGTCAAATATGTGGGAGCCTCCCAACTTCTCTTCCCATATTTGACCAATTCCACATTTCGCCAGTAAGGGTAAAACAACACATTTTGCCAACACGCCTTGGTGACAAAATGCAGGATTTTACCCTTGTTGGCAATATGTGGAGTTGGTCAAATATGTTAGAGCTTACCTAACTTCTCTTCCCATATTTGACCAATGCGACATATTGCCAATAAGGGCAAAACACCTCATTTTGCCACCACGCCTTATTGACAAAACGCGAGTTTTTAGCCTTATTGGCAATATGTGGAATTGGTCAAATGTATTGGTGTCACCAATTTTTTAAAAATATTTCCCCGTCATTTGGTCACTTAACTGAAAATATTACAAAATGGTCATTTTTAAATTGGGTCAGTCAGTCAATTTTTGTCATTTTCGCCTACTATTTTAAGGGCTAATTTACATAATTTTTTTCTTCTTCTTTTGCAACATTAAAAAATTTTTTTAAATTTTTTCCCACCTTTGTTTAGGGTCAGGTTAGAATCTTTTTCTCCTTTCTTCTTAAAGACAACCCAAGTACCTCTCTAAAATCAATTTATAATTTATTTTTCTTCTCTCTTTTTTAATTCACTTAACTTGCTCTCTCCCCTTTTATTGTGCATTTTTTACCTTTGTTATTTAATTCACTAAAATTGACACACACAAGTAACCGACCTCATTTTTTCTTTTTTTTAATTTTCTTCCATTTTTAACTGATCAAATTTTAGTTTTTTGCAACGTTTAATATTTGAGAAATTTAGTGGAGATTATTCTGGTGTAGTTGGTTAAGGTTTGGTTTTTTATTTTTAGGGGTCGTGGGTTCGAACCCTGCCGGGGTAAATAATTTTTATTTTATGGAAAAATTAATTTAGAGGTCTCAAATTCGAACCCTGCCCGAGTGGGAATAAATTTGAGTCATTTTGGTGTAGTTGGTTACGATTTGTTTTTATTTTAGGGGTCGTGGGTTCGAATCCTGCCGGGGTAGTCATTTTTTATTTTCTAGAAAATTTATTTTAGAGGTCTTAAGTTTGCATCTTACCCAAGCAAAACCACTAAAAAATTATTTTTAGAGAATAGAATGGCAACTAATTTTCTTCGAACTCTTAGTCAGCGTCTTACAAAATCCAAGAATCGTTCTCAACACCAACAACCTCGTTCATCTTCCATTCCAAGGAATAAGGAAACTTCAATTAGACATTCTCATTGTCAATGCAGAGTTCAATTATTGGATAACAGCGATTTGAATATTTTAATTGGGGTATTTTTTTAATTTTTATACAATTTTGCGGACTATATTTGCGGACAAAACTCAATTTTTATTTTTTAAAAATTTATTGTGGTTTCCTTTTTGACTTCTTTTCTTTGGTAAAATGTAAAAGACCATTAAATTTCAATAGAAATAAATTTGTGCTATCTTGGTGTAGTGGGTTACGGTTTGATTTTTTTATTTTAGGGGTCATGGGTTCGAACCCTGCCTCGGTAAATCTTTTTTATTTTATAGAGAAATTATGGTACTTTATGGATATGTCACCCCCCTCCTATTTTGAGTCTCAGAGTTTTCCTTAAACGAAGAAAATGGTCAGAGATTATTTTCTTCTCCATGTCAATCATTTTTTCATCTTCAAGTATTTTGCTGGTTTATTTTGCCTTTTCACATATTTTGTACTTAAATTTCACTCATTTCGTTTCTACATTTACCACATTTCACTTATTTTGCTTGAAGAAAGAAAAATGATTGACATGGAGAAGAAATAATCTCTGACCATTTTCTACGTTTAAGGAAAACTCTGAGACTCAAAATAGGAGGGGGGTGACATATCCATAAAGTACCGAAATTATTTTTAAGCATCTTAGATTCGATCCCTGCTAAGGTAAAATAGAAAGAAACTCGTGTTATTTTGGTGTAGTCGGTTTCGGTTTGATTTTTCCTTTTTGAGAGTCATGGGTTCGAACCCTGCCGGGGTAAATCTTTTTTTATTTTCTAGAAAATTTATTTTAAAGAGTTATGGGTTCGATTCCTGCTTGGTTAAAGCGTTTTAAAAAATTATTATTTTAATAATTAGGTCAGTAAACCCTCAATTTTTAATTTGTCCGCAAATCTAGTCCGCAAATTTTTCAAAAAAAAATTTTTTAATTTCTTCCCTCTTTTTTAAATAGAAAGCAGCTATGGGCCAAGAATTGTATCAAAGAGTATTTGCCCATATCGGATTAATTGAGCGAGACTATTTTGGTTTACAATTTATTGATCATATGCAAGTACGGCAATGGCTAGATCCTGCAAAGAGGATACGAAAACAACTTCCTTTTGGACCTCCTTACAGTTTTAGGCTTCGTGTTAAATTTTTTTCGAATGATCCGGTCAATTTAAAGGATGAATTAACCAGGTTATATTTTAATATCTACTTTTTCGGTTTGTCCGCAATTTTTTGCGGACACTGTCCGCAAATTTTTTTGCGGATAAAAAATTTTCAGATTTTAAATTTCCTTTTTACCCCTTGGGAAGTATTGGGTTGTTTTGTCCGCAATTTTTTGCGACATTGTCCGCAAGTTTTTTGCGGACTGTCCGCAAGTTTTTTGCAGACAACATTCTTTAAATTTTCTCCCTTCATTTGCCTATTAAAAACCACTCAAAGTTTTTATTTTAGATATTTATTTTTTGTGCAATTGCGACAGGATATACAAATAGGCTTTTTGGATTGCCCTCCTGAAGTAGCTGTCTACTTGGCTGCATTGGGACTTCAATGTGAGAAAAACCTTTTTTTTGGTTTTGTTAAAGTCCGCAGGTCAATTATTATTTTTGAAGCCCACGATGGGTTTTTGGATGCACTTTTGTCTGCAGAAATATAATATTTTTGCGGACAAGATTTGCGGATTTTTCTTGCGGACAAGACTTGCGGACTTTTCGATTTTTGCGGACTTTTGATTTTTTGCGGACAAAACTTGCGGATTTTTTTTAAACTTTTTGCGGACTTAATTTTTTGCGGACTTTTAATTTTTTTTGCGGACAAGATTTGCGGACTTCAACCCTTCTCCCTCATATAATTTTATTCATTTTTAGCCGAATTTGGGGACTTCAATCCCCACACATATTCTTCAACTTTCGCCTCCGAATTTCGTTTCCACCCTTTACAAAATGAACAAATGGAATTGGCAATTCTTCGGCAATGGGCAGATAAACAACTTGAAGGTATGAATCCTTGTCGGGCTGAGGCTGCTTTTTTGGATAAGGCGAGGAAATTGCCTTTATATGGAGTTGATTTGGTATTTTTTGAATAATAATTTTTAATTTTTGCGGACAAAGTTTGCGTACAAAATTTGCAAACTTTTAAATTTGCGGACAAAATTTACAGATTTAAAATTTTTGCGGATTTTAAGTCTGCGTACGATACTTGCGGACTTTTAATTTTTTGCGGATTTTAAATTTGCAGACGTTTATTTTGTTCGATTTTTTTGCTGATTTTAAATTTTTGCAGACTTAAATTTTTTCGGATCTTAATTTGTGGCAAGATTTTCGGATTTAACTTTTGGTGACAAAATTAATTAGGTTTCAGATCCTTTTAATAATTTTCAAATTTAATTTTTACAATTTAAGCACAATGTTCAAGGACGTGATGGCTGTGAATATAGACTTGGCTTAAGTCCGCAAGGAATGCTAGTACTTGATGGGAGGCAGAAAATAGGTTTTCTTATTTTTAAAAATGCTAATATTGGAGGGATTAGGTTCTGAAATAAATTTCCAAAAAAATTTAAAATGTTTAACCCCGGCCGGGTTCGAACCCAAGACCCTGCCTAAAAAAATTAAACCGTAACCAACTTAACCAGAAATGAATTGGGTCCAAGCCCACTAAATTTTTGACCCTTTACATTATTTTTCGGTCAAAATTTTAAAAAATTTTCTGACCGGATTCGAACCCACAACCTATTTAAGTTATAAATTTAACCCACTACACCAACGAGGCATTGTAGAAATTTTTTTTGTTATTTCAACAATTTTTCTGGTTCTTTTAAACAATCTTTAGTTTAAAAATTTAAATTAATTTCCTGACCGGGTTCGAACCCTCAACCTACTTAAGTTATAAATTTATCCCACTACACCAACGAGACATCAACGAAGATTTTTCGAAATTTCAGCAAATTTTCTGATTATTTTGTGCCAATTTTTAGTTTAAAAATTAAAAAAATTTTCTGACCAGGTTCGAACCCACAACCTATTGGGGTTATAGCAATTTAACCCACTACACCAAAGATACATGGACGAAAGTTTTTGGTGTTTTATCAATTTTTTCGATTATTTGGGCCAATTTTTCATCATTTTTTAATTAATAAAGTTTCTTTTTAGGTCTTTTCCTCTGGGAAAAGGTTCAACGTCTCGATTTTCGTGGTCGTCGATTAACTTTAGTTGTGGAAGAAGAAATACAAAATTCAAAAAATTCTCAAGAATCACCACAACAACAATTAGTTCATTTACATACTTTTATTTTTCAAACAAATTCGAGTCGAGCAGCAAAAAATTTGTGGAAATGTGCAATTGAATTTCATACATTTTTTAGGCTCAAATTTATTGGAAATAATGGAATGAATAGAAAAATATTTTCGCCTTTATTTCGGTTAGGGAGTACTTTTCGTTATAGGTTTGTTTTTTTTAAATTTATTTTTTGGGGATTTTTGAGGTAGGAAAATGCTGGGACTTTTTTCAAAAATTTTTGGAGCCCTTGGTAATCTTTTCAAAAATTTTTGGAACATTTGGGACTTTTTTCAAAATTTTTTGGAGCCCTTGGTAAAAATTCGAAAATTTTTTGGAACCTTTGGGAATTTTTCTAAAATTTTTGGAACCTTTTTAAGAAAGCTTTAACCATTTAAATCAGAATAAATTTGATTCTTATGGCATTTTTTCATTATTTTTCGATAAAATTAAAAAAACATCCTGAGCGGATTTGAACCAACTGCCTTTTTTCCTTTAAAGATTTTTTAATTATAAAAAATTAAAGAGGAAGAACAGAATATGAAGCAATAAATAAAAATAATGAATTGCAATATCAACAACCAAAAAATTTAAATTTAATAGAAAGACCTCCATTTAGACGTCCTTCGCGTAGATATCCACCTAGACAACAACAACAAAAGAAGGAAGAAATTTTAAAAAGTCCAGTAAAAAGTTTGGATGGAGGAAATAATTTTTATTTTAATAATACTCAGGTTTCTTTTAAATTTTATTTTTAAATTTTATTTCCTTGGTAAAGCCCCGTTATGGCCCTTTTAAAGCCCCCCAGTCAGTAAGCTCTTCAGTCTCGAGGTCATGCTTTGGCCCATAACTTTTTTGATTCTCAACCGATTTAAATAATTATTAAAGCATTCGAAATCTATGGATGTGAGGATTATTTTACCTAACAGGATTGATTTGATCAGACCATTCTACACAAAGTTATAACCGAATAATGATAAAATATCACGATTGCGCGTACTTATTCGGCTCTAACTTTTTGTAAAGTGATCAGATCAAGTCCAAACAGTTAGCTCTAATAATCCTCATATCCAGAGCTTTCGATTGATATAAAAATTATTTAAATCGGTTTAGAATTAACTAGGTTATGACCCAAAATATGACCCCAAGATAGACGCATTTATGTTCTTAATTTTGTGGTCAAGTGGATATTAATGGTGACTACATTTCTAATTTATATGAAGATTCGAATCCTTTGATGGGAAAATGACTTTATTTGGTCCATTTTTAAAAATTTTTAGAATGGAATTAAACGACCTGCAATGTCAACAGAATTGTGAAAAAATATTCTTAATTAATTTATTAATTATTACCATTATTCATATCAAGACAACCACCTCAAATTGGGTATATTTTTTAAAATTTTTTTGTTGAGTCTTTTTTAATAAATTGGGAGCACTTTTCGTTATTTTCCCCTGTTTTAATGATATTTCTATTTCTATAAGGAGCTAATTTAATTATAATTTAATTGTTGTAGGGGTGGTGTAGTCGGTAGCGTTTCCGCCTTCACTCAAATTTCTATTAAGGTTCGAATCCTTTCATAGGAAAATATTTTATTTGCCCCATTTTTAAGCTTATTTAACCATTTTTAAAATTTTTCTTTTGTTTAAAATTATTTTAAAATTTTTTTTGAAAAACATGCCCTTGTTTTTTAAATTCCCTAGCTTTTAAAAAATTTCCCCTAACTTCTCCTAAAATCCCCCCCCCCCCCCCCCCCCATATTATGACTCACACAAAGCTAAGAGACTCAACAACAAAAGAATTATATTTTCAAAATTCTCTTTCAATTTTTTTACTTAAAATACTTTAATAAAACTACAAATTTTTTTACGTGTTTTGTTTTTATAACAACAAGAAAAAAAAAGAAAATAGGCAACACAAAAATAAATAAGCAGATTAATTAAATGCGCATAAATTGTTTGTAGTATTACAGATTTAGACTTGGAAATTCCTGCGTGTTTTTACTTTTAGATTGTTTGTATTGATGACTAAAAATTAAAAGGAGGAAGAAATAAAAGCCGCGACCTTTAAATCAGATTTTTTCATATTTTACATATTTTTCTTAGAAATTCTAGGAGAGCGACACTTGCGCGGCCGACATTTGCGTAACGACATTTGCGATATCTAGCCCTATTTAAAAACCTGTGATGGGTACTGTTTCTCCAAAAGTTACTGTATTCTCAGATTAACCCTAAAAGACCTTCCTGTCCTAATTTAAATAGGTTCTGGTTTTGTCCGCAAAAGTCAATCCGCAAATGATCGAAATGTCCGCAAATAACCTGAATTTTCCGCAATACTGTAGCAATACCGTACCTTAATTTTAGGCTTAAAAATGACCCTTCCATTGTCTTTAATCTCCCTATTTTTCCTTTTTATCAATTCCCAACCAATTTCTGCCCAATATTTGCAACAAGCCTGGCAAACTCCGTCAAATGGCCATTTAGCCTCCACATATTCTTCACCTCCCTTTGATCGTTGTTGTTTCTGTTGTTGTTTTTGCCCTGTTCCGTTTACACAAGTATGGCAACAACAACAGCCTTTTCCTGGAGATAAGTTTCCTCCTTCTCAAGGGTATGGACAGAGTCAGCAACAACAACAACAACAACAGCCGTTTCCTGGTGGAGAAAATAAGTTTCCCCCTTCTCAGGGTTATGGACAAAGTCCGCAAATGGTTAGTTTAGTTTTTAAATAATCTTCTGGGTGTCGATCTTTTGGGTTTAAATAAGTTGATAAGTTTTGGGGTGATCTTCTGGGTAGGCAGAAAGATTGATTTAGCTCCCTTCGATCTTTTGGGGAGGTTTTAGTTGAATGAGTTTGCGGACAAATTTTATTTTTTCACGAAAAAGTCCGCATACTTTGTCTGCAAAAATTTGCGGATTTTTTAGAGTTTAAGAGTTGATATTTTCGAGGTGACATTTTGGGTAGGCAGTAAAGTTGATTTAACCCTCTTCGATTTTCTAGGTCAATTATAATCAATTAATTTCCTTTAAGCACCCATATCAAGCATCCAATGCGGGTTACCACAACCAGCAACCTGATCAAATTGGAGATGAACATACAGGAACCTCAATGCAACAAAATAAATACCCACCGTCCATGCAAGCAGCGAGAATTGCTGGGAGTCCGACAGCAGGGTATTGGCCTTCTTTGAGTGAATCAAATCCTGAACACGGACAACAAAAACAGTCAACAGAAAACAGTGACTTTTGGCAAAATTTTCAAGGAATGGATCATCCAAATCAGAATAAGGTAGGGACGAAATGTCCACGACCAAATGTCTAAACGACCAAGTGTCCAACCGTTAAATAGACAAAATGTCAAGATAAGTAAAAACGACCAAATGTCCAGCCATATGGCAAAAAGTAGGAGTGACAAAAGGTCTACTCTATAATTATGACAAAAGGCCTACTGGCAAAACGTCTAAATACACAAATGTCAAAACACCCAAACGAAAATATAGACAAAATGCACGCCCAAATAAGAAAATCCGCAAAAAACTTGCGGACTAAAAATTCATCTATTTATTAACAATTTTTACAGGAAACACGCAATATGGAAGAGCCATTTTCTGGGCAAACAGGAGATGAAACACTACTTCAAAAGGCTAAACAAATTGACGAAACAATAAAAAAGAAAAAATAAAAATCTCTACTAAAATTAAAAAATCTCATCTAGTTTTCTTCACCCAAAATGTAACCCCAATTCAATCCATCTTTCATAAAAAGCTAATAATGAAAAGAAAAAGGCCGTCATACAAGCAAAAAAGGCCAAAAGACAGCGATCTATACAGTTGGCCAAAAATTCCCATTCCAAGGCACACCTTGAGAAAATTAAAAATAAAATTTTGTCCGCAAAAAATTGCGGATTTTTAGGAAATTATTTTTTGGTTAAAATCCGCAAAAGCTGTCCGCAATTTTTTTTCCGCAAAAAAGTTGCGGACTTATTAAAAATTAGTTTTCATGGAAAAGTCCGCAAAAGTTGTCCGCAACTTTTTTGTGTCCGCAAAAAACTTGCGGATAAAAAATCCCTCCAAAAATTCCCTTCAAACCTTCTCATCATCTTCTGCCTTTTCATAAATCTCAAGCTTGGACGGCCACCTCCAGCAACCCATATTCGACTTCCCTTTCTTATTTCTTTTTGTAATCTGTGGAATTCTGCTTTTCGGTGGCCGAAAACTCCCTTAAAATTGAAAAAAAATTTTTGGGTAAAAGTCCGCAAGTTTTGTCCGCAAGAACTTGCGGACTTTAAAAGAATTTTTTGACGAAAGTCCGCAAGTTTTGTCCGCAAATTTTTTTTGTCCGCAAAAAATTTGCGGATTTTTAAAAAAAATTTTTCAAAAACAAACCTTTGAAAGGAAATCAGCAGCCTCATCAATTGTTTCCCTCCTCCTCCTTTCTCTCCCCACAGTTCTACTTGCAGTCTGGGCAATTTGTTTTGTGGCAGAAACCAATTGTTTTGTTTGGGTAAAACTTTCACGGGCTGCCAGTTTTCCTTTGGGCAAAGAAAAATGTTTTTCTTCTGTCGTTTTCTCCACAGCCTTTTCTCCCCCGTCTTCCTCAATGTTGTTAATCAATCCATATTCAGCCCAAATTTCTTTTAAATCGGAAGGGGGTTCAAGAATAAATCTCCAAAGCCAGCGACGTAAAAGGAAGTAGTTAAGGACTCCAGAAGGTGGCAATTGCATTAATGACTGGAAAATAAGAAATAAAAATCAGCGGTAAAGGCCCATAAAAAGATTCGTAAAGGCCCATAAAAGGATTCGAACCTTCATATAAATTGGAGGTGTAGTCACCACAAAATCCACTTAACCACAAAATTAAGAATACCAAATGTCTATCTCGAGGCTATATTTGGGCATAACTTTTTTATTTCTTAACCGATTTAAATAATTATTATATCTATCGAAAGCTCTGGATGTGAGGATTATTTTAGCTAACAGGACTAATTTGATCAGATCACTGTAAAATAAGTTATAGCCGAATAAAGATAACAAATCACGATTACGCGCACTTGTTCGGCTATAACTTTTAGTAGATTGATCTGATCAAATCAGTCTTGTTAGACAAAATAATCCACACATCCAGAGCTTTCAAATGATATAATATTCATTCGGAAAGGTAGAAATTCAAAAAAGTTATGACCCAAAATATGGCCTCGAGACTACAAAAAATTCTGAAACGGCCTATACTACAGCGAACTTCCCCCCCCCCCCCCCTAAAAAAATTTTTTAATAAAGGGAGGACCCCCCCTTCAAAAAATAAAATTCTATTTAAAATACCAAACCTTTCGAGAATGAATAAAAAGTACAAAAGTAGCAATGAGAGTGCCAAAAACACAAGTTCCAATTATTCCCATATAGTACCTTAAAGAAAATTTTTTTTAAGTTTTCAAAGAAAATTTAAAAAAACCAGCTCATAAGAGGGACATAACTCGAAGTATTTGGCATTTGATTTGTCACATGAAAATTAGAAAACAATTTTATAAAAAAAATTTTGCGGACAAATATTTGCGGACAAAACTGAATTTTATTGAAATGGATTAAACGACCGTTTTGGACATGTCCAATATCACGGCATAGACATTTGGTGATATTTGGGTGTATATTTCAGCAAGGGAGTATCCAGGGGTCGGATTTTGAGGGATGGCCTCACCGCTGGACATTCCCTTTCAGAAATTAATTAAAGAAAAATTTTTCCGCAAATCTGTTGGGTGTCCGCAAATAACGAGCGGATGTCCGCAAGTCTAGTGGGTGTACGCAAAAGTCCAAGGGATGTCCGCAAATATCGAGTGAATGTCCGCAAGTCTAGTGGAAGTAAGCAAGTTGTCCGCAAAATTTTTTTGTCGCAAAAATCAATCCGCAGAAATTCCACGTTATTATACCATCAAAAGCATCAACATCATTGTCATCAACTTAAAAAATAAATTTTTTAAATTAAAAATAAACAAAAATATTTACAGTATTAATTCCCAAATAAAGCTTTTCATCTCTTTCGCTGCTGCTTGAAGAAGGTGTAAAAAATCCAGTGACTGCAACGACTGTAATGATGGAAGTGGGCAGTACCAAATTGACTAAAAATTGAAAATTGGGGGAAAATTCAAATTTTGGACACTTTTCCGGAAAAAATCCGCAACTTTTTATCCGAAAAAAGTTGCGGACAAATTTTCAATTTGCGGATTTTTGCGGACAAAAATTTTCATCCGTAAGAACCAAAAAAAGTTAAGGCCCAAAATATGACTTTGAGGCCGAACATATGACTATGACTTTTGCGAAAAAACTTGGAGACTCTCAAAAATTAAAAAAAAAATTTTTTACCTATATAGTAGAGCGGTTTACGTTGAATAACCTCAAAAAAGAAAAAATAATTCAAATAATTTTAAAAAAACCAAATGAGCATAAAGCATAGTCCATGGATTTTTACAACATTTGAATTGTTGCTAAAAAAATTTTAAAAATTTTAAGGGGATTTCGGAAAATTATTTAAAAAATCCGCAAGTTTTTTGCGGACAAAATTTTTGCGGATTTTCAAAGAAAAATTTAAAATCCGCAAATTTTTTGCGGATTGATATTTGCGGATTCTACTAAAAAAATTTTTTGTCCGCAAGTTTTTTGCGGACTAATTTTTGCGGACAATATTAAATTTAAAAAACCTCAATTCTCTCAAAATTAAAGCTAATAACAGTCCACTCATCATTTTGGGCAAAATTTAATAAATTAACTGTTGGCCTTTCATAGTGGTAATTAATTGTAGCGCTATCATGAGTCCAAGACGAGATAATGAAACTACAGTTCTTTTAAAATTTATAGTAATTAAAATTTTTAATAGTAAATTTTAAACCTGTTGATCGTAGGGGAAGAAACGGCTGCAAGAAAAAAAATTAAAATAAAACAAATAAATCAGAATTTAAACTTAAAAATAAGGTTTGAACCTAAAATTAAGCTTGAACTTAAAAACAGAGTCAAGCTTAAAAATAGAATTATGGCTTAAAACCAGAATTCTGACTTTTAAATCAGAACTTAAAATCAGAATTTGACTTAAAATCATAATCAAACTTCAGAAACCCCTGGCTAGAAAATTAGAATCAAGCTTGAACTTAAAACCCCAGAATTCTGACTTAAAATCAGAATCTAAGCTTAATCTTTAAAGAATCAGAATTCTGATTTTAAACCAGAATAGACTTTAGAAGGTTTTAAGCTCAAGTTCTGGTTTTCAGAATTTTTTCCTTTAAAAAACAGAACTTAATCTTGATCTTAAATATAAAAATTCTGATTTAAATTTAAACTTTTTAAGCTTCCCCTCATTTAATATAAAATTCCCCTCCTTCCCCTTACTTACACATTCATTCGACAACTAAGTTTGTAAATTGCTGGAAACATTAATTGAACAGCCGCTCCTTTTCCATCCTTCTTTAATCAAAAAACTATTTTTATAAAGAATATTCAAGTAACTAACTCGCCAATATCCAGTCTTAAATTTAAAAAATTAACCGAAAAATTTTTTCAAAAAAACCTCAACAATTGCATTCATTAAAGCTTCAGTACTTCTTCTATCCATCTTTTCAGAGTTGTAAAGCACCAAAAAAATTAAAAAAATATATTTCACCCAGTAATTAATTTTCAAAAAAAGTCCGCAAGTTTTGTCCGCAAATTTAAAAAAGTCCGCAAATTTTATCCGCAAATTAAAAAAAGTCCGCAAATTTTGTCCGCAAGTTTAAAAAAATGTCCGCAAGTTTTATCCGCAAGTCAATTTGAGGACTTTTGGAACCAAATCCATTTTTGAAACCAAAAATCCGCAAGTTTATTTGCGGACAAAATTTGTGGACTTTTTTTAAACTTGCGGACAAAAGTTGCGGAATTAAATTTTAAAAAATTAAAAGAAAACCGTATCAGGCACCCATATTTGTTGATAAGGCACTATCGTTTTGTTGATCATTTCGAATTTGTTTGGGTCCCAATCCAAAAACTTTTGAAGGAAAAAATGTTTTTTGAAAGAAAACCAAGGAAATACCTCATCAAACCAATTTTGAACCTTTAGAAAAATTGAAATTTTTAAATAAATCCCCCTACATACCATCCACACGTTCACAACAATGCTTTGTTTACGTTCGTCCTATAATTAATTCTTAAAGAATCCGCAAGTTTTGTCCGCAAGTCAACCTGCGGACTTTTGGAACCATGTCTGTTTTAGAACCTAAAATCCGCAAGTTGATTTGCGGACAAAACTTGCGGAAAGTAAATAAAGCTTAAACTCAAAAAACTAACCACTTCCAATATTTGGTACAGAGACATGCTTAAATTGACACGTGTTGATTCTCTAAAGTCTCTACGAGGGTGAACTTAAAAATAATTCTTAAAAAATAAAAAACGGTTCCTTTCCTTTATGGTCTCAAAAAGTCCGCAAGTTCTGTCCGCAAAAGAGATGTTTCCGAAAGGGAAAATTTCCGAAATATAGGAACTTGCCCAATCCCGATCCGGCCAATCTCTAAGGATTCTTCCCATCCCCGGCACCGAACCATGACCTGACTTTTTCTCGTCGTCCCTTTCCTGATGCAAATCCTTTCCTGATAAAAAATTTTCCAAAAACTTGCGGACAGACTTTGCGGACTCTTAGTGACCACAAAGGAAAGGAAACCCAGTTATCTAAAAAAACCTGTAGGATCATAACTTTCCAAAATTTCTTCCACCAATCTTCTATGTCCAGTAAATAATTGCTGCTCTTCTATTGGAAGGCGTTTTTTAAATAATTTATTTTCTTCCTCAAAATCGAGGGAATTATTTTTTGAGTCTTTTGTATTTCTTCTAGGCATTCTTCCTTCTCTTAGAACAAAAGCACGAAGGCGGATGTCATCTACAGAAAATTCAGGGGCTGATTCTTGCTTTAAAAATTTAAAAATAAATGAATTTAAGGCAAAATCCGCAATATTTGTCCGCAAAAATAAAAAATTTGCTGACAAAACTTGCGGACTTTCCATCTTTGTCCGCAAATTTTGTCCGCAACTTAAATAAAAATTTTTGCGGCAAAACTTGCGGATTTTGCAATTTGTCCGCAAATTTTGTCCGCAAGTCAAATAAAAATTTTTGCGGAAAAACTTGCGGATTTTGCAATTTATCCGCAAATTTTGTCCGCAAAAATTAAAAATTCTTGCGGACAAATTTTGCGGACCTTTAAATAAATTAAAAAAAACCTCCAAGTGTTTATACCCCCAAGATTCAACAGAACTTGACAATTCCTCCATCCACCCCATTTTTTCAAAACAAACAATTCCTTTCAGAAAAAATGTCCAAAGAAGAATATTCATTCAAAAATTAATTTTTAGGTCATTTTAAAATACTTGGCCAGGATTAAAAATTTTTTTTTCTTTTTCTCCTATTTTTAAAATGAAACAAGAAAAAAAAATTAAAAATGGCAAAAAGAATGAATATTTAATTTTCATCTTTTCCAGAGAATCAGAGGGAAATGCCCAGGAAAACTGCCGGGGGAGCAAAAAGCTTTTCATTGTTATTAAACAAGACTACCCCCCCCCTCTTTTTCAAAGAGGTGACACAATCGATGCCGAACAGAAAAAAAAAGAAAATTGTGCCCTGCCCTTCCTAACAATGTATAAAGGTGTGTAAAATACTTCAAAAAATGCTTCATGAAAATAGCAGAAAATTACTTTAAAAAATCTGGAAAAATAGGCAAATTTGAAAATTGGGAGGGGAACACTTTCTAACGAGAAAAATATTTTTTAGAGTTTCCTCCTTCAAAAAAGTTTTATAAAAAATTTCCAGTAGAGAGATTGTACTAATTTATTGTCTGATATTTTTAAAAGGACCTAACAAAAATTATAAAAAAAAATTAAATTTGTCCGCAAAATATTTGCGGACAAAACTTGCGGACAAAATTTTTTCGCAAGTTTTATCCGCAAAATATTTGCGGACACAGATTTTAAAAAATAAAAAAATTCGAACCTTTATCCTCCCTTTTACTTCTTCCCACCTTCTTCATCATCTTCTTCTTCCTCTTCCTTTTCTTCATCATCAACAGCATTGGGTTGTATTCCACTTTCATCAGGCCAATCTTCAGAAATTTCTTCCCCTTTATACACACACTCAGCCAACTCCAATTTTGGGATATTTATATCCTTAAAAATTGATTTACACAGTCAGAACTCGCTGTAAAAAGACCTCAATTTAAGACACATTTTTGAAAATTTGAAAGGTCAACGAGTACACAGGGGAGGCACGGGTTACCCAAAGCCCCCAAACAGAACTTTTTTCGACCCAAACCTTAACCCGAAGAAAATTTTGGAAACCCTAGTCGACTTTTCTCAACCCGTGACATTCCCATTTTGGGGTAATCCTGTGGGGGTATTGGCCGGTTTGCTACCTTTTCCAATCCTGAGTCCAGTTCTGAAAATCTTGGCTCCGGTTCAGAAGACTGGTGTGGGAAAGGTGTGGGAAAGCTGACTGGTGTGGGAAAGCCTAACAACTCGCCTTGCTTTAAAGAATATAATTTTTAGCCCCAAAAGTTGAGGTCCCACCGTATATATTTAAACTTTCAAACCTTTATTTCCTTAATTCTCCAAAAATTGTTCTCCTCAGTTTTTTTATGTTTCCTCTTCCACCGGTCATAGCCTAGACAGGCCTTTCTCAGTTTTTTACAAAGTCTGGGGGCGATTGTTTTTGTTACTCGATTAATTAGCCAATTTGGCAATTTTCCTGTGAAAAATTTGAAAAAAATTTAAAAAAAATTAAAAAAACCTTTAGGGTCAACCAATGTTAAATAAGTAAATTGACATCCTTTTTCTAGAGCCTTCACATAATTAATTGTTAAATAAACTGTTCCTCTAATGTAGTTTTTGGTAGGCGGAAATTTCTGAAATGAAAAGATATTGTAAAAGAAGTCCGCAAATATTGTCCGCAAGTATTTTCCGCAAATATTTTGTTCGCAAAAAAGTCCGCAAAAGTTGTCCTCAAAATTTGTCCGCAAGTAATTTGTCAATTCGTTCGCAAATATTGTCCGCAAATATAGTCCGCAAATTTTTTATTTTTTGCGGACAATTGACTTGCGGACAAGAATATAAAAAAATACATCATGCCAAACAGAATGTGCCAAAATAAACTTTTCTTTGCCTAAATCAGCCCACGAACGTAGCAACACAAAATCACGGTTGCGAAAAGGTGGAAGAGAGCCAACTAAAAAAGATGGTGTAGTGGGATAATTTTTAATTTTCGGTCATATAGGTCGGGGGTTCGACCTCTTTTGAGGGGAATCATTTTAATGACCCTATTTTCTCTCCCAACCAAATTCTTCTCTCATCAAGAAAAATTTCAGTGTTACATGGTGTAGTGGGATAATCCCCAATTTTCAGTCTTAAGGGTCGTGGGTTCGAACCCCGTTGCCGGAAAATCATTTTTAACAACCCTACTTTCTTTTTAATTTCAAAAAAAGTTTTTAACCTGTATAGTAACACACATCATTGTTTTGATCCAAATAGCCAATTCTAGTCGTAGTCATCAAATATTTATCCCACTTAACCAGAAAATAATTTTTAAATAAAAATTCCCCTACTTTATATCGATAATCAGAATCCTTTAAAAAACAATTAATTAAAAAAAATTTTTTCAACGTAAAAAACTTGCAAAACATCATAACAGACATCAGCTTGAACATCTTTAAATTCACTCTTAGATTTGTACATTTGAAGTGGAGAATCAGGCAATTTGCGGCTCCATACTTTAGTTTTCTTTCCCTCAAATTCAATTTCCCAGTTTGTATTATCCTCACATAAAGCTCTTTAAAAATTTTTGAATTTAATTTTACAACTTTTTCCTAATGCCCTCTTCATCACGCCGGTTTCCCCTTCAAAAAAAGATTTTAGTGTCAGTGTGGTGTAGTGGGATAATTCTTGATTTCCTAGTCAGAAGGGACGAGGGTTCGATACCTCTTGGGGGAAAATCATTTTTTAACACTTTTTTATTTCCTCTCTAAGCTCAAAAGATGTCTCACGGTCACCTGGTGTAGTGGGATAATTCTTAATTTCTAGTCGGAAGGTTCGGGGGTTCGACTCCGCTTGGGGAAAATCTTTTTTAATACCTCCTAACGTTCTCCCCTTTCTAAAAATAAGGTCTAAAGTCTAAATAAGTCCAAAAAATTTAAAAAATACCTAGCATATTGATAATCTCCTTCTTCAAGTGCTTTTACAACATTTACATTTATTGCATCCGAAAGTTTTGCACCTTCAACAGTAGGCAACCCAACAGATTTTTGTTTGGACAACACTTAAAAATACAGTCAAACTACTAAAAATACGAAAAAACCTTGTTCATCATGACTCTTATTCATTTCCCTTCACAAGAAGAAATAAAAATGTCTTCCAGTCTCCCCAAGTTTATACAAAAATTTCGCGGGGAATTCTCTCAAATTTTAGTCAATTTATAATGTTAATCCTTTTGTTAAAAAGTAACAAAAGTATATTTATTTTTTAATCAGATTATTTCCTTATAAACTATTTTTTGGGGGGATGACAGAAAGAATTCTTCTTTGTTCGACACAACGATAACGAACAACGACAAACTTCAAACTACTATCAATAAACAATTTTTGTACAAAAAAGTGTAACGTGTCTTTCCACGATCACAAGAAAATCACAATAGACGAGGAGACACATCCAAAAAACCAAAATTCAACCCAATTTCAAAAACATGTTAAGATGGTGCAGTGGGATAATTTTTGATTCTCAGATAGAAAGGGCGGGGGTTCGACCCCTTTGGCGGAAATTAATTTTTAATACACCCTATTCTCTCTCAACTGATTCACCCACAAAAAATTCAGTGTCAAGTGGTGTAGTGGAATAATCCCCATTTTCTCAGTTAGAAGTGACGATGGTTCGACCCCTCTTGGTGGGAAAAAATGAAAAAATCTCCAATATTCACCTAAAAAGTCCCTAAACCCTAAAAATACAACTTTTAACAAAACAAAATAATTTTACTCAAAAAACATAACGATCATATCGGAAAAAACAATTTTATAGATAAATTGTGTATATGTCGGGGGAGGATAGAGAGAGGAGGAGAGTCAAAGGTCTTTATATGAATGTTTTCAAAAAAAAATCATTAAATATAATTGGAATATAATCAAAAAAGAAGAGATACTCAATTTAATCAACTTCTTCAATGGTTGGACCTCCAGCTCCACCAGCGCCACCGGCACCACCGCCTGGCATACCACCAGCTCCAGGCATTCCACCAGGCATACCTCCAGGCATTCCAGCACCACCCGCAGATTGATAAAGCTTCGAAATGATCGGATTGCAAATAGCTTCCAATTCCTTTTGATGATGCTCAAATTCTTCCTTCTCAGCAGTCTGGTTGGCGTCTAACCAAGAGAGCGTTTCCTGACATTTGTCCAAAACCTTCTTCTTATCGTCTTCGCTAATCTTGTCCTTGAGCTGAAAAATATATGAAAAATTAAACAAGTCCCTTATAAGAGGGTGGACCCTGACGGATTCAAAAAAGGAAGACAGCCCTATCCCCAGTCCATCCCACAACAAGACATTTCATCCCTGACCCCAGTCCATGCCCCTTATGCCCATCCCCCCTTCCCTCAGAACATGCCAAACATGACAGGCCATCCCCCAACAAGACAACCCATCCAATTCCTCAAATAAGAAAGCCCAACCCATTCCTAAGACACCCGATCCACACCTTATTCCCTCAAAATCAAACCTTATCATCCTCCATTGTCTGCTTGATGTTGAAGCAGTAAGACTCAAGACCATTCTTTGCAGAAACACGATCACGCTGAATTTCATCCTCTCCACGATACTTCTCAGCTTCTTGGACCATACGCTCAATTTCGTCTTTGGAAAGACGTCCCTTGTCGTTAGTGATGGTGATCTTGTTTTGCTTTCCAGTCGACTTGTCTTGGGCAGAAACATTCAAAATTCCGTTGGCGTCAATGTCAAAGGTGACTTCGATTTGAGGAACACCACGAGGAGCAGGAGGAATTCCACTCAACTCGAATTTGCCCAACAAGTTGTTGTCCTTAGTCATAGCACGTTCACCTTCGTAGACCTTTAAAAAGAAAATTTCAAAAATCTTCAAAAAAAATTCCAAAAATTTTTCCCAACCTGAATAAGAACACCAGGCTGGTTGTCAGAATAAGTAGTGAACGTTTGAGAAGTCTTGGTGGGAATAGTCGTGTTCCTCTTAATCAACGGAGTCATGACACCTCCAGCAGTTTCAATACCCAAAGAGAGTGGGGCAACGTCCAAAAGAAGAAGATCCTTTAAAAAATTTTTTCAAGTCTTTGACCCAAAACCCCTCAAAAAGATACCTGAAGGCCTAAGTACACTTTACCGGGCGATTTTAGATTTTTATGATTTATATGTCAATCGAAAGAGCTCGGCGAGCTGAGTCGAATGACACCAAAATTAGCCCGCGGACTCAACTATGGACCGAGATATGGGTCCCCAAAAATCGAAAAACCATAGGGGGGCCCAAGCACTTTTTGGGGGTAAAAAATTCAAATATGCAAATTATACCTCATTCGAAAGAGCTCGTCGAGCTGAGTAAAATGACACCAAAATCACCGTGATCAAACAAGATAAGACAAAGTTATGATACAAGTAAAGCAAAAAAACCTAAACCTATGGGGCGTCGGCGAGGCGCTTGTGCAAAACCCCGCGCTTCGCGCGGGGTTTTGCGGCACGCGCCTCGCGGGGAGTCTACGGGCGCTGGGTCTGGGCTCGTAACATAAACCTATTCCTATCTCCCTTGCTCTGAACGTATTTGGGGCCTCCGTAGCAGCAAAAATCTCCACAGATGCCATAGGTAAGGAGCTAAAATAAAAGATCATAACTTTGTCAAATCAAGTCGGATTTCGTTGATTTTGGTGTCATTCGACTCAGCTCGACGAGCTCTTTTGAATGAGGTATAATTTGCATATTCGAACTTTTTACCCCCAAAAAGTGCTTGGTCCCCCCTATGGTTTTTCGATTTTTGGGGACCCATATCTCGGTCCATAGTTGAGTCCGCGGGCTAATTTTGGTGTGATTCGACTCAGCTCGCCGAGCTCTTTCGATTGACATATAAATCATAAAAATCTAAAATCGCCCGGTAAAGTGTACTTTAGCCCACCTGAACATTCTCAGACTTATCGCCAGACAAAATTGCAGCCTGAACAGCAGCTCCATAGGCGACAGCTTCGTCCGGGTTGATGCTCTTGTTAAGTTCTTTACCAGAAAAGAAGTCAGACAGAAGCTTCTGGACTTTAGGAATTCGAGTCGAGCCTCCAACCAAAACAATGTCATGAATCTGAGACTTGTCCATCTTAGCATCACGAATTGATTTCTCAACTGGATCCATAGTACTGCGGAACAAATCGGCGCAAAGCTCTTCAAAACGAGCACGAGTGATGTTGGTGTAGAAATCAATTCCATCAAATAGAGAGTCAATCTCAATGCTAAAATGGATTCAAGTTAAGGTAAAAAAACTCAAAAATAACCTCGCTTGAGTAGAGCTAGATAAAGTCCTCTTAGCGCGTTCACAAGCAGTACGAAGACGACGGAGAGCACGCGGATTGGTGGCAAGGTCCTTCTTGTGCTTACGTTTGAACTCAGCAACGAAGTGGTTGACCTTTAAAAAATATTTCAGTTAAAAAAACTAAAAAAACTCCAAACCATTCGATTGTCAAAATCTTCGCCTCCAAGGTGAGTGTCTCCAGCAGTCGACTTAACCTCAAAAATACCATCTTCAATAGTCAAGATTGACACATCAAAAGTTCCACCGCCCAAGTCAAAAATCAGAACATTTCGCTCGCCTTGGCCCTTCTTATCCAATCCATAAGCAATGGCCGCAGCAGTTGGCTCGTTGATGATACGCAAAACATTGAGTCCAGAAATCGTTCCAGCATCCTTTGTGGCTTGACGTTGACTGTCGTTAAAGTAGGCTGGCACAGTGATGACAGCGTCTTTAACGGTTTGGCCTAAGAACGCCTCAGCCGTTTCCTTCATCTTAGTCAAAACCATTGCCGAAACTTCCTTAAAAACCAAAAAATTGAACTCAATCCAAGTAAAATCCAAATCAAACCTCAGGGAAGAACGCCTTCATTTCACCTTTAACCTCCACTTGGATTTTTGGACGAGCACCTTCTCCTTGAATAACCTTGAACGGCCAATGCTTCATGTCCGATTGAACAGCCGGATCGTCAAACTTGCGTCCAATCAAGCGCTTCGCGTCTGAAAATAATTTTTGAAACGTTTAACCAAAAACAAAAGAAAATACCAAAAACAGTATTCGACGGGTTCATTGCCACTTGATTTTTAGCAGCGTCGCCAATCAGACGCTCGGTGTCCGTAAAGGCAACATACGATGGAGTCGTGCGATTTCCTGAAGAAAATAAAGTTAGAACTCGAAAACTCGTTCAGAAAACAAACCTTGATCATTAGCAATGATTTCAACTTTTCCATGCTGGAATACACCAACGCACGAATAAGTTGTGCCAAGATCAATTCCGACAGCGTTAGCTTTAGACATTTTTAAAAGATTTTTTTAAAATGATAGCTGAAAAACAAGAAAAGTTTAAGACTTTTAGGAGGAGTGAAATAAGTGTGAAAACGCGAAAATGAAAATAACTCAAATCCTTATATAGTCAGAAAATAAGGGGGATATCGCGAATCCAAAAGTCAACAGAACAGAGGCCTACCAACCCCAAACTTAAGGAAGTCAAAGGGACTGAAAAATGTCGATAACTCAAATCCTTATGTAGCCAAAAAGAAAGGGGATAACTCGAAAGTACCTAAAAAGCCACTAAAATAGAACCCAGACAACCCCAATCCCTTAAACAGTCGAACGAAACAATTAACAGAAAAAGTGACGATTTAAAGATCTAGAAAATTCTTTCTTTTATACGAAAAATGATTTTTATAGTAAGCAAAAGCTTCTCGTTTTGCAATCTTCCACTACACAGAAAAAATGAAAAAGTATGAATATGACAACAGCGTCTTCTTAAATAACTTTTCCTTAGAATTTGCGAGAGAGCAATGGAACATTCTAGAAGTTATTTTAATTGAGATGTTTTGACGCCAAGTTTTAACTGCGATGAAATATTCGCAATGAAACGACCAAAGCGAATGTCAAAAACTTTCGTGTCTGTGTGTCTCTTAAAACTACGTTATCTCTTCCCCTTCTCTGTCTCTTTCACTTTCTGCTTTAAGACGAAACGTCGTTTTTTGTCTTTCTTGACATTTTGTCTGTAGAGGTTTCGTATTCTTCAACCTTTTATCCTTCGTTTAATCAACTTTTTATTTGTCCACAAGCTAAAATTTTTCCATTTTCTCAACAGTTTTAAGCCTATCAAAATTTAAATAATGTCTTCAGGCGTTTATCGTGGAGGAGTTTTAAAATTGAAAGGGAAAAAGCAATTGTAAGTATATTTTCTCAATTTTTAATCAATTTATTCAAATTTAGATTTAAGTCAAAGAAGAATACAGAGAAGAATGCCAAAGCTAGTTCATCAAAAGTTGATGAGGATGCTGATGAAAGAGGTTTTTAAATTTTAGTTTAATTTATTGCTAAGATTAGTGTACGGCGCGGGAGGGATCTCATGCGGGATTTTACTTGGTCCTGTCCCCAAATCCAGTCCTGGGGTTTAGTCGACAAACGGGATTAATCCCACGGGCCCTCCCGTCTGATCATCTAAACTCAATCCCGTTACGGAACCAGTCAATTCGATTTGCCTTACTCTACTTAATATTTTTAGGCGGTTGGAGAAGAATAGAAAACGAAGCCGAATTGAAAGGAGGAATTGATATTGCTATTGAACATGGGGATTTTTCAAAGTGTTATTTGTCTGCTATGGACAACGGCAAATTCACTCTTGGCGCTAGACATGTGTGTCATGGAGAGCCTCCAAATCCTGAAGAGATTTTATCTTTAATTAAATGCCCTGACGAGCCTAAAATAAGGTTAGACTTGAGCTTTATGATTACCCCTAAATTTACCCCTCCTTTCAGCCTCAAAACAGGTTTTGGAAAATATGTTGGATTTGATTCTGGAGGTTGCCTAATTGCGACTGCTGACGCTATTGGTGATAGAGAACGCTTTGGAGTTGTATTTCAAGATGTAATTTATTTTAAATTTAATTTTTTAACATTTTTGTTTTAAAGGGAAAGTCAGCATTGCTTGCCCATAATGGATTTTTTCTTTCACTTGCACCGGATGATGACGGCTATGTTTATGTCAGCTCAAAAACAGCGCATGCCAATGAAATTATCAACGTTTGAATTTATTTTTAATATTTTTGTTTAATAGGATTCTAGTCCCAAAAAATGGGTCCTCCCAGTAGGTAAAATGACTAACGATCAACTCCAAATATTTAGGTGGATAAGAGGGGCTCAAGCTAAAGAATACGTTGGCCTGCTCCCTTTAACCTTTTCTGACAGTTGCACCAGAGCATTTCTGTCTTCTTTCCCTTATTCAAAAAAACCATCCTAATCCGCCTAAATATTTGGAGAGTTGTCCTTTAGGGTCATTTGACCTTTTGGCTGATCCCCAAAAATATCAAAGAATCCCCTTTTGCCTATAAATTAAAAATTTATAAATATTTTCAGATTCGAACAAATACAGAAAAGGAAGGCCCCGTAGATTGGCTCACTGCTGACGATAAGAAAAAGGCTGCTGATTGTGAAACTGCTTATGTGTATGCTTTTTATTTTTCCTCAAAAATATTTAAAAAATAATTCACAGTAAAATGTATCAACATTCACGAGTTGAACTGAAAAACAAATGCATCAGTTATAATGTTGCAGACAAATCTGAAGTGAAAAGGGCACAGAGGGAAGGTGATTTACATGAAACTCTTTTGAATCGACGAGCGAAATTAAAATCGGATAAGTATTGCTAAAAAGTGTATATTTTTTTTTCGGTTTTTAGATAAATTTTGCTCCTATATTTCTAGTAAGTATTGGAGGTTCTCCCCTCCTCTTGAGTATGGGAGCCCCCTCCCCCTTTACTTTTGGGAGGCCCAGGGAACATTTTGATACAGAACATGGATGTCACGGGTTCAGAAAAAAGTCACAACGTCGAATCGGGTATCGGGTTGAAAAAAGTCCAGGTATCGGGTTGGGTCATTTAGAGGGATTAAGAGGGGAAAGTTGTTTTGGTTTTTGGAAATTTTTGGATTGGGTTTCGGACGACTCGTGATATATCGCTGATGGGAGCCCCATCTACTTATTGCATGCCTATACAAAATACAATTCCACTCATGTCAGAACTTTATTTTTAAAATTATTTATTATTACAAATTAAATAAATATTTGACAAAATACAAAGTGAATAGGAAGGCTTTTAGCTATTAAAATCTTTAAATTTCAAAAATTACTTGAAAAAAATTTTTTGGGGAGGTTTTATAGACAAAATGTCCAATCGTTTGGCTAATTTTAAATTTAACAGAATTAGGGATTTTAATTAGTTTTTAATTAATTTTTTAATTAATGGTCCAAAATACGTAAATTCCCTGAGACTATTTTATTCTCCAAAACCGTTCCAGCCGGAATGTCAATTCGATCACCATAATTGGCTATGATAATTACGGTTCCCTAAAAATTTGATTTAGTAAAATCTCGTCATATGTCCCCGAAAACCGATTCAGATAAACAATAGGTCATTCAAAGAGCTCGTCAAGCTGATGTGAGTCGGATGACACCAAAATTAAGCTTCGGTCTCAACTAAGGGCCAAGATACAATCCCCTCAATAGCAAGAAACCATAGGGGAACCAAGCTCATTTTTAGGGTAGCCTGACTCCCTCTCTACTACATTTATTGACCATTATCAGCCCATAACTTGGCCTACAATTAAGATCGAAGATTAATTTTGGTGCCAATCGACTCGGCTCGACGAGCTCATTCAAATAACTTATTGACTGTTTGAATCGGTTACCGGGATATGACAGAAATTTTTCAATTAAATTAACCTTTAAAGTCACATCTCTTCCAAACCAAACATCGCCTGAAACTGTCAAATGATCCAATTCCAAAAGATCAGGAATTCCTTGAAATCTTTTTGAAAATTCTTTGACTTTATCGAAGGAGCTGCCCAATTTAACGAGTGGAGTAGTTGGAAAAGAACGCAGAGAACTGAGCGTTACATAGCCATTTTCAATGTCATAGAGGTTGCTCATTAGTAGCAGCAAATCGGAGGTTTTCTTGACGGGCAAAAAGCGTGATCGAGGGACGTTAATGCCTAAAAAAATTTTTAAACATTAGAGCTTGACACAGGGACTGAACGAAGGTTTTCTGGCCCAGAAACGAAGTATATTGATTAAATCCGGTTTCTAAGGGGTTCTAACCAGGCCCGGATCACCTTAAAAGAAAAACCCCCAGATATCGGGCCTGGCTCGACACCAAGCCGTAGCCGATTTTTCCGGACCCAGAAATCAGGAATTTTGGTAAAATCCGTTTTTCGGGGTTCTAACCAGGAAACCCCCGGCCCGAGTCACCCCGAAATAAAAAAATATACCGCAAGCATTTTTGAAGCATTTTACTGCAGCACCAGCAGCTGTTTCCAGTTGGATTACGTCTACTCCCCTGTCCAAATGTTTTGGGTTGACAATTACCTGCATTTTGATATTTTTGAGTAAATTCATAAAAATAATTTAAAAAACCTCTATATCCAATTCTCCAGCAGTTACAACACGTTTAATTGCTTCAAGATTGGCCCAAAGGTTGTTGGTGTTGAATATTCTAAAAATGAATTTTGGGTTGCCTCTTGAATAAGGTTGTTGGTTCTTGGAGAATTTTCGTATATCCGGAACGAACCGGAATTTCGGATATCTAGAACCGAGCCGAATTTCGGATGTTCGAAATAGAACCGAAAAATCATTAACTCTTCTATTCGGTTCTAGACCGACAATCCTACTCTTGAAGCCAAGAACCCCAACAAACAAAAATTAATATTAACCTGAATTTGTTGACCGATTTGAATTCTAAAAAGAAATGATTTTTATAATTTATTTGAAATAATACCATCAACATAATCCGGCGGTACTTGCGCAATTTCGAGTAACATTAAACGTCCTTCATACTCGATCCTGGAAAATTGAAAATTAATTTAATTCTATTCTTTGAGTCAACCCAAAATTGACAGGTTGTCTTGTTCATCAATAAATTGGATAATAGGGTTGGCAATCCTGGAAAATCTTAGGATATCCGGATCAGAAATCCGAACATACTTTTTTGGATATCCAGTCTATTTCGATATCCAGGCCTTTTTTTGATCCGATATCCGGGTTCGCGAACCTTACTGGATAAACCAGAAAAAAGAACCCCCTCTTAACCTCCCACAAAGAAACCTGGGTTACCCTCCCATTTTTCATTCTTTTCACTCCATAAAAACACTTTTTCTACTTACAATGTGCCTCCTTTAACATCAGCTCGTGTCTTGTCCGTAACTTCCATAATAAATTCAGAGTCACGATTCGTCATATAATTCAAGATGTTTGGGTCTACAGTCGCCCCCAAATTGTCAATGTTTGAGAGGAATACATATTTCTTTCCTTGACCCAAAAATATGTCCAGTAATCCACTAAAAATAAAAAAAAATTTTAAAGAAATAAAGTTGAGACAGTAAACCTTGCCAAAAAAGATTCATAGAAATTGCCGTGTCCTGGTGGGTACCAACTAAAAAATAGAAAGATTAGAAGGATTAAGTAAGTTAGGATGAATTGAGATAGGAAGTTCTTCTAGCTTAATTCCTCTACGTTTAAGGTAGGGTGTGATCTTACAGGGAAACAGAGTTGCGGGGATTTTTCGGAGCCCTCCGCTAGCCTCCCCAGGGAATTCTAATGGAAACCACGGGGATTTCTCGGGGCCCTCCGAAGCTTCCCCAGGGAATTCTGAGGAAAACGGGGCTCGACCTTAAGCAAAAATTACCATTCAATATCATTATCGTCAACACTGCGTGCAATAGGAACATAAGATTCTCTATCAATTCGCGGGTATTTGGATTGAGGAAACGAGTGGACCTTGAAGGGAAAGACATTTAAAAAAAAATATTTTAAAATTTACTTCGACATGAACATTTGTATATTTTTTCAGCAATTTTTGAGTATCCTCGTCAGTGTTGAAACTGTTCTGAAAAAGTAGGAAAATTGAAAAACGAAAAAATTTTCAAAAATTACCATAAGCACCAAAGGCACACTAACATCATACTCACGGTTCAAATTCTTTAAAGAAGGGAAAATTTTTTCAGATTTTATTGAGTACCTGTATTTGTTGCAATGTCAGATCAAGAAAAGTAAGGTCATTGCGCACTGAAATCATCGACCTAGAAAATTTAAAAAAATTTTTGGGATAATTTTGTTTCCTCTAAAAGGCCCCCAAGAGGTCAACTCCCCGGAGGTCAACACCTTATAGGTCAACACTCAACTCTGATGGTCCACGTATTTAGAGTTGACCTCCAGGATCAGTCTACCAATAGGGTGTTGACCTCTAGGATCACGTCAGCTCCCAAGAGGTCAACTCCCTTTAGGCCAACTCTCTGATGGTCAACATATTTGGAGCTGACTTCTAGGATCAGTTGACTAATAGAGAGTTGACCTTTAGAGTGTTGGCCTCCAGGATCAGTTGACCTCCTGAGTCGATCCCCTCAAAAAAACATACTTTGGTCCCTTACAGCCCATTGAAGTTCCCTAAAAATATTTTTTCTTAAAAAATATTTTCTTAAAATAAATTACCAATCCTCCATTAAGTTTTACGACAACTAGAGAACTCAACAATTCGCGTACAATCTCCTTTTGCCCTCTAACCATATTTAATTGAGCATAGGGAATAATTAATTCTTCTTGTAAAGGACGCACCTCTCTCAAAAAAAAAATTAATTTATTTTTAAAATTAAATAAAATTTGAAACTTCCAATCTATAACAGTTCTGGCGCGAAGAAAGCGGATAAAGAGAGATTTAAAATTTGCAAATTCTTTTTTCCAGTCCTCTGCCTTTAAAAACAAATTAATTTAAACAGAAACAAAACTTTTAAGTTTTCCGGAAATATAAGACATTTAAAGCTTGAACTTAAGCTTACAGAAGTAATAGAAATTAAGTTTCCGGAAAGACAAGAATTAGTTTTAAACAAAAACAAAACTTAAGTTTCTTTCCGGAACGACCAGAATTATTTTTATTTAAGAGTCAAAACTTAAGTTTCCAGAAAAATCAGAATTATTTTTATTTAAAGTCCAAAACTTAAGTTTCCGGAAAGACCAGAATTAATTTTATTTAGTCAAAACTTAAGTTTCCGGAAAGACCAGAATTAATTTTATTTAGTCAAAACTTAAGTTTCCGGAAAGACCAGAATTAATTTTATTTAGTCAAAACTTAAGTTTCCGGAAAGACCAGAATTAATTTTATTTAGTCAAAACTTAAGTTTCCGGAAAGACCAGAATTAATTTTATTTAGTCAAAACTTAAGTTTCCGGAAAGACCAGAATTAATTTTATTTAGTCAAAACTTAAGTTTCCGGAAAGACCAGAATTAATTTTATTTAGTCAAAACTTAAGTTTCCGGAAAGACCAGAATTAATTTTATTTAGTCAAAACTTAAGTTTCCGGAAAGACCAGAATTAATTTTATTTAGTCAAAACTTAAGTTTCCGGAAAGACCAGAATTAATTTTATTTAGTCAAAACTTAAGTTTCCGGAAAGACCAGAATTAATTTTATTTAGTCAAAACTTAAGTTTCCGGAAAGACCAGAATTAATTTTATTTAGTCAAAACTTAAGTTTCCGGAAAGACCAGAATTAATTTTATTTAGTCAAAACTTAAGTTTCCGGAAAGACCAGAATTAATTTTATTTAGTCAAAACTTAAGTTTCCGGAAAGACCAGAATTAATTTTATTTAGTCAAAACTTAAGTTTCCGGAAAGACCAGAATTAATTTTATTTAGTCAAAACTTAAGTTTCCGGAAAGACCAGAATTAATTTTATTTAGTCAAAACTTAAGTTTCCGGAAAGACCAGAATTAATTTTATTTAGTCAAAACTTAAGTTTCCGGAAAGACCAGAATTAATTTTATTTAGTCAAAACTTAAGTTTCCGGAAAGACCAGAATTAATTTTATTTAGTCAAAACTTAAGTTTCCGGAAAGACCAGAATTAATTTTATTTAGTCAAAACTTAAGTTTCCGGAAAGACCAGAATTAATTTTATTTAGTCAAAACTTAAGTTTCCGGAAAGACCAGAATTAATTTTATTTAGTCAAAACTTAAGTTTCCGGAAAGACCAGAATTAATTTTATTTAGTCAAAACTTAAGTTTCCGGAAAGACCAGAATTAATTTTATTTAGTCAAAACTTAAGTTTCCGGAAAGACCAGAATTAATTTTATTTAGTCAAAACTTAAGTTTCCGGAAAGACCAGAATTAATTTTATTTTATCAAAACCTAAGTTTCCGGAAAGACCAGAATTAATTTTATTTAGTCAAAACTTAAGTTTCCGGAAAGACCAGAATTAATTTTATTTAGTCAAAACTTAAGTTTCCGGAAAGACCAGAATTAATTTTATTTAGTCAAAACTTAAGTTTCCGGAAAGACCAGAATTAATTTTATTTAGTCAAAACTTAAGTTTCTTTCCGGAAAAACCAGAATTAATTTTATTTTATCAAAACCTAAGTTTCCGGAAAGACCAGAATTAATTTTATTTAGTCAAAACTTAAGTTTCCGGAAAGACCAGAATTAATTTTATTTAGTCAAAACTTAAGTTTCCGGAAAGACCAGAATTAATTTTATTTAGTCAAAACTTAAGTTTCCGGAAAGATCATAACTAATTTTATTTACGATCGCAACTTAGGTTTCCGGAAGTGTCTAAATCTTAAGTTTCCGGAAAAATCAGAATTTATTTATTTAAGAACCAAAACTTAAGTTTCCGGAAACAAGTTTCCCAAAACATTTAAAATAATTACTACACCTTATTAGCCGGAGCAGTTTTCAATAATCGATCCAATTCCTGATTCAACAAAGAAAAGGTTTCTCGTTTTGTTGAGCTTTTCCATTCCTCAGAACTCTGAAAAATAATTGTTTATGTATATTAATTGAATTTTGATTTATCCCCCAAAAAATTAAAAAAAAATTTCCCCACTTCACTCGTCGAAATTAGGCGTTGCATTCTATTAGCTAATTTATCAGCAGTAGATGATTGGTTTAATACGGAAGAAGCAGTGGAAGAATTAAATAACATTTTTAAATATTTATTTTCTTAAAAAAGGACAAGTGAGTAATCAGAAAGGACAAAATACGAGGAAAGATCATGAGAAAATTACTAATTTTAGAAATAAGGTGAAGTAGAAAGATAACTAATATTAGTTGTTTACTCTTAAAAAGACACCTTTTGTTGTTATCTTTGATTTTTAGTTGTGCTTTTTATTACCACTAATCACAAGTCAAATGTGAGAAAAATAAACGTAAAAAGGTGTAAAAAGGTCAACAAATGAAGATCCACCTCCTTTAGATCAAAAATCAAGATGTAAACAAAATAGACAAAAAGCAGAAAATAGTAAGGAAAAAGAGCAGACTCTTCTCTAACCTCTCCTGATTTTCCATACTTTTTCTACATATCTCTTCCGGAAATTTTGCTCCTTTCCGGAAATTGAAAGCAGAATAAATACAGAAAATAGTATCGAAAAAGAGGAGACTTTTCTCTAACCTCTACTTATTCCCCTACTCAATTCCGGAAAACTTGCTCATTCCGGAAAAGTAGCAATTCGAAAACAGACAGATCGGAAATAGTACAGAAAAAGAGGAGACTTTTCTCTAACCTCTATTTATTCCTCCTAATATTTCTATCACTTCCGGAAAATTTCCACTTCCGGAAAAGTAGCAATGTGTTCGTTAAACTTTCCAAGTTTTTCGAACTTATCTCATCAGAAAATCAAAGAGAATAATTTTTACAATTTTAAAGTAAATAGAATTTAAATTTTCATGAGAAAAGATAAAAAAAATTTTTTTTAAATGTCTGTTTGTCAAATAAAAATGAATTTGCTAAACACTCTCGTGATGAATAAAAAGAAGAAATAAAACCAATTTTTCTCTTCCTTCCCTTCTTTTTATAAACGATAAAAATTCTTCAAAAGTAATAAATTATAATGTCAGATATTCCAATAGGAAAGTTCGCTTCTGACCATTAGAGTCTCAAAACATAACAGGAATAAAAATTCGCCCCCAAAAACTCAGACTCTAATGTCCAGTCATCAACCAAAAATTCTTATTCCGACTAAATTCACTTTTGGCTATTAGAGTCTCAAAATTCAAAGGACAGAAAACTATTCCCCCCAAAATCCCAGACTCTAATGTCCACTTAATTAATAAAATTATCGGTCTGGGTCAATTACTCTCGAACCCCAACAAGACCTTTCACCCTCCAACTGCTTATCGATTTATAAACATTTTTGTTTACCAAACCAGTTGAAATAATAAATTCCACCCACCCTTAATTCTCGATGAGCTGCAGTAAATAATGTTTCTCCAGGTGCGGAAGAAAGTAATAAATTTCCGAGTTGATTTGCCATTAAATTGACACTGAAAAGAGTTGCTTTTAAACTTAATTAGAGAAGAAATGAAAAAAAATTTTTAAATAAAAATCGAATTTTCTAGGTACTCTAATAGACAAGTAAATTAGCTGGAGGAAAATTCTCCCTCAAACAAAAAAATTAATTTGAAGATTGTTCACTAGAAAGCTAGAAGAGACGCTTGAAGAGACGCTTGAAGAGAATGCTTTAAAATGCAAATGCGGTAAAACTAGAAAAATAGAAAATGGGAAAAATAAAAATTGTAAACAAAAATATAAACAAAAATATGTAGGGAAACGAGAGCAAAAAATAAAAAAAAATTTTTGTTTGGTTTGTTGTTGTTGACTAATCTAAGCCTCAACATATGGTGAGATGAAAGGTCAGAGAAATATAGGGGAAAGTATGTTGAGTGTTTTTTCTAGTATTTTCTACTATTCTCCTCTGTTTCCTTTGTTCTTTGCTCTCCTTCCTTTCCGGAAAGTTTTAAAATTAAAATTCTGATTTTTCTTTCCGGAAAGTTCTGGTGTTCATTTAAAAATACTTTTTGGCGTTTTTTTGCGCACACTTGAAGGAGTCAAAAAAAAATTTTTTTTGGAACTTGAGCTTTTCATTTTTCGTATAAACAGGTTCAGGTAAATTATGGCCACTTGATTTTTTATTCAGAAAACCCAAAATAAAAGGAGAAAAGTAACTCGCGCAGCGATCATCTCAAGTTGAAGATTTGCTTCAAAAAAGGAGGATGATTTTTATTTTTAATATTAATTGCACTTTGAGGACACACTTCCGGGTTAGAAACTGAAAAGCGAAAAATAAGTCTCTTCACTTTTAAAATATAAAAAGAATGCAAAACACCCATTTTTTGACACTTTTACAAAATAAATATTTTTTGGCGTTTTTGGCGCACACAAAAAAATTAAAAATAAACATAATGCCAAATTTTCCCTTAATTTTTTTAATTTTTATTTTTTCAATTTTTCACTTTATTCCATCAAAATCCCAATTATTAATCCATTCAACTCATCAGCCAAAATCTCTAATCTCCTCAAATTCTCGTTTTCGTCAATGCGCCTGTCCTACACGCCAATCTTCTCCTTTAAGTGGAAGTAAAGCCAAAGCTGCCCCCAAACAGAAATTTTTGCCAAAAATGCTTCAAGGAACGTCCACAGACATGCTATTTGATAAAAATTTAGTTGACGGATTTTTAACACCTTTAAATCCAAACAAGGAGGAAAAGAAACGTAAAGGAACTGGAAGAAGTGGAAGAGAATGGAGACCGAAAAGAGAAGCTAATAAAATTGTGGATTTGGCTTTGGCAGATCCAGAAAAGAATAAATGCAACAGTGAAAGGCTTAGACAGATAATTTTAAAGGCAAAATTAATTTATTTAATCTTTTTCTTTCTCCAATGGAGAGATTAGGGAGGTTAAGGAGTTAAAAATAGGCCAAGTTAAAAATTAGATCCAAGATGAGGACGTGAAGGGCTGTGCGCCAATAATTTCTCATGGCGTTCCAAAAGCTAAACGCCAATTTTTCGAATTATTAAAATACACCAAATGTCAGAACGCCAAAATCGACCAAAATGACCCAAAACGCCGAAACGTCATGGCGCACAGCCCTGAAGACTAGATCTTCCAAAATCTAGGTTATCGAGTCGAAACTTTTTTGAGATATCGATCCTTCATGAATGAACCGAGTTAAACTAAAAAATCTAAAAAATAAACAGGCTCGAGGACGTGACAGTACCACATTAAAACGAAACATACAAACATTGGCAGAACGCACTCTACTTGCTCGATTTAGTGTAATATGTGCTAAGAATGATTTTTCGTATATTTCGAATACTGAAGTAATTTTTGGAAAATTTTTAATTAAAAAAATTTAAGGAATTCTGCCAAGAAAAAATAAATGGAAATATTTGTTATGTATTTAAACAGGCTGGCAGAGAATTGGCTTTTCCGGATCCTCCAAAGTTGGAACATTTTAAACGGGGGACGCAGAGAAAGAATATTAAAGAGGAAAGAGAAAAGGAGAATTAATAATTAGACAGATTTTGTGCATAAATTTTTTAACTGAACAAAAATTTAAAAAAAAATTTTTCAAAAAAATTTTTTTTCATTTTTCTTCTCCCACCCCCCCCCCTTCCTTGTTGTTCCTCTTCCCCTCCGACATTGCAAAAAAATTCTAAATAAAATATGTTTACATATAACATTCCTCTTTACTCCATTCATCATTTATTCTTCTACTACTCCCCGCAAAATCCTATCACTTTCTAACAAAGCAAGGGAAATTGATTTGTTTTTCATCATTTTTTATTATTTGTACCTTTAAACTACTAAATGTTTTTACTTAAATAGTTTGGTGGTAGTTTGTTTTTATTAAATTCTGGTTTTTCTGTAGATGTTTTTATTAAATTCTGGTTTTTCCGGAATTGTTTTCATTAAATTCTGATTTTTCCGGAAATGTTTTTATTAAATTCTGGTTTTTCCGGAAATGTTTTTATTAAATTCTGGTTTTTCCGGTAATGTTTTTATCGAATTCTGATTTTTCCGGAATGTTTTTATTAAATTCTGTTTTTTCCGGAACAATTAATTGTTGTTTTCCGGAATTGTTTTTATTAAATTCTGACTTTTCTTTCAGAATATTTTTAAAAATGTTTGTTCCTCAACAAAAACAATTCTTTCCGGAAAATTCCCCAGCAATAGTTGTTCAAAAGCGACGACCAACTTCCTCTAGCTCTTCATCATCGCCTATCGCCCTTCGCGCTAATCCAAAGGGTGTTATGCAACAATGTATTTGTGAAAGACTTAGTTGTTTAGTTGTTTGTCGCAGGTAAATATTTTTAATTTATTTTTTTAAATGTTTTTATTTCTCAGATGTGGTCATGATTTAATTGGTCGAGTTCTTAGGCAAGAAAAATTTAAAAAAATTTTTCCAAAAAATTTTCATCTTTTTCAGTCCTTGCTCAATACATCCGCGGCGAATTGCACTGATGGATTTGCGTGAATGTCCAAATTGTCGAAGTGTGCAATTAAGTGAAGTTGCCTGAAAAGCACCCAAATTTTTGATTCTAAAATATGTTTTTGATTTTTATTTTTAAACTAAATTATGTTTTTATTAAATTCTGATTCTTCCGGAAATGTTTTAATTAAATTCTGATTCTTCCGGAAATGTTTTAATTAAATTCTGGTTTTTCCTGAAATGTTTTTATTAAATTCTGGTTTTTCCGGAAATGTTTTGATTTAATTCTGATTTTTCCGGAAATGTTTTAATCGAATTCTGATCCTTCCGGAATTGTTTTTATTAAATTCTCGGTTTTCCGGAAATGTTTTAATTAAATTCTGGTTTTTCCGGAATTGTTTTTATTAAATTATGGTTTTTCCGGAATTGTTTTTATTAAATTATGGTTTTTCCGGAATTGTTTTTATTAAATTCTGATTCTTCCGGAAATGTTTTTATTAAATTCTGATTTTTCCGGAATTGTTTTAATTAAATTCTGGTTTTTCCTGAAATGTTTTTATTAAATTCTGGTTTTTCCGGAAATGTTTTGATTTAATTCTGATTTTTCCGGAAATGTTTTAATTAAATTCTGGTTTTTCCGGAATTGTTTTTATTAAATTCTGGTTTTTCCGGAATTGTTTTTATTAAATTCTGGTTTTTCCGGAAATGTTTTAATCGAATTCTGATCCTTCCGGAAAAAATCCAACCAGAATTTTTATTAAATTCTGGTTTTTCCGGAATTGTTTTTATTAAATTCTGGTTTTTCCAGAAGATCACCAAAACATGTGTTGATCTTTTGGAAAGTATTTTAATTTTAATATTTTATTAACACTACTTTAATATTTAATTTAAACGAAAGAAATTTATTTTTGCCTTTCTATTTACACGTATAAAACCGTTTTTGCTCAAAACTTCGTTAATTTTTCATGCCCGAGTAATTGGCTTCTCCCCTCCTTTTTTCTTAAGAAAAATACCTTTACCAATTTTTATTTATTTTCCCCCCGCTGAGTCTCAAAAAAAAGCAATTTCCGTCCCCTATTATATTAAAAAAGTCATTCAGTCAGCCGTGGCACTTGACAACGAGAGATATTTAAATAGGGAGGGAGGGTCTCCGATTAATCCTTAAAAGTATTTTTTTATTGAGAGAGAAAAGCCGTCACTTGTTTGCTTTTTAATATGCATTTCAAAAGCTTTTGGGGGACTTTTTTGCTGCTTTTGGGGCTTTAAAGGCTTTTTAAAGGCCTTTTTACCTGTTAATGGTTTATGCAACGAGAGTTTAGGCAAACAATGCGAAAACAAGTTGAATGACGCTGCTTATCCTATTTTTTGGCGTTTTTTCGGGTTAAATGACATTTGGTCCCACTAAGACATTTGGTCCCCAAACTAATTTCTAAAAATTAAAAAATATTTTTTCTGACCTTTATGAACCCTTTCTTTAAAATTCATCAATTCCCCAACTTCTTTCGCTGTTTTTTGGCGTTTTTTCGTTTTTTGGCGTTTTTTGGATAAAATGACATTTAGTCCCACTAGGACATTTGGTCCCAGACTAATTTTTAAAATTTAAAAAATATTTTTTTCTGACCTTTATGAACTCTTTTCTTAACAATCCATAAAATCCCCAACTTTTTTCGCTGTTATTTTGGCGTTTTTTGGATAAAATGACGTTTGGTCCCACTAAAATGACATTTGGTCCCCAACTAAGTTTTAAAAATTTTTACCTTTATGAACCCTTTTCTTTAAAATCCATCAAATTCCTCACTTCCTTTAAAAAAGTTTCTTTTACTCCTCTTAAAGCACGTCAACTCAAATTAATTTACAAGTGATAAAGTAACAAAAAACAGTAAATGAAAGCACCAAACACCTCTTCTTCTCTTCTTCCTCTTTTCCCTTTTTTCTTCCCTTTCTTCCCTTTTCTTCACCTTCCCCCTAATTTTCTTGGCACATCAATCCTTTAATTTTAAACAAAAAACTCTTCTTTTTTTATTTATTTATTTATTTATTTATTTAATACGTAAATTAATACGCGTCCACAATTAAAAAACAACAAATTAAATTCAATAAAATACAGTGTCATTATTGGAAATTATAGGTTAGGTGGGAGTATTATTAGAACGAAATTTGGAAAAATTAGAAATGCTGAGTTTTTTTTTAAATTTATTTTCAAAGACTTCAGTGATTAGTATATGTAAATAATTTCTAGACATTTAATTTAATACTTCTTGTTTTTTTTTTGAATACAATGTCAAGTTAAGCAGCAAAACCCTTACCGAATTAGTGTTAAGGAAGCCTATTCTGACCGAGCTACCAGATGAACTGGCGCTCATCAGCGTTGGCTGATGTGCGTGCCTCTTCTTGCCGAGCTACCAGATGAACTGGCGCTCACAAGCGTTAGCTAGATGCCAAAGCAGACAAGATTACATTGCTGTAATCCCCGTGGCCCAATCGATAAAGTGCAAGACGATTGTTAGGCACATTGAGGGGCAAAATGGGTATTCGGCAGGTATTTTGTGTGCTTAATATATATTGTTATGAAATAGAAATTTTTTTCCAAGTAGATAATAGTATTAAATTAATTTATTTTGTAAGTTTTAATCCAAATTACTGAAGTCTCTTTTTTTTTAAAACGATTCTTTTCCTCAACAACTAATTTAAAAGGGAAAAATTTCAAATAAAATTTATGTATTTTTTGAAAAAATTTTCTGAACTTCTAAAAAAAATTTTTTTTTTTGAAAATTTTTCTAAACTTCTTTTTATCTCTGTCAGTTCATTTTGCTAGAACAAAACAAAATAAAATTAGAAGCTGATCTCTAAATTGAAAAGTGATAATTATTTTTTTAATTAAATTATGTTAAATTGACTTAATTTAATTTAAATTTTGATTGAGGAAAGATCGATTTTATTTAGACAAGTACGAAAATTTTGTATTTTTTGATGCTTAAAAAGTTCATTAGGAAGTTTTGGATATATTCTAGCCATTTTTTCAAAGAAAAAATGGTGCCTTAAATTTAAGTTTGAATGTGAAGAATTAATTTTTATTTGATTTCTGGTATTTGACTTAGTTAATTTGGGATAATGAGATTTACCTATGCTTATGTATCCGTGAATTATTTTGTGATAACACATAATATCATTAATTAAAAATCTATCTTTAATGGATTTAAGATTTAAAATCATAAGGAGATCTTCATATGAAGGTTTAGTTGGATAGAGATTCTGAAGTCCGCGGAAATATATAATTTTAACCGCCATTTTTTGTACGTCTTCAAGTTTTTTTATTTCTGATTTGAGGTAAGGGTTAAATAATTGAGAAAATGATTCTATAATTGGTCGTACATAAGAAGTATATGCTTTTGTTAAAAAATTAGGATCATTCGATTTAATTGCTTTGAAAAGTGTGAAAAGTCGAGTGTAAGCTCTTTTTTTAATATAATCAATATGAATAGTCCATTTTAATGAAGATGAGGTTAAAATTCCTAAATCGCGAACAAAGGAAATTATTGGAGTAATCTTGTTATTGGAAATATAGTAAGGAAATTTAGAGTTATTTTTGCCCAAATAAAGGACATTGCATTTTTTTGCTGAAATTTCTAACTCGTTTTCAGCTGACCATATTTCAATTTTTGAAATACAATTTTGTAGAAGAAAACGTTTGTTACAATTGGAATGGATTAAATATGCCTTAAAATCATCAGCAAAAAATTTGAAAATTATATCATGTGTGGCGCAGAATTTGACTAAATCATGGATGAAGAAAATAAACAAAATAGGGCCAAGGACAGAACCTTGAGGGACACCCATATTACTTGTATGATTTTCAGAAAAAGCATTATTTATTTTGACAGAGTAGGTACGATATCTTAAGAAATTTTCAATCCAAAATAGTAGTGGATTACCTATACCTATATTTGTGAGTTTTTTTAATAAAATAGTATGAGAAACTTTATCAAAGGCTTTTATGAAATCGAAGTAGATAATGTCAACACAAAGATTTTCATCAAGAGCCTTAGTCCAGTCATCATGTGCTTCTAATAGTTGAGAAACAATAGATTTAGATTTAATAAATCCATGTTGAGATGTAGGTAAATATTTTGTTATGCGTACAATTAAGTTATCTTTAATAATTTTTTCCAGAACTTTAACTAAGGTACAAGTTAAGGCTATAGGTCGATAATTAGATGCTAGTGATTTGTCACCTTTTTTAAACAATGGTATAATGTTTGAATGGGTCCAAATAGAGGGTAAGGTGCCTGTCATCATTGAGTATCGAAAAATTTGAGTTATAGGTTGAGTTAAGCTACCTGCACATTTTTTAAGAATGTAATTATTTAGGCAATCGGGTGAGGTGTTAACTTTAAGTGTTAATTTTATCAATTTATCGAAAACATCAGCTTCAGAAATATCAATGTAATTAAGAGTGTTAGTATTTAAATTTTGTAAATTTAGCGGGTGAGGCAAGTTTTGTTTGTGAAATATTGATTTAAAGTAAAGTGCAAAATAATTTGCTTTAGCTAGATCGGTAGAGAAAACATTATTAGTTTTAATGTCAAGTATGGTAGGAATATTAAAGGAGTTAGACTTAACTTGTGAGGAAATATAATTGAAAATTCTTTTGCTATTTTTACTTTTTATTAATTTATTTTCTCTGTATATTAAGTATTTTTTAAGTTCTTTATTAAATCTTTTATTGACGTAAAGAAATTTAGATTTTATATCTGCTTTATGTATATCCTTCCAGAGTTGAGCACGATAAGTATCGATTTTTTGCAAATGATTTGGAAGATTAAGAGATGAACAATTTGTAATAGGAATGAAATTTTCAATAAAATTTTTTGTAATCTGGGTAAAAGTAGAGTATATTGTATCTAAATTGTGCGGAAAGATAGATTTAAAAATATTGTTCCAGTCCGTATTAGCAACAGCATAGTTTAATGAATTGTAGTCTCCTTTTAAGTAATTTAATCGATAGTATAATTCAGATGGTTCATTTTTAAAGGTGACGGAAAATGAAAAAGAGGAGTGATCTGATGAAGACATAGGCGGAAGGGACAGAATGTCATCTATTAAACCAGGATTGTTAGTAATTAAAAGGTCTAATATATTTTTTGATCTAGTGGAAAAAGTAATTAGCTGATGTAAATCAGCATTTTTAACAAATTCTTTGAAAATATTATTGCTATCATTATCAGCTAGCCAATTAATTGAGGGGAGATTAAAGTCACCGGTAATAATTATAGGGTATGAAACTGAGAGTAGATCAGTTAGAATAGAAATAAGATCAAAAAGAATAATATCGGTAGTTTTTGGCGGTACATAAGCATTTATGAATCTCATTTTATGTCCCAAACCGTTTATTATATCGAGGCAAACAATCTCAATGTTTTTTAAAGTTTTTTTTGAAAATTTGATTAAATTGACCGAAAATATGTTGGAAATAATAATAGCTACGCCACCACCTCTGCTCTTCCTATTATGTCGAAAAATAGAGTAAGGAAGATTTTTTACCAATAATGAGTCAGGAATATCGTTAGTTAACCAAGTTTCTGTAATAAGGATTATGTTATATTTATAGGATTCAAGTAAAAAATGTAAATCATTTAATTTGTTTTTGATTGATCTTGCATTAAAGTAAATAATTTTAACACGTGGTCCAGGGTAATTTATTTGTTTAAAGAAACTTGGTTAAAAGCGCGAACGATTTTCCCCTTGAAAATTTTCCAAGGGGGTTCGCCGACATTTAATTTTGAATTTTTATCTCTACATTCCTTACGTAACTCATAGTCATGCTGACGCTCTTCTTTAGTCTGTGATGGTCGTAAATATACGCCAGAGAAGTCAGAAATATTACGAAGTGATTTAGAACGAGAGAGGATAAGGCGTTGGTGGTATGTTGTTGGCATCACCACTTTAATTGGTCGACCTTTCCCGTCGTTACGAGGCTTCCCCATCCGATAAGTTGTTATGGGATTAGTGGGAATTCCAAGAGAATCAATAATTTTATTTATTTTATTTGTGTCGTCAATGAAATTCTCTCTATCATTATTACCCTGAGATTCAGAAAGACCGACTATGACTATCGATCGTGCTTTTTCTTTATCATCAGGGGATAATGGAGGATTTTCATTTTGAAGCTTTTTTTCAATATTAGTAATGGTAGTTTGTAATGCATTAATTTGTTCGGATTGTTTAATTACGAGATTTACAAGTAGATTGATGGTAGAAATTAAATCGATATTAGGGTCAGAAGTATTAGGGGACGAAGGAGAGATACCAATTGATGTCAATTTATTACGAATCGTAGTCAAACGAGAATCTGAGTCATTATCTGAATCAGTTTTCTCTTGACACGAACGTTTTCTATTTTTATTTGGGAGAGTCATTTTTATTTTTTTATTGATTAGTTTTGAAAGGATCGCCTATCGCCCTTCGCGCTAATCCAAAGGGTGTTATGCAACAATGTATTTGTGAAAGACTTAGTTGTTTAGTTGTTTGTCGCAGGTAAATATTTTTAATTTATTTTTTTAAATGTTTTTATTTCTCAGATGTGGTCATGATTTAATTGGTCGAGTTCTTAGGCAAGAAAAATTTAAAAAAATTTTTCCAAAAAATTTTCATCTTTTTCAGTCCTTGCTCAATACATCCGCGGCGAATTGCACTGATGGATTTGCGTGAATGTCCAAATTGTCGAAGTGTGCAATTAAGTGAAGTTGCCTGAAAAGCACCCAAATTTTTGATTCTAAAATATGTTTTTGATTTTTATTTTTAAACTAAATTATGTTTTTATTAAATTCTGATTCTTCCGGAAATGTTTTAATTAAATTCTGATTCTTCCGGAAATGTTTTAATTAAATTCTGGTTTTTCCTGAAATGTTTTTATTAAATTCTGGTTTTTCCGGAAATGTTTTGATTTAATTCTGATTTTTCCGGAAATGTTTTAATCGAATTCTGATCCTTCCGGAATTGTTTTTATTAAATTCTCGGTTTTCCGGAAATGTTTTAATTAAATTCTGGTTTTTCCGGAATTGTTTTTATTAAATTATGGTTTTTCCGGAATTGTTTTTATTAAATTATGGTTTTTCCGGAATTGTTTTTATTAAATTCTGATTCTTCCGGAAATGTTTTTATTAAATTCTGATTTTTCCGGAATTGTTTTAATTAAATTCTGGTTTTTCCTGAAATGTTTTTATTAAATTCTGGTTTTTCCGGAAATGTTTTGATTTAATTCTGATTTTTCCGGAAATGTTTTAATTAAATTCTGGTTTTTCCGGAATTGTTTTTATTAAATTCTGGTTTTTCCGGAATTGTTTTTATTAAATTCTGGTTTTTCCGGAAATGTTTTAATCGAATTCTGATCCTTCCGGAAAAAATCCAACCAGAATTTTTATTAAATTCTGGTTTTTCCGGAATTGTTTTTATTAAATTCTGGTTTTTCCAGAAGATCACCAAAACATGTGTTGATCTTTTGGAAAGTATTTTAATTTTAATATTTTATTAACACTACTTTAATATTTAATTTAAACGAAAGAAATTTATTTTTGCCTTTCTATTTACACGTATAAAACCGTTTTTGCTCAAAACTTCGTTAATTTTTCATGCCCGAGTAATTGGCTTCTCCCCTCCTTTTTTCTTAAGAAAAATACCTTTACCAATTTTTATTTATTTTCCCCCCGCTGAGTCTCAAAAAAAAGCAATTTCCGTCCCCTATTATATTAAAAAAGTCATTCAGTCAGCCGTGGCACTTGACAACGAGAGATATTTAAATAGGGAGGGAGGGTCTCCGATTAATCCTTAAAAGTATTTTTTTATTGAGAGAGAAAAGCCGTCACTTGTTTGCTTTTTAATATGCATTTCAAAAGCTTTTGGGGGACTTTTTTGCTGCTTTTGGGGCTTTAAAGGCTTTTTAAAGGCCTTTTTACCTGTTAATGGTTTATGCAACGAGAGTTTAGGCAAACAATGCGAAAACAAGTTGAATGACGCTGCTTATCCTATTTTTTGGCGTTTTTTCGGGTTAAATGACATTTGGTCCCACTAAGACATTTGGTCCCCAAACTAATTTCTAAAAATTAAAAAATATTTTTTCTGACCTTTATGAACCCTTTCTTTAAAATTCATCAATTCCCCAACTTCTTTCGCTGTTTTTTGGCGTTTTTTCGTTTTTTGGCGTTTTTTGGATAAAATGACATTTAGTCCCACTAGGACATTTGGTCCCAGACTAATTTTTAAAATTTAAAAAATATTTTTTTCTGACCTTTATGAACTCTTTTCTTAACAATCCATAAAATCCCCAACTTTTTTCGCTGTTATTTTGGCGTTTTTTGGATAAAATGACGTTTGGTCCCACTAAAATGACATTTGGTCCCCAACTAAGTTTTAAAAATTTTTACCTTTATGAACCCTTTTCTTTAAAATCCATCAAATTCCTCACTTCCTTTAAAAAAGTTTCTTTTACTCCTCTTAAAGCACGTCAACTCAAATTAATTTACAAGTGATAAAGTAACAAAAAACAGTAAATGAAAGCACCAAACACCTCTTCTTCTCTTCTTCCTCTTTTCCCTTTTTTCTTCCCTTTCTTCCCTTTTCTTCACCTTCCCCCTAATTTTCTTGGCACATCAATCCTTTAATTTTAAACAAAAAACTCTTCTTTTTTTATTTATTTATTTATTTATTTATTTAATACGTAAATTAATACGCGTCCACAATTAAAAAACAACAAATTAAATTCAATAAAATACAGTGTCATTATTGGAAATTATAGGTTAGGTGGGAGTATTATTAGAACGAAATTTGGAAAAATTAGAAATGCTGAGTTTTTTTTTAAATTTATTTTCAAAGACTTCAGTGATTAGTATATGTAAATAATTTCTAGACATTTAATTTAATACTTCTTGTTTTTTTTTTTGAATACAATGTCAAGTTAAGCAGCAAAACCCTTACCGAATTAGTGTTAAGGAAGCCTATTCTGACCGAGCTACCAGATGAACTGGCGCTCATCAGCGTTGGCTGATGTGCGTGCCTCTTCTTGCCGAGCTACCAGATGAACTGGCGCTCACAAGCGTTAGCTAGATGCCAAAGCAGACAAGATTACATTGCTGTAATCCCCGTGGCCCAATCGATAAAGTGCAAGACGATTGTTAGGCACATTGAGGGGCAAAATGGGTATTCGGCAGGTATTTTGTGTGCTTAATATATATTGTTATGAAATAGAAATTTTTTTCCAAGTAGATAATAGTATTAAATTAATTTATTTTGTAAGTTTTAATCCAAATTACTGAAGTCTCTTTTTTTTTAAAACGATTCTTTTCCTCAACAACTAATTTAAAAGGGAAAAATTTCAAATAAAATTTATGTATTTTTTGAAAAAATTTTCTGAACTTCTAAAAAAAATTTTTTTTTTTGAAAATTTTTCTAAACTTCTTTTTATCTCTGTCAGTTCATTTTGCTAGAACAAAACAAAATAAAATTAGAAGCTGATCTCTAAATTGAAAAGTGATAATTATTTTTTTAATTAAATTATGTTAAATTGACTTAATTTAATTTAAATTTTGATTGAGGAAAGATCGATTTTATTTAGACAAGTACGAAAATTTTGTATTTTTTGATGCTTAAAAAGTTCATTAGGAAGTTTTGGATATATTCTAGCCATTTTTTCAAAGAAAAAATGGTGCCTTAAATTTAAGTTTGAATGTGAAGAATTAATTTTTATTTGATTTCTGGTATTTGACTTAGTTAATTTGGGATAATGAGATTTACCTATGCTTATGTATCCGTGAATTATTTTGTGATAACACATAATATCATTAATTAAAAATCTATCTTTAATGGATTTAAGATTTAAAATCATAAGGAGATCTTCATATGAAGGTTTAGTTGGATAGAGATTCTGAAGTCCGCGGAAATATATAATTTTAACCGCCATTTTTTGTACGTCTTCAAGTTTTTTTATTTCTGATTTGAGGTAAGGGTTAAATAATTGAGAAAATGATTCTATAATTGGTCGTACATAAGAAGTATATGCTTTTGTTAAAAAATTAGGATAAAAAATTAGGAAAAAACCTTTTTTTCTTCCTCTTCTTCACCTTCCCCCTAATTTCTTGGCACATCAATCCTTTAATTTTCTTTAAAAAACTCTTTTTTTTCACGTTGACATTTGCCTCAATTTCCATTTTTAATTTGTCTTTTTTAGGCAAAAAAAACTTTAAATATTTAAGGGATGAGAGAAAAGAGGAAAAGGGAAGGGAAGAGATTTGAAATTAATATCCTCTTTTATTTTTTTTATTTTTCCCTCAAAAACTAATTTTCTGTACTTTTAATCAAAATTAATATCTCCTTTTTTCCTTCGTTTTTCAGAATTTTTTTCAGAATTTCTGAAAAAATCAGAATTTTTTTCTGAAATTTTTTTCAGAAATTCTGAAAAAAATCAGAATTTTTTTTTCAGAATTTTTTTCAGAATTCTTCTGAAAAAATCAGAATTTTTTTTTCAGAATTTTTTTCAGAATTCTTCTGAAAAAATCAGAATTTTTTTCAGAATTTCTGAAAAAATCAGAATTTTTAGTCAGAAATGAATACCCAACGGCATGTTGCCGGTTCCTCAACTTCTACCACTACTAGAAAAGGTTCTGGAACTCAAAAACTTTCTGGATCAACAAGTGGGAATGCTTGGGCTTCACAAACTGAGAAAAATGAAAATATTAAAATTGAACTAAACGACTTGACAAACAAAAATTTAAACGAAGAAAATGATAGAATTGATAGTTTGCATATTCACACAAATCCAATTTTGAGGTTTATAGAGAATTCTAGGCTTTGTAGATGCTCAAAAAGGGTTGGTTGTATTTTTTAAAATTTTTGTTGGGAAGGACTGGTCCTGCCAGTTGTTTCCGTGGGTTAGTCTGCCTGCTGGGATTCCGAGGGTTACTGGAATGTTCAGTCACTCCTGGGGTTCCAATCTCCCTTGAAACCTCTTGGGATATACTGTCACCTATTGACTTTCCCTTGGTACACAACAATGTAAGGAACGAGAGATCCCTGGAATTTCTGTCAGCGAGAGGGGGGATAGGTTAGAGGATGCCGCAGGAATATTCAATCACTCCTTTTATGTCAACCGATTCTCCTATGGGAGTCTCGTATGTCGTCAACCAACCCCCCCCCCCCAAAATTTTGGCGTCTTTTCCAGTTTGTTTTTTGATGGGTTGGTATTTCGGCTGGTCAGGAAACTAAGCAAAAGGGGGACGAAGTACTATCCTTTTAACTTTTAAAAATCTTTTTTAGAATCAATTAGCAATTCTCGCAAATCTGGGCTTTCTTATCGTCTTTGGAATTCGTTGTAATTTTGGAGCAGCCAAAAATCACATGTCTAGAGGTTTGGAATTTTTATTCTTTTAATTTTTAAAAATTTTTTCAGATTTTTATGATCCTTGGGGCAAAAAACATGTAAAAACAAATTTGTTTCGAGATTTAAAAAATTTATTTAAAGAAGCACTCTTTTAATTGGACTAGTGCTGAATTGGGAGTGATGGAATCTTCCTTCTTTTATGGATATTTAATTACTCAAATACCTGCTGGATTTTTGGTTAGAAGTTTTTTTGATTAATTGGGCTCTAACTTATCCCGCATTTTTCAATGATTTAATTCTGCACCTATTTCAAAGCTCTCTTACTCATCCCAATCATTTTCATCTCTTCCCCCACTTTCCCACATACCCGACCTTTTATCCCCATATCTTAACCCTTCCCTATATATCCTACCCCTTCCCTACATGTCCCTATCTCATATCACATATCCTCACATATCCCAACCTCTTATCCATATATCCCGGCTTTCCCACATTCTTCCCTGATATTTGTCGGATCCGGATCCGAAAAAGGCTGGATATCTGGAAATTTTTGGTTCGGATATCGGATCCAATATCTGAGGATTTCCAACTATCCGACAATCCTACCACATATTCCAATTTTCCCTCATATCCCAACCACTTCCCTCACTTTCCCGCATATCCCGACCTCACCACACGACCTCACCCTACCTCTTATCACATATCCTACCCGTCCCTCATACCCCCATCTTCTCACATATCCCAATTCCTTAGTTATCCTCATCTCACCCTTAAGGCACAAAATAGCAAATAGAATATCACAAAAAAATTTTTTTTAATTTTCAAAAATTTTCTAGGCCGCCAAATTCCCTGCAAATAAGCAAGTTTATTTAATTCAAATATTCTTATAAATTTTCTCATAAAAAGAATGTTTGGATTGGCTATTGGAGGGGCTTCTTTTCTCAATCTTTTATTGCCCTACTCTTTTCACTCACATTCTGATTTTATGGTTTTTTTATCTAATTTTAAAATAATTTTTAAATCAAATTAACAGGTTGCTATAGTGCAGATATCTCAAGGACTAGTACAGGTTAATTTAATAAATAGGCTCTATTTGGAAGGAAGAGTCCCTTCGATTTGTGTGTGTGGTAGGCAAATTAATTCCCTTCCATGGACGTGCCGTTTCGTCTTTCGCCTGAGTTTCGCCTTTTTCGTGTTTCGACTTTCGTCTTCTTGGTGTTTCATCTTTGGTGTTCGCCTTTCTCGGAATTTTCACCTTTAGTGCTTCGAATTTTGCCAATTTTCCTTTCGACTTTTTGGGTGTTTGCTTTTCGCTTTTCAAAATCATTTTTGGCACATCCCCTAATATCTCATGAAAAAAACGATGGAACCCTTCCTTCCAAATAGACCATCAAAAATAATTCACTCATTTTTTACAGGGTCTCGCCTATCCAGCAATGCATGGTTTCTTAATAGAATTTATTCTATTCTTTCCAAAAAATATTTAAAGGTGTTTGGCGTTATTGGGCACCTCCTCTGGAAAGGTCAAAATTGGCAACAACTGCCTTCACAGGGTATTTTTTTTGAAAATTTTCAATAAAATTATTGAATTTCAAGTTCCTATGCCGGAGCAGTTTTTGGTCTTCCAATAAGTGCATGGCTTGTTTCTTATACTCATTGGTCTGCCCCTTTCTACATTTATGGAATTGCTGGCGTTCTGTGGAGCATTTTTTGGTTTTCCCTGACTTTTGAAAGGCCAGCATTTCACCCAACAATTTCTGCAAAAGAGAAAGAACATATAGAAACGAGTATTGGACAAGTATCACAAACACAGCCTACAGTTTGTTTTTTTTAATTTTTAAAAATAGGGGGGAATTGGGACTAGAAAATAGGGTGTCTTAAAGTGGGGAGGGCCATGAGGAAAATTTCTCGGGAGGCAGCACCAAGGGGGGGGGGGGGGAAACCTTAAGGGACAAGGATGGGGAACAGCCCTACCAGAGGATGATATTAGTGAGATATTTGTGAGTAGCTAACCAAAATCGTCTCTTAAATAGAGGTTATCATTGTTGGGTGTTTCTGAGGATGAGGTTCATTTTTGCCAATCTTGTCTGCAAAAACTTGCGGACAATCCGCAAATTTTTTTGAAATTATTTTACACAAAATTAAAAAAATTTCTAATTTAAATTTTTCTTAGTTGAGCACAATTCCTTGGCGTGCCATACTCACTTCCAGGGTAAAAAATAATTTTATAATAAAATAATTTTTAATTTTTAGCCTGTTTGGGCAATTATTGTTGCCAATTTCGCTCGAAGTTGGAATTTTTATTTGCTGCTCCAAAACCAATTGACATACATGAGGGATGTTTTAGGACTGAGAATTAGTGATGTTAGTTTAATTTTTATTTTTTAAAAATTTTCAAAAAATTTAAAAATCCGCAAATTTTTGTCCGCAAAAACTTGCGGACAATCCGCAAGTTTTTGTCCGCAAGTTTTTTTGAATTTTTAAAATTATTTTTTAGAGTGGATTCATTGCAGCCCTTCCACATGCTGTTATGGTATTTTTAAAATTATTTAAGAAAAATTTAAGTTCTCCCTTTAAAGGGTTGTGTTGTACTACTTGGAGGAAGGATGGCGGATTATCTTCGTTCAAATAAAATACTCTCAACAACTGCTGTTCGCAAAATTTTTAATTGTGGAGGTAAAGAAATTTTTCATAATTTTTTTGTTTTTGTCCGCAAAAAACTTGCGGATAAATTTTTATCCGCAAAAAACTTGCGGATAAATTTTTTCGAAAAATTAAAATTTTTGTGCGCAAAATATTTGCGGACAGCAAAAAAGAAAAATAATTCTTTAATCATCAGGATTTGGCTGTGAAGCCCTCTTCCTACTCGTTGTTGCTTACACAAAAAGTGAACGTACAGCAATGACAGCCCTCATTTTTGCTGTAGGTTGTAGCGGATTTGCAATTTCTGGTTTTAATGTTAATCATTTGGATATTGCTCCTCGTTATGCTGCTATTTTAATGGTTTTTTAAAATTTTTAAAAATCTGCCAGTTTTGTCCGCAAAATTTTTGCGGACAAAAATTTGCGGATTAAAAAAAAATTTTTAAATTCATTTTAAGGGATTTTCCAATGGAATTGGCACTTTAGCAGGATTAATATGCCCTTTTGTTGTTGAATCCTTAACTGCAAAAGGAAGCAATCCAAATGGTTGGACAACCGTTTTTCTTCTGGCTTCGATGATTCATTTTACCGGAATTACCTTTTATGGAGTTTATGCTTCTGGAGAATTACAGGTTTCTTTTTTTTTGTTAAGGGAATATTTCAAGAGCTGTATTACGTGGAAGGGGCGCACTAGAAATTGGGTGCCGAAAAATCCGCAATTTTTAGAATTTCCGCAAATTTTCATCCGCAAAAAACTTAAAATCCGCAAGTTAAGGAATTCCTTTGTTTCGTTCATTTCGACCCCCTAGGTTGATACACCCTTGTTATGTTCTAAAATTATTTCCAATTTTCCACAGGACTGGGCAGAACCAAAAGAGGAAGAAGAAAAGGTTGTTTGGAGTGCTGAACAAGCTTCCGAAGCCCGAAGATTTGAGGAAGGTGGAAAAAGAAAGGGAAGTTATGGAGCTGTTGGAACTTCTATAAATATTGAACCTCTACCAAAAATTAGAAATTATAGTTTGGGACAGACGGGAGGAATTCAAATAGACTCAACAAATCCTTTTGGAGCAGATTGGGGAGATTCTCATAATTATTATCAACAAAATGGAGGAGGTAATTTTAATGAAAAGAGGGATTCGTTGAGATAAGTTTAGACGAATATTATTGATCTCTAGATGTCCCGGTCTCTTTATTAAAGGGCGTACCCAAAGGTCGGAATTTTTTAAGGGAACCAAAGGTGGGGACCAAAGTTATACCAAAGGGTGGGGAGAGGAATGAAACAAAGGGAGATATTAAAGGAAGCATCCCAAGTCAGAGGAGGAGGCTATGTCAAAAATGGGGGGGGGGCTCTTTTAAAGGGAAGGAGGGGGCTATAACGAGTGGAGGGGGCTCTTGGGTTATAAAAATAAGTCTTGGCCTCATAAATCTAGGTTACAAAATTTTTTTTTAGAATTCTTAAAGGATGCGACCACTGGGTACGCCCTTTACCATTTTTCTCATTTTTGAAATTTTTTTGAACGGAATAATAATAGAATTAAATATTAATTTAATTTCGAGGTAAAATTCTTTCTCTTAAATAAGAGCAAAAATAAAATTCTCAGAAAAAATTTTAAATAAAATATAACCGTCACATAATCAAAAAAAATTAACAATCCTCAAGTCTCTCTAATCCTTCTATTTATTTCTGTTTTCAACTGCCAACGGCCTATAAGGATAGAGAGTAGAAATCAGTGCTTGTCTTCGAATTGCCAACTGTTTAAAATTTAAGTTTTAAAGAAACATTCAATGGGATCCCAGAAGGTCAAAACTCATAAAGTCAACTTACTGGATTTGAGCGGATAAGATGGACTTGTTGGGATTGAGGAGCAGACGACGGAAAACTCGAGTGCAATTGTCGGATAGGAAAAAAGGGAGGACCCGCTGGAGTTGAACTTTATGGTTATTTGACCTTCTGGGATGGACCAAATTCAGTATTTTCTAAAAAAAAACTGACCAACGACTTCTTTCCTTCCTTCAAAGAAAAATAAATTAATAAATTAAAAATATTGTTAATAACCTCGTACATCTCGGCCAATCTGCTTTCACTTAAATTCTCAGTCCTCGAGTGTTCAAAATAGTCACGGACACGACGACGGGCAAAATGTTTGTAGCTGTACTGGGGAAACTAAAAAAAACCATAGATTTACCCTCTCAAAAAATTAACAAAAAAACCTCTCTGCCAGCTCTCAATAATTCTTTATAAAGTTTAAGCCAGTCAGCTCGAACAGGAAGTGCTGCCATATTTCTTTAAAATAAATGAATTTCTGTTAAACACTAAGAAAAATATTTTAAAGACGTGAAAAAAATTTGAAAAATATTTTTTAGTTAAATTTAAAACAAAGGTTTGAAAATTAATATAAAATTCACATCCATATTTATCAAATAAATTAAAAAATAAATTAAAAATAAGTTAAAAAAATACACATTTAAATTGACTCAAATCGAGCTTCCAAAATGTTTAGGAAACGAAATCGATCCAATGCCCGTATCATCACAACTAAAAAATAGGTGGAAATAAAATGGTAGATGAGGAAATTGGGAGTCTAAACGAGATGGGACAAAGTAAAATATTATTAATAATAGATGAGATCAAGCCTCGAGTCCGATCTCTAAGCTTAAACAAACCAAACCTTAGGAAAAACTCTGACATGAAAGGGGAAAACGGAAACCTCAAATCAGAATTAAAAAAATAATCCAGATATTTAGAAGAACTCTGATAGGGAAGATAATACACCCTAACTGTCCCATTACTTTAAAAACAAAAAAAATTACAAACCATTTGAATCAAAAGTATGTCGAATTTCTATATTTGCTTCTCTTGCGACGTGTTTAAATGCACTTCCAATTACACTTAAAAATTAAATTTTAATGAAAATAAAATTCAAAAAAAACCTTTTTCCACTTGTATCAGCCATTATTTCGACTAAAGGCATTAACTAAAAAATTTAAAAAATTTAATTTCTATTTTAAAAGTTAACAAACCCCGGATATCAAATACCAGCCTGAATGTTCACCCAACAAGGGAAAAATAAGAATGAAAGGTTTGGTTCCACGAGAGGTTGGATTCTGTGAAAATAATTTTTTATAAATTTTTCAAGAACTTTTCTGAAATTTTTAAAAAATTTTCGAAATTTCAAAAAATTTCAAAAATTTCAAAATCTTAGAAATTTAAAAAATTTTCGAAATTTCACAAAATTTCCAAAAATTTCAAAAATTTTCGAAATTAAAAAAAAATTTTTTTAATCAGAAAAAAAACCGTAGACACATAAGCACGCAATACCGAATGAAAAAATAAAAAGAGAAAATGCCTTGAAGAGAGGAGACCGAGCATTGAACACTTAAAAAATTCCAAATAATTTTTCAAAAAAAAATCAAAAATCAACCTGATCAGAAAGCGAAAGAAGGAAAAACCTCGACATTAAAACTACATGTTTTTGAGCTATTGACCTCTTAACCAATTCATTTAAACTTTTTAAAGCCATTTTGTAGAGCTCTACAGAATGCTTTAGAGGGGGTAATTCACGTCCTCCCGTCTTGAAAAATTCCCTCAAAATTTCGTTTGTTGACTCGAAACGTCTGCTAAGTTCACTGTCAGGCTGTAAAGAAAATTTTTTTTAATTTAAAAAAATTTACGAAAAAATTTCAAAAAATTTTGAAAATTTCCAAAAAAAAATTTCAGAATTTTCAAAAAAATTTTAAAAATTTCCAACAAAATTCTTGAAAAATTTTTAAAATAAATTTTCAAAAAAAATTTCAATTTCAAACCTTGTCCGACTGATTCCACTCTAATCTAATTGTTAAAATTCTAGCAAAATCAACAGCATTATAAGTCGAATTAAATCCAAAATTTGTATTGAATGAAGCAAAAGTTTTATTTAAATATTCCTTTATTATTTTAAAAATTTCCAAACGGCGATCTTTTTTGATTACTTCAAAATTTTGGCGGCATTCAGCGAGGGTTAAACTAAAAAAATTTTTTTTGAAAAATTAAAAAAAAATTTCCAACCCAATCTTTGCAAGAATTTCTTTAAATTTATCCTCTCCTCGTTGTGACCAAAGTTTGCTTTCACAAATAAAATGAGATTCATTTAGCATACTTTCATAAAGTGTCCAACGAGAATATAGAGGTAAGATTAGACTAAAAATGAAGAAAAATTCACGAAAAAAGTCACTCTATTTCACGATTAGGGAACTTTGGTTAAGTGATATTTTCCTTTAATGATGGGTGAGGCAAGGGGGTCATGGGTTCGAACCCGCTCAGGGTAAATTTTATTTTACAGCGTCGTAGTATAGTGGCTAAACCACTTCGCCCCGGGAGACTCCGATTCTACCTACTAAATATTCCTATATCAGGTAACTTGGTTAAGTTGGTTAGGTCTTTTCTTTCATGGTGGGTGAGGTCATGGGTTCGAACCCGCTCAGGGTAAAATTTATTTTTGGTAAAGTAGTTAACGCCCACGTATCGGAAGACCCATGTTCAATGCCTAGAGGCACCCATAAATTAATTTAAAAACAAAACTCTTCTTTAAAGCTGACAGTCAAGTGATTTCTATTTTGGTCAGTCAAAGCACCCGATCTTGGTCCAAATTTTAAAATAAATGGTTTCATTCGATCCGCACAAATCTTAAATTAAATTTAATAAAAATAAAGAAAAACTTTAGAAAATACATCAGTATATTTTTCCACGCAAATAATTTGATCAATAAATTGACTGCTAATTCCAACAGCAGAACACCACATTATTTCTGCAGAAGATTTGCCTAGTTCATGAGCTAATTCTAACATAAATACTGATATCTAATTTTAAAAAATGTGGAAAATTTTTGGTAAGAGAAATACCGGTGGAGCATACCAAGACTAGAAAAAAATAAAAAAAAATTAAAAAGGAAGTTAAAAAAGTGGCAAAAGGAAAAAAATCATAATCGAAAAGAACACCCCCGTTAAAGCATAAAAATTCTAGAAGCTCAAAAATCCTTTATATTTGTTTATTTTATAAATGTGAATAGTTAAAAAGCAAAAATAATTCGGTTATCGACAAAGGGAGTCGAACCTGAGACCCCCCTAATATGTTACACAACTCACCAGACCGGACGGGTACCCCCAGTAACCCACTGAACCAAAAAGTGTTTTCCAGCTTAAAATAGGATTGATCTTCTGGATTCTCAATCACCTAAATCCCTCAAAAAATCTAAAAAAACCTTCAAATAATATTCCCACAAAATCGTCCCCCTTGCCCGTTTCCATTGGGTTCGCCGTTGTCTTTTTAGTGTTCTACTAGCGATTATATCAGCCAGTTGTTTGCGTTTTCCACGTCTTTTAATTATTGACGAATTTCTTTCATCTTGATGACTTTGTTGGTCATTCTCATCTAAAAGTTCCTCGACTCCTCCATTTTCCTTAAAAAATAATTTAATAAAAAATAAATTGCCGTAAATATCCCAATAGTGGCTCCTCTTTAATAAAAGCCCTTGCCCTATTAGAAGCCTACCCAATCGGACCCACGAAAGAATAAACGTCCAAGGCCTCTATTAAAATAAAACAGGCACATTGGCAAAGTCAGCAAAATTTGCAAGTCAATTATGTTACTTGCGGATTGTCCGCAAGTTTTATCCGCAAGTCAAGAAATGTCCGCAAATCAATTATTGTGCCGTACGGACAAAAAGCTGCAGACTTTACCGGTATACCATAAATAGAATTAGCATTTCACCTCTCTAATAGAAGGCCCTGCCCTATTGGAAGCATAAATAGGACCCATTGAAAATAAACGACCGAGGCTTTTATTACAACATTAACTGAAATTTGATAAAAAAAACCTCTCCTTCCTCTCCATCACTGAACAAATTTTCTCCTTCCTCCTCTTCATCTTCCCCACTTTCACTTCCAGATTGTTCTTCCTGTTCATAAATAGAATTAGCATCAGGGACATTCCATTCAGGCAATTCTGAACTTTCTGTCAAAACTTTGATTGAATCAACATTGAAAATATTGTCTAAATGAATTGGCCTTCTTGATTCTATTATCCAGAAATTTACCTAAAAAATTAATTTTTGGGGGGAATGGCAAGTTTTACTAGAGAACAGGGATGGGCAAAATTTCGTCAATTTTATGACTTACGGATTATCCGCACATTTTATCCGCAAATCAATTTATGACTATGAACATCTCCAATAGCGCCTCTCTAGTAGACGCCTGTGCCCCCTAAAACGAAAAAACAAGGATCAACCGAGAATTCGAAAACCCTTGCCTTAGAACATCAAATGCTGTCCTCTATAATTAACCCTACAAGGCGCCTAAACCCCCGACCTAATAAAAATAAAAAAATTAAAAAAATACATTCGAAGGAAGTTCAAAATCAAGAAGAGAATTTGACCCAACACAATTCATCAAAATAATATTCTTTGTCTGTTTACCATGTATTTTAATTGTTGATTTCAATCCTTCTATTGAATTAACCGGAATAAGTGTATAAGTTACTTCGTCACAAGAAAATAAATGCTAAAACGACGATGGTATTATGAGACTAGTAACCAAAAAGGGTTACTAGTCTCATAAGGGGTTATGAGTTCCATGAAGGTTTGAGACCCAATGAAGATTTATAAGTCCGGTTTAGGAGAGTCACTAAACTCATGAAGGTACATTGGCTCAAAAACTAGACTAGAGCCTTAATCTAACAGAAAATTGCGGACTTTTTTGGCGTGGTCCCAATAAGCGTTTATGACGAAGTCGAATTGGGGTTCGAATCCCCGGTAGAAAAAACCACATGGGATTGGATTTCGAGTAACCTAAGCAACTCCTGACTTGGAGAACCAGACCCAAAATTTTTTTAAAAAACCTCCTTACAGTCAAAATAGCAGTTGCACATAGCGCATCAACATCAGCATTTACAATAATCAGAATATGCTTAAAATATAAAAAAATAAGTTGAAATAAAAAAAGAAAACCTCACATCCTTTCTAAGCTCTTCGTAAAATTGAAGTCGAAAATCGTTGCTAATAATCATTTATAAAATTATGAAAGCATTTTCTAGAAAAATTTTTTAAGCTCTAAAAATCTGAAAAAAATTAAAAATATTTCGTAGTTAAATGAAAATGCAAATCAAAAATTTTTTTCAAGAATTCAACCCCCACCCAGTACTCCCAAAAAAATTATTAGAAAATTTATTTTTCAAACCCCTTCACAAAAAAAATTTTTGAAAATTTTTTTCGAACCCTCTGCACAAAAAATTTTTATCAGCCCATAGCCCTCGACCCCCCCCCCCTCCAAAAAATTTTTTCCACCCTCCCCCCTCCTCACAAAAATTTTTTAAACCCCCTTCCCTACCAAAAATTAATTTCCCCCACCCCCATATTTTTTCTAAAATATTGTCCATGTCATTAAAAAATCCTCCCTCCCCCAAATTTTGTCCACAATTTATTAGGCAAATCGTTCTCTCCCACAAAAAACAACAGCTGTTATATAAAACCGATTTTCTTACTAAAAATAAATCAAAGATTTAAGCAAGAGTTCGGAAAGGGGGAAATGGACAGGCGCTACTTTCAACTAAAAATATTGCCTTTAAAACTGCCCATTTATTTCCTCTGGTCAACTGAAAAATAAATATAAAATCATCCTTCCCCTCTCCCCTTCCTTTCATTTTTACTTTAAACTTTTCTTGGATCAAAAAAATTTTTTTAGTTTAGAACGATTTACTAAAATTGACTGGTCATTTTATTTATCTCCTCGATTCTTTCCCAAGAAAATTTTTGACCCTAAAAATATCCCGTATTAACTCTAATTGAACACCCAGGAATTCTATTTATTAATCACTTCCAAGGGGCATTTTATTAGAGGGGGGGGGGATATTATTAGAGAGGGGGGGCATATTAGAGAGGGAGGCATTCTATTAGAGAGGGGGATATTCTATTAGAAAGGAGGCTTTCTATTAGAGGGGGAGTCTATTAGAGGGAGAGCATTAAATGGAGAGGGCTTTCTATTAGAGAGGGGTATTCTATATTAGAGGGGGCGGCATTCAAATAGGAGGGGGACCCTATTATAGAGAGGATGGAGGGGGCATTCTATTTTCAATTCCCATCCAAAGGGGCACTTTATAACAGGTACCACGGCATTTTTCATTTTACAAAACACCAAAAATCCAAGAAAACGCAATTCTCGTCTAGCCGACTCTGTTGGTTGTAGGTGTTTTTAAAAAAATAATCATCACAACCCCCTAGAGTTCGCTAGGTGGAAAATGCGGTAAAAAATCTAAAAATAAATTTAAACAAAAATTAATTTTTAAAAAATATTTTAAAAGAAAATCCTTCAAGTAAGGCAACTTTTAAAAATTTAAAATTAAAAAAATTTTTTGAATAAATTTTATTAAAATATTAAAGTTGAAAAATCAAAAAAAAAACCAAAAATAAATACATACATCCAATTCACATTGATTCAGAAAAAATTTTTTTTGACTCATCCAAGTTGAAATACACTGAAAAATTTGTTTTTAAAATATTAGAAAAATGTATGGATTTTAATATATAGAGTAAGTATTAAGCTAAAGGGGTGTAGCCAGTGGGTCGATTTCAGGGGTCGAAAATGGTGTGCGCGCAAAATTTTAGTGGTATCAAGGGCGTAGCCGGGAAGCTTCTGAAGCTAACCTTCTCCCGTTTTTAAAATAAGTTCCCGGAGGGACACAAAAAAAGATATAAAAAAACTTCTCCAAAGCTAGTCTACCATAAGAATTCCTCAAGAACTCCCCCCCCCTCATCTCCCAAAATTAGAATGAAAAAAGGCAAACCCTGGCTCATTTTTATCTTCATCCTCTGTAAGGCTCGCCTGGCCTTTATCTGCCTCTCTACTTCGCATACCACTAAAATCAATTGCGCCGGTTGTTGCTGAACTTGCATTTTTATAATCAATTCTATCAAATGTTTGCGAATCGCTGTCAAAAACTCCAGCATCTGAAAAATCTACAGCAGCATTTGAATCTTCTTCATCAATATCTCGCAATGCTCGAAGGTCTAAAAATTGAATAAATTAGAAAAATAAAATCTCTTTGCGGAAATTTTAAAAGGACTCATAATGGTCAGAGCTCTGATTGTCTCGCAAATTAAGACTCCATAGTGACCAACACCAAAATGGCCTCATAATAGTCAATTTTATAAAGCCGCATAATGATCAAAGCTCATAATGGTTTCAAAACGGTCAAAGCTCTTAATGGTCTCATAAGGGTCAGAGCATACTTACCCTCTCTCTATTCATTAAAAAAGTAATGTTTTAAAGAAGTGATAATTGCTATGGGGAAATATTGGGAACTGTACTGATTTCCTTTCTATAACTGACCATTATGAGTCCGCATAAATACATCCGCAAAAACTATTTCGGGAATTGAGTTTGGAATAACCCACAAATCCAAAAAAATTTTCTTACTTGTTTCTTCATTCGAATTATTCTCAATAGACATTGCACTTTGCATAGTTTCATCATTATTTTCGCATTCCCCGTTGGGTATTTTTGGAGCGACTATTTTTGGGGCTACTACACTGCTTGAGGAAACTGAAAAAATAAATTTAAAGAAAATCCTTGTCCAAAAAATAAACCTGGAACCCATTTGTATATACTAATGCTGCTGTCTTTAAGAAGTACCCATCTCTTCTCCCTTTAATTTATTTAAATTTTTAAGGTGAAATTCGGTCGGACCTTATTACAAGAATAACAAATAGGTGGGGAAATGGGTGGGGAAGCTGCCTAACCGATACCCTCAGGCTAACAACTCATATATATAATGACCAGAGCTTGGCCTTAAGGTCACCCAGTCCGGTCTTGAGTCTTAAGGTCCAGCACCGAGCTCAAAATCTTGATAGTAGGACAGTCTTGGTTTCGACCCAAGGGGGCATAACGAGGTCCGACCGCATCTTAAAAACACAAACCATTTCCGCACAAAACATTTATCAGTAGAATAAATAACTCTTCTCAATTCATCCTTTGCTTTGTTTCTTGTTTCGGCACGATTATTGCGAGGGGTGACTTTTGAAAGAGAAGAAATGCGACTGTAAAAAACAAAGATTAACTAGAAAAAGAGAGAAAAGACAACCTTGTTTGCATCTTGAGGCTTGAGCTTGAGGCTTTGATTAATTCAAAAGATCGCAAAATGGAGAATTTAAGCTTTGTACATTTTGGCAATTGGTGTTATAAATTTTACCTCTTTGAAATTTTTCCAAAAATTTAATGGCATTCTGTATTATTTTTAATTTTGTTGCTTTCTATTAGAGGTCGGCAAAATCGCATTTGCGGGATCCCGCGGGATAAAATTTTTTTTAAAATCTTTGCGGGACGGGATCCCGCGGGATAAATCCCGCAAAATCCCGCATTCCCGCATAATCCCGCATTTTAAATTTGCGGGATCCCGCGCGGGATTGCGGGATTTTTCAAAAATCTATGAAATTATCAATATCTATTGAAAAAATCAATTTCCTAATCATTAACGGGTTACCAACTCGTACTCGTGCTCGTACAATTATCGTACTTCGTACCAATTTACGAGTACAGGTTGGTGCAAAGGTATAATCACTTATCCCAGGTCCCCAATTATCAAAAAATCATAAGGGGCAAGCTCATACATATTGGTCGGAAAATTCAAGTATACGAATTAGAATAGCTTGAGCTTTAACAAAGGGGATCAATCATCGTGATCTAACAATTTGGACAATCTTGCTCTGACGAAATAGAGATGATTCCATGTGCGGCAGGCGAAAATTTTAGAAGGCCAAGTAGTCAAATTCCAAACTTTTTCAGCGCCGCAGGCAAAAATTTCGAGATTTTAGAAGGCCAGAGAGTCAAAATTCTCATTTTTCTAGCGCCGCAGGCGAAAATTTTTTGAGTTTAGAAGGTTAGGAGCCAAAATCCTCCATTTTCCAAAAATCCCGCAAAATTCAAAATATTTTGCGGGATCCCGCGGGATAAAATTTTTTAAAAATCTTTGCGGGACGGGATCAGGGGTGAGCGCAAGGGACAATCTCAAAAAACGCAAGACGCAAAACGCAACGCAAGGCCAAAATTTAACGCAAATAACGCAAGACGCAAAACGCAAGAACGCAAAATTGAGAAAAAATTTTTTTAAATTAAGTATTAGCCATTTTTCAGTTAAAAATTGATGTATTACTATAAGTTAGCGAGTCATAATTAAGTTTGAGGTACAAGTAAGTTGGATGAGTAATGTTTTGGAGAGAGATAAAGGATTTAGAGGGATTATGAAGGATATCAGAGGATTTAGAACAATCAAGGTGGTTAACGAAGTGGCTGGGGATTACGCAGATTATCATGTAATTTGGAGCGATCAAGTAAATTTAAAAAGATCCCATGGGATTACTAAAGGATGTCGAGTGAGTTAGGGAGATAACGGAGGATAAAGGGCTATCAGTATTTATAAATTGATTCCGGGGATATCAGGTAATTTGGAGGATAACTTGAGATCTGAGCTCCAGATAATGAACCGATATTTTTTGAGCCGTTTCAAGATGTAAAATTGGTATTTAAATATTTAAATACCCTACTTTTAGCGCCGCAGGCAAAAATATTGAGAATTTTGGAAAGCAGAAGCTAGATTTCTTCCAATTTTTGCCCTCAGATTAGAATAATAACAGGGATTTGAGCATATAGTAGTTATCAGGGGTTGCAGAGATATAGCACGATATCCCTACAAACCCCCGATATCTTTTTAAATCAACCTTAATCGCAGTAAATCGACCGATAGTCTTCTATCACTTCAGTTCCTCCGATATTTTCCACTTGGCCACTTTATCCCTCCTCCATTTTCTGCGCCGCAAGCGAAAATTTTAAGAATTTTGGAAGGCCAGAAAGCAAAATTTCTTCATTTTTTAGCGCCGCAGGCGAAAATTTTTAGAATTTTGGAAGGCCAATAAGCCAGATTTCTCTAATTTTGTCCTCAGATTGGATATATTTTTTGCGTTAATTTCATCGAAAATAACGCAAGACGCAAAACGCAACGCAAGGCCAAAATTTAACGCAAATAACGCAAAACGCAATGCGCTCACCCCTGGACGGGATCCCGCGGGATAAATCCCGCAAAATCCCGCATTCCCGCAAAATCCCGCAAATCGAAAAAAGTGCGGGATTGCGGGACGGGATCCCGCAAAATCCCGCGCGGGATCCCGTCCCGCGCCGACCTCTACTTTCTATAGCCACTCTCTTAATTTTACGTGCTGCCTTATTTTTCTACAAAAATTTGTTCGAAACTCATTTTGCCAATACATATTTCGCCAATAAGGCTAAAAACATATCTTTTGCCAACAGGACTGCGGTGACAAAACGGTAGTTTTTAGCCTTATTGGCAAAATATGTTTTGGCATAATATGGATTTGTATTTTTAGAATTTTTTTTTTTGATTTTTTTGAAATTTTGGACCTCATAATTGAAAATTTGGCTAAACTACAGTTTCCGTACCAGGCTCAGAATTGGACGATTTATATGTCATTCGAAAGAGCTCGTCGAGCTGAGTTGGATGACACCAAAATTTTTCAGCGGAAAAAATTCTGAGCCGAGTTACAGACCCCTAAAGTTCAAAAAACGATAGGGGGGACCAAGCTGATTTCTGGGGGTGAAAAATTCGAATATGCAAATTATACCTCATTCGAAAGAGCTCATCGAGCTGAGTCGAATGACACCAAAATCAATGAAATCAGACGTCATTTGACAAAGTTACGACCGTTTGTTTTAGCCCCTTCCACAAGGGTTTCGCGGAAAAAAGTTTTTGCCGCTGCGGAGGAAGCCGGGCATGTCGAGCGGAACGACGGCCGCCGCTTCGCTACGGTCGCCGCGAGCGCAGCGAGCACGACCGCAGCGAAGCACGGCCATCGTGTAGCGAAGACCATGCCCGGCCTACCCTCCGTAGCAGCACAAAAACAGTTTTTCCAGCGAAGATTCTGTTGGTCATAACTTTTTTCAAAATCATCCAATCGAGCTGATTTTGGTGTCATTCAACTCAGCTCGTCGAGCTTTTTCGAATGAGGTATCATTTGTATAATCGAATTTTTGACCCCAAAAATCAGCTTGGACCCCCTATGGTTTTTCGATTTTCGGGGGCCTGTAACTCGGCTCAGAATTTTTTCCGCTGAAAAATTTTGGTGTCATTCGACTCAGCTCGACGAGCTCTTTCGAATGACATATAAATCGTCCAATTCTGAGCCTGGTACGGAAACTGTAGTTAGGCCGAAAATTTTTTTATAGATGTCATCATTCACATTAGAAGTATATTTTTTATTTGTTTTCTAAACTTATTTATTTAAAGGTACTTCATTGGAAACCAACAAAATTGGAGGAGGAATGTGATTCTACAGATATTTTGGAGCTTGATGCTATAGCCAGAGATATTCGTGCTGAGCTCTGTATCGCCAAAGAAGAGGAAGAAAGGTTGACTGAATGCATTGTTGATGGTTTGAAGAAGACGGAAAGGACTCTAGGTTTATTTTTTGCTGTAAGGTAAAGGTGTCGGTTCTGAACCGGACCCGAGTATCATGGATTTTTCTGTACGGGTCTGATGGTTCCCAGGAGCCCTATTTCACTTCGGAGCCCTATCTTGAAAAAGGTCGGAGCCAGAGCGCCACAAAAGCGCTCAAAACTGCCGACAATCTTTAAAGTTTATTTTCTCTATTTCTCAGGTACCTCCAACTTTCAACGTTTTTTCGATCAATGCGCAGCACGTGTCAATGCTGAATTTGAACGTTCAGAGGCCGATGCCCGTCAATTATCAAATTCACTGGATGCACTTTCCGGTCTTGCCCAAAATATTTCAAAGCGTGTAGCAGCATTGGATCTGGGAAAGAGTCGAGTTGTTGAGTGTTTGCAACATGTTAGTGATTTACGGGATTTGGGGACCTGTGCAAACGGTGTACAACAGGCAATTAGGGATGGGAATTTTGAGGAGGCAGCCAGCCATATTCATCGATTTTTAACGCTGGATTCGATTGTTTTCAAAATGAGCGATAGTCAGGATGTTAAAGGTTGTTGGCTTTGATTAACATAAGTAAGAAATTTTTGGTTCTGTCAAAGCTCACAAGGCAAATCAAAATATTTGGGCGAATAAAAAGGATCGAGTTCACATTTAATCCTAACAGATCCATCTTAACCCGTTCAAACCCATCGATAATGCTCACAAATCCGACTTAATCTATACATATCCTTCATCCTCCTAACTATTTAATTTGACTTTTTGGAGGTTTACCTTTAGAGTCAGTTGTCCTTCTGATCTCGACCTTCCGTGTTGATCCCATTTTTGATGATAAATTCTTTTTTAGATGCGGGATATTCCGTCAAAAATTGTTATGATATATTAAGACAAGCGTCGATTGAGCTTAAGCAACAGATTGAACTAAAATTTGACGAAGCTAAAGCAAAGGGTGATGTTTCGACAATGGAGCGTTTATTCAAACTTTTCCCGTTAATAAATGAGCATCAAAGCGGATTGAAGAGATATGGATCGCATATTTGTGATAAAATTGCTGAACTTTCTCAACAGAATTATAAAATTATGCAGGTTAATTTTCTAAAAAATTTTTTGAACTTGTGGGTTATTCCACTCATAATGTTTGTTATAATAAGTCTCATAATGGCCAGCGTAAAGGACTCATAATGGTCAGATTTCACTTTTTTGAATTCAATGAATAGAGGAATGGAATTTTGGATATGCTGACCATTATGAGACTATCACGATTATAGATCGTTTGGAAGTTACTGGACACTAGTGATCTGTCCCATCTCCGAACAGATCGAAGATCGGTTCAGTCGACATCTCGAAAAATTTCGACTCTCAATAACCGAGATTTTCCGACGAAATCTCTCTCGTCCGATCTTTGTTTATCACTATCAGTCTACATAAATATGTCCGCAAAAACTGCTTTGGGATGACCCAAAAGTACCAAATTTTTTCGTCCTAAAATTATTTTTCAGGCCGGTGGAACAGACGATAATCGAAAAAATGTTCTTTTTGCTGATACTTTAACTATGCTTTTTGAAGGTATCGCTAGATTGGTTGAATTGAGTCAGCCTGTTATTATTAGTGCTTATGGACAGGATAAAATGTTGGATCTAATTGAAATAATTCAGCCACAATGTGACAAGCAAACAAGTTTAATTTTGGATGCTTTTTTGCAGAAACGACATTTTCAAGAATTGGCTAATCAAGTATTTTTAAATTTATATTCATAAATTAGGAACGCGCCGAAATCCCAAACGCTGGAATATTTTCGATACATGTCTCCTAAAAAATCTAGTAGGACCGTAGGTCTCGTAAACGTAAAATACCAAACCTTGAAATGCCGCCGAAATACCAAAGTTGGGGAAATAAATCAATAAAACCAACCCCACTGATTTTGGTGTTCTCTTTCCACATATTGGTATTTTGACGTGTCTGTTAGATTTTTGTTATTTTGGTGGACAGCTTTCGGTAACAGGCTAGATTCAATTTTTCTTTTAGGTACGCGTATTACTCAACACTGATGGATTTTCACAAACTGGTTTATTTTTCTAACTTTTTTCACATTTCTATTCAATTTTCAGAACGAATTAACCCAATAGAACTTGACTTGCTCCTTTCTGAAGTTACTTTAATGCATACTCGTGCCGAACTTTTTTGGAGATTTCTTAAGCGTCGATTGAATCGGTCTGTTGATTTGGAAAGGAAAAAGAAGGACGGTGAAGGGAATGAGTTAAAAGAGGTTTCGGAGAAAAATGACTTGGATGACCCTTTAATTGATGAACATCGAGATTTTGAAAGTGAAGAACAACGGGAAGAATACACTGCAAAAATGAAGAAGCAACGTGAAGAAAGGGATAGAAAATTGGATTTGGTTTTGAATCGATCCGGTTTAAACACGAGAATGCAGGTTGCTTAAATTTTTTGGGGTATTATTAAGGGGCCCACTGCAGAAGGTCTTTCTTGAGGTCAACGTCCATGTAGTCAAATGACCCTGGAGGTTAGTTCCTAAAGCCAACTCCCCTAGTGTTCAACTGACCCTGAAGAACAGGTATAGAGGTCAGCCTCAAATACCTGGGCAGAAAAAATAGGATTTGTGCGGATTAAAGTGGATTAAGGGACGGGGAAATTCTCCCGTGTCTTTTATTATTACAATTTTTTAAAAATATTCTAGGAATTGTTGGGTAATTATGTACTAATGGAGCAATATTATATGACCAATTCTGTTCAAAAAGCAATTTCTATGGATACAGTCGAGGATGGGGCGTTGACTAGGTTTGACTTTTTTCACATTTTTGACTTTTTCAAATTTTTTTTAAGTTCTCTTTTGGATGATGTTTTCTTCATTGTGCGCAAATGTATTCGTCGTTCCATCAGTTCTTCCTCTATTGACTGTATTTGTGCTATGCTTAACAATGGGGTGACTTTACTCGAAACTGAATTTTTCAAGTGCATTAGTGCTCCAATTAAGGTTCTTTGACTTTTTTGAAATATTTTCAACTCTCTGGTATAGTCAGGATATCCAAGCAGTGGATGGACAACAGAAGCATATCAAACTGCTCAAAGTGCTTACACCGCCGTTCTGCAGCAAAGCAAGGTTGTTACTGACACTTCTGTCAACAGTATAGAGAAGCAACGAAACTCATTTTTGATTGGACTTAATAATATGCGTAGTTCAGTTGAATGTATTTGTACTCTAAAATTGGGATTAGCAGAGGATTTTGAGAAATATTTGAGCCAGGTTTGATTTTATTTTTAATTTTTTTAATTATTCTTAATTTTACCAGATAACCCCTCTAGAGAGTAAAAAACTCGAAAATGCTGTTAGTCAATTAGATGATTTTACAAAACGTTTAGAACAGCATGCGAATCTTGGAATCGTTAAGCTTTGTGATGCAGCAATTAGGACTAAACTTAAATCGAGGTTTCTTATTTATTTTTGGATGTGGGGCAAAAGTAGATCTTCCAAAACTTGGTCCAAACAAAACTCGGGGAGGCAAAAGTTTTACCAAAATCCAGTCCAGACTTGCATTGGAATAACCTCGCCCTTTTAGTAACAACTATTCATGTCATCCTAGGTTGGCTTTTATATAGTCTTCTCCGTAGCTTGGAACAACATCGCGCCAATAAGTCCTTTACCCGGCTGGACTGAGTTTTGTTAAGCAAGACCGAAGTCTTTTTTGGGCCTGTTTTTGCTTTGTCACGCTTTTTAAGTTTTTTTTTATTTTATCCTTTTTCTAGTGCTGACGAATTTCTTGAACTTTCACATATTTTGTCGGATGAAGAATTGGCCGATTTTGAAATAAATGATCCTTTTATGAGCAATTTTATTTTACAATTGGACAAGCAATTGGTACGCTTTGAGACGCTTTTAGTGCAAGAAAATTATAAGGTTTTTTGGAATTTTTTTGAATTTTTTTGAATTTTTTCTTTAAAGATGTTGGTGTCTTGTTGCGCTGGTGAAGTAGCACAACAATTAGAAAGAGTAATATTTAAATGTTCTTTTAATCGACTTGGTGCTCTTTTGCTTGATAAAGAATTTAGAGAATTATCGTCTTATTTAAGCTCTATAGCAAGTTGGAATATTCGTGAAAAATATAGTCGGCTTTCTAATGTAAGGAAGGAGGTTTTTTTTTTGAAATTTATGAAAAATTTTTTGAAAATTTTTTTTGAAATTTTTTGAAATTTTTTTTTTGAATTTTTAGAAAATTTTTTCGAATTTTTTCAAATTTTTCTGAAATTTTCTAAAATTTTTTCAAAATTTTTTAAAAGTTTTTTTTTAATTTTTTAAAAATTTTTAGATTGTTACTTTATTAAATTGTGAAAGTTTGGATGAAGCAATACAATTATTAGAGCAAATAAATAATTCTCTTCTATCAACGGCAATATTGTCACAAAATGATATTAGACGAACACTGAGTCTTCGAGAAGAATTCTCACGAGACCAAATTAATTCAAAGGTTAAGGCTTTGAAAATTTAATTAGACACAAGTTTGTTATAAATCTATTTTTAAGGGATGTCACGGGTTATCATAAGCCTAGATCCGAGTAAAATTTTCCAAAAACCCGTTCCGACCTCTGACCTTTCCTCGACACGAAACCCGACCCGACTTTTTTCCTTCTTAGTTCCTCTAACTGACTCGATCCGAAATCCGGATTTTTTCTATTCGAAGTCCGATTTGAGTAAAATTTTTCAAAATTTGACCAAGGCCTGCTTAATCCTTCTAACTTGACCCTAAACTCGGCCTGAAACCTTGAGACCTCTCGGTCCGTAACATCCCTATTATCTTTTCTGTTTATTTTGCATAATATTTTTAAAAAATGATTTTGGCTGTGATAAAATTATAATGGGAACTGTTTATTGACTTTTTCACATTTTCGAGTTTTTTGAACTCTTATATTGTTTAATTTTTGTTTTTTCTTTCTTGTTATTTAGAGAGTTTTTCTTTATTTTTTGCCTATTTTTACTTATTTTTAATTATTTTGCGCAACAATGAATTATGACGATGCAGCACAGCAACAACAACAACATTTTTATATGCAACAAAGGATGAGATCACAGCAACAACATCAACGAATGGTTTATTTTAATTTTTTTTTTATTTTTTACTTTGAGTTTTAGCCACTTTCAATGGCTGCAAATCAGCCAGGAGGCCAACAACAACCGCAACATCCCCAACAACAAATTAGACAATCTTTTAATATGGTTCATCAACCGCAACATGTAATGGTTCGAATGCAGGGTATGGGAGGTGATGATCCTAATGGACAACAACAGCATTATCAGCATTTTAATTATAGGTTTTTTTGAATTATTTCAGATAAGACTTGGAAATTGGGTTCCGTCATCTGAACCCCCGCCAATTTTTTGACAAAAACCAGTGCGAACCCTGGCATGCCCACCCCGGCTAAATTATCAAGCAAAATCTAAAACAAAATCTCTAAAACCAAGACCCATAGGATTTTTGGAGACTTCTCGATTCGAACCCCGACATCGCCCCGAGGAGGCCCTTTGCCTGACACTCCCGATCACCGACATTCTATACTTAAAACTTTGTTTTTTAGAGATTTGTTCCATAATCTCCCACCAAGTATGCAGAACCAGATTATGAGTGAAACTAATCAAGAACGTAAAAAACTATTACTTCACGAAGCGGTTAAACAACAGGTTCTTTTACTTTAATTTTAATTTAAAAATTAATTATTTGGTTTAGCAACATTTATTTGAACAACAAATGCAACAACAAGGAGGAATGGGAGTGCGAATGCCTATGAGTTTGTTTTTTAATTGTTTACATTTTTTTGAAACTTAATCACTTTCTGGTATTGTGGGTTATAACAAAATAGTTTTTGCCGACATGATTATTCGGGCTCATAATGGTCGATATCATTTTATCGAATCATCGAAGAAGTATGGATGCTATGACCATTATGAGACCATTATGATTATGAGTCCGCATAAAATGCCGCAAAAACTGTTTGTTATAATCCACAAGTACCATAATTTCTGTTTAGATGTTGTTCAATCTCAACGCTTGCCAATTACGCAAGCAGGAGGAGCGGTTTATTCTGGTCAACAAGTTGTGATGCAACAACCAGGGCACATTCAGTTTATTTTATTTCTTTAAATTATTTTTTGATTTTTCTAAAATTCAAGACGAATAGCTAGCCAAGGATCTTTTGGTCAATCACCAGGACAACCTTCACAAATGTATATGCCTACAACAATGGGGGGACAAACAGTTCGTGGGGGTGCTGCTATGCATCCAATGCCTATTAATCAGCCTTATTTACAGCAACAATTTCAACATCAATCTCAGGTTTTTTGACGATATTTTATGGATATCCCTCCCTCCCTTCTCTTTGTTTGAGTCCCAAAATTTCTTGTCATTTCCTCAACCAAAAAATGGGGTGAAGGTCTAACCATCATGTACGTCTTAAAAAGGAGCAAATAATTTTGGGACCTAACTTTGGAGGAGAGGTGATGTCCATAAAATACCTTTCTGCTTTTTTAACATTTTCTTTTGTTTCCAGCAACAATCAGCAGCCCATCAAATGCAAAGAGGACAACATATTCCTGTAGCTCCAGTAATTTCTTCACAACAACACAATCAAATAACTCCTTCCAATTCGGTTGAATCAAATGTTGGAGGATTTGGAATTCAAAGCGGGAAGACTTCTCAGCAGCTTATTCAACATCTTGATCCTGGGAGTCATCCATCCATAAAATCAGAAGATCAATCTCCAAATCCTGTAGTAGTCGATAATTTGACTGGAGCTCGTTTACGTATATTTTTTTTAATGAGATAAACCCAGAAGGTCAACTCACTACCAAAAGGTAAGCTCTCTGTTGATCAAACTACCTTAATGGTCAACTCCGAATATTTTGGACCTGTGGGTATTATGGGGGATATAGATGGATTTGGAGGGGGTTAAGATTAATTTGCTTGGATGAGAGTTAATCATTCGTGGCAGACCTTCTGAGATGGATGCCCATTTTCATTTATTTTTATTAAAATTTCCTTTTTTAGAAAACACTCTTGATCATCAGCTGCCGCGTTCAGCAGGAACCCCACTTTCCGTAAATTCCCAACAACAACAAACTGAAGCTGAACATCCTGAATATAAAAGACTTTTATCTGAATTGTGTAAACACAAAAAAGATGTAAAGCGTTTATTAGAACGTTTAAATATTGATAAACCTGGAGAGATGAAGCTAAAATCTTCTTTAACCAATGTAATTCAGGTGATGGAAGGAACACGAAAAGGAGGGTAATTAAAGAAATTTTTTAATATTTGTTCCTGCATGTCCGCAAATGTTTGCCCGCAATTACACTTCAAAATCCCTCGATTTGCCTTAATCCCCCCAAATCTCTTGATATCCCCCTTAATCTTTTTTAATCTCAATAAACTATTAGGGTTTAACTTAGGCATAGTTTTCCTCTGGACATAGTTTTGCGAGCTCTTCTTCACTATATTTGACAGAAGGAAGAGCAAGGAAAAGTTAAAAATTGCGGATAAACATTTGCGGACATGCGAGATACAGTCCAAAATCTTTTCTCAAAAATATTTTTACAACAATTTTCAGCCCGGTAACTCGAGATTTATTAAAGAAGCTTCTTGCAAATGTACAAACAGTAAAAGAACAATACGATATTGCTCGACATTTTTTGGTTGCAGCAAGAAAATTGAAAGCTGCGCAAGCAGGTGGACGTGAAATGCCAAAAGAACCTTTATTTTTGGATCCTTGGAAGGATGTCAGACATTTACAGATAAAAATTCCTGAAGAAGTTTTGGCAAAAAAGAAGAAAAGTGAAGCGCCAAAGAAGAGAGGAATTGATGTTAAAAAAGAAGATGTTGGTGAGGTTCCAGTAAAGCGTGGATTGCTTGAATCTATGGCAGAATGTATTTTTTAATAATTTAAAGGTACTAGTGCCGTTTCGCCATGCACACACTCAGCTGTCGTGGCGAAGATGCGGTCGCACTGAAAAAAATCTGTCCGCACTTTTTTCTGAAAATTTTGATGTCCGCAAACTTTCCTTAAATTCTTTCGGATGTCCGCAAGTTTTCTAAATTTTTACGGATATCTGCAAATTTTTTAAAATTTTTTCCCGCACTGGCAAAAACTTTTTTCCTCGAAGACTTACGGGGTAAACGGCACTAGTACCTTATTTAAATGTAAAAAATTTATTTTTTTTAGCCTTCTCAACTCCCGAAAAACCTGCTGGGGAAATTTATAAAATAAAATGTATTGATGGATCTGAATTTGCGCTTAATTCGAAGCTTTCTTCAGCTTTAGGAAAGGCTTTACAGCAAGGATTTGTTTTTGATTTTGATTCGAATCATTTGCCAATTTCAACCAAATGTCCAGCTTTGTATGTTAAGTTTTCTCGAAACGATGATAAAAAGGTTTGAAAAAAATTTTGTAAATGTAGGAATGGGTTTGGGCTTGTTTTTAGTTTTCTGGATTTACGGTTAAAATTTGAAGGATATTTTTGACTTCCTTGAATTTTCCCCGAAATTCTCGTCTTCCTCTCATTAACCAGTTTCCACGCATTTTCGATTATGCCCACAATGTCCGCAACTTTTTGTCCGCAAATCAAATCTGCAAATTCTAATGTCAGCAACTTGCTATCTACAAACTCTTTTTATTGGGTTTCCTTGTTCTTGATTTTTCCTCAGAAATTTTCCTTAATTTTTGAGTATGTTTCTCAGAGTCCACAAATTTTATCTGCAAATTTCTATCCGCAATAGTTCCCTCTTGAAAAATATTTTAAAAATATAGCTCTCCCTTCCCCTGTTAACTCTTTACAATTTTATCTTCAAAAATTTCAAAAAAATTTTTCTTTCTAGTTTCAAACTATTCCTTCTTCAACAACACTTTTTCTACTTTTACCTACAAATTATCCAGAATCTCAAATTAAAATTTTGACGAAATCGGAAGGATCAACTACAATGGATATATTTCTTGAAAAATTGGATTCAAACCTAGTCAATACAAATTCTTTGGATAGTGTGCTTGCTGCTTGGAACAGTTGTTTTTAAATTAATTTTTTACTAATAATTATAGTATTCTTATTTCTAAACATTTCGGAATTATTTACAGCTAATTTTAATTAGTTTCCATAAGGTGTTGTCTTTGGTGTAGTTGGAAATTGTTGGGTTCCCCCTTATAAGGGACCTGGGTTCGAGTCCCTTTGAAGGTAAACAATTTTTATTTTTCAATAGAGCGAATTTTATGGGTCCTAATAAGTTGTCTCCTTGGTGTAGTTGGAAATTGTTGAGTTCCACCTTATTGAGGTCATGGGTTCGAGTCCTGTTGACTGTAAACCTTTTTATATTATTCAAAAATTGATTGTATTTCTTTATCTTTATTTTACAAAATTTTTAAAAATATTTTTGTACTATTTATATACTATAATTTTTATATTCTATTTTTATATATAAATTGGTAATCATATAAATATATTGTTCTTTATATTCTACAGCCTCTCTACTAATTTTCTTTTTCAAATGTAGTTTTTTTCTGTAAATTTTTCGTAATTTTTTAAAATTCAATAAATAATTTAAATAAAAATACCTTCTCTTTTTTGTTCACAAATTGGTATAATTATCTTTTCTGAAGACTATTTGAAGTTGTGAATTAATTCGATTATTACTGCTTGGACGCTACAAATTTTAAAATTAATTTTAAGTCTGAAATACCCCAAACCTGTTCAGCCAGAAATTTTCTCCATTCGTTTGAAGGTATTACTAGCCTTCCAAATTCGTCTCTTTCCAATGGGGCTGTCTCTTTCTTTAAAAGATCCGCAAATTTTTTACGGACTTTTTTTTTAATAATCTCTACCTTTTTCCCACAGCCATTTTCAGTCGTTAGCTTTCCTCTAGGCTCTGACCACTTATTTTCCCCATAAATATTTGAATAATTACGATTTAAGGACGGAAAGTTGTAAAATTTTTGTTGATATTTGTTTTCGCCTTAAAAATTTATTTCAATATTTGCAAATTTATGCGGATGTCCGCAAATTTTTTTAGTTGCGGACATCCGCAAGTTTTTGCGGACTTTTTTTTCCATTCACTTACCTTCTTTTTTCTTTTCTCTTTGTTTTATTTCATTGTTTTCACGTTCAACTTCCGGCACAAAATCGTCTAATCGCCCAGGATTAGGTTTTTCATCTAACGATATGACACGATAATCTTTTGATTTATTTTGAGAGAAAAAGTGGTGGTGATCGCTATCTCCGCTAGATGAATTATTTGATGAAACTGACACTTAAAAAAATTTTTAAATTTTTAAAAATTGCGGATGTCCGCAAAAAATTTACGGATGTCCGCAAGTTTTTTGCGGACATAAAATCAAAAAAATCTCACAACTTGATCCAATCCCAGTACTGTCACTTTTATTTGAATTTTTAAAATTTGGCCAAGTAAAAATTGGAGGCGAAGTAGGCATATAACTTGGAGAACTTGTTCCTCCCCCCAATTTTGCCCCTTTAATAATTAATTCTTTCTCTTCAAAAGGAATTTCCACAATTTTCAATCGGGGAGTTTTTAAAGGAAAGGAAGAATTTCTCTCATTAATATTATTGAATTTCCGGATTGCTGGGAGTGATTGCTGTTGTTTTGAATTAAAATAGCAAGACGCTGATATTGATGCATTGTGATTGCGAGAAATTAAAAGAGAAACGGAAACTGAAAATTTTTTTTAAAAGTTGGACCTTTATATAAGAGACAAGCTAGAGTTGGAAAAATTTTATCTTATAATGGAGGGTACCTTAAATAGAAGGTTTAGCTAAGGCAACTCACCACTCAAACTTAACCTTTAGGTATACCCGTGGGATTGAAAAATCGTCTCTTATAATGAAGGTATCCTAATTAGAGGGTACCTTATAACGGGGATACCTTAAATAGAGGGTATTGCTTAGGTAGCTCCCCCACCCACAAAACGCGCTTTAGTTGGAAAAATCGTCTCTTATAACGAGGATACCTTAAATAGAGAATTTTTACCTTCACTCGACGGCAGCTCTCTAGAAACAATTTTGAAAGGCCTCTCAGTACTTTTAGGATGAACAAAGTTTCCAGTTTGTTCATTTTTGAAGTAAGGCTATTAATTTAAAAATTAGAAATTCAAAAAATTTTCTTCCAAGCCCAATTTACCTTAATTTCTTTTGTCTTTCCCCCACTATTATTATTGCCGACAATATTCTCCATCTCGGAGTTCCCAGCTTTGGCGCGGCCAAGAATAACACAAGTTTTGGAAAAAGTATTGGAATCCCCACCACAACTTTTTGAATTCCCAAAATTTATTTTTTCAAAGGGTGACTCCATTTTTTGAATAATTTTATAAATAAAATTAAAGACATTTTAAATAGGGAAAATATAAAGGAAAATTTTGGAATGTGTTTAAAAAGGATATTTTTGTTGTTTTGGATAGATGGCGAGATAAGGGGGAAAATAAAGGGGAAAGGAAGAAAATAGGGGGAATAAGGGGGACCGTTACGGCGCGAAGGTGTTTTGGCGCGGGAGCTTATAAAACAGTGGATTGCTCATCTAGAAAGTTAAAATTTTCCATTAATAACCCAGATATCCTCAACTAAGTTATCCAAAAATTTCAGAATTTTTGAACCAGAATTCCAGAAATTATGACCAAAAATATTGTTGATTCTCCAAAAAATACCTTATTTTTGAAGTTTATCTAAGCAATATTTGATGAAATATTCTGAAATTTTTAGAAGAGGTAGTATAGGATGTTAAAGAAATTTGAGGAAATTTTCATAAATTTAGGGTTCGCACAAGTGTCATTTTTGAGTCACGCGCCAAAACGGCGCCGCGCCAAAACGCCTCCGACACAGGAAGAAGGATAGAAGGGGGTTGGGGGCAGACCTGGGCGAAACTCAAAATTTTTTTCTGACGAAACGAAACGAAACAAAATTTTTTAAAAATCGTTTCGTTAACGAAACGAAACGAAACAACCAAAATCTTACGAAACGAAACGAAACAAAACGAAACATTTTAATATTCAAAAAATTTTCAAAACTGCATTTATTTCGAAATTATTCGACCTCAAATACGTTATTAGTCGACTATGACTTATAAATGATTTAGTTATTGGTTTATTTACAACAATTGTGTCCCATAAGCCAGGCCCGTAGCAAGGAAAATTTTCGGGGAAGGGGGGGGGGTCAATCATTTTCGAAGCCAAATTTTTGGCGACGCTTTTTTTTAAATAAAATTGAATATTTTTCAAGTAAAATTTTATTTTAAGCGCCGCAGACGAAAAATTTTAAAATTTTGAAAGGCCGTAGGCCAAAAAATTCACTATCTTGCTCCATTGCCTACCCAAATTGTCTCCATATCTCCATTTCGAGAGGAAGGCGATATAAGCTAGTGCTTCGCCGGAAGTTCCGGTTCCAGTATTTCCGCAACTCGCAATCCGCAATTTTTAAATTATGATGCGAGTCCGGTAATAGAATTTGTCGTCGATTAAGTAATATGTATATGTGGATTAGGGAGTGGAGTATAAACGGATTTGTAGTATATAAGTAATTGCTATCTTCCTTTTTCAGCGCCGCAGGCGAAAATTTTGACAATTTGGGAAAGCCAAGAAGCCGAAATTCTTTTTTTTTCAGCGCCGCAGGCGAAAATTTTTTAAATTTTCAATAAAAGATGGTAAATTTTATAGATTTTGGCCTTAGTTTAGGCTTAAAAAATTGTTTCGTTTCGTTGAAAAATCACAGGTGTTTCGTAACGAAACGAAACGAAACAAATTTAAAAGTGTTTCGTAACGAAACGAGACGAAACAGTAAAAATCATACGAAACATACGAAACAACGAAACGAAACGAAACGTTTCGCCCACGTCTGGTTGGGGGTCTTTTAAAAATATTAAAACTGGGAAAAAGAAAAGATTTATTTAGATAAGTTAAACAATAGAAGGGAGAGATTAATAATATTTCCGGCAATGCGCGATTTTTTTCCCGGCAATGTGTGAACGTTTTTCGTTTCGTCAAAATTTTTGCGCACACCCCTCTGCAATAGGCTAACAACGCAAACAAAGACAAACTAAAATAGAGGCCCTAGCTAACTTACTTAAAGGCTGTGGAATTAGATCAAATACAGAAATATAAACCTTTAAAAAGGATCAAGTCTCCCTAAAAAAGACTACCTAAATTGCTCCTAATTGTTCAAAATAAACATTAAATTTTATATTTAAAATTTAGATTAACAAAAAAATTAAATTAAAATAAGGTAAAAGTTGGGTTTGTGTGAACCTTTCTCTCATTTACCCTTGAAAAAATGAGGAAGTGCTTTTTTAATATTTTAGAGGTTTGCCAGAAGGTAAAAAGGAGATTGTGCCCGAAAGTGATTTTAAAAAGCGAAAGACGAAAACCCAAAAAGGCGAAAATCGGCGAAAGGCGAAACTCGCACACCCTGGGGACTAGGGCTGGACGCAATTGCGGATTGCGTAAAAATGCGTGTTTTTTTTGACTTGCGGATTGCGTCTGCGGATTTTAAAATAAAAATTGCGGATTGCGGCTGCGGAAAATTTTTTTCAATTGCGTCCACCCCGCCTGGGACTGACATTAGGGCGCGGGGTAGTTTTGGCGCCACATTGGAAACTTCACCCCCTAAGGGCCAACCCTTAGATACCCCAACCCCACACCCCTTGTAGGTAATTTTAAGTGTGCTGGGTCCGAATATGAGTTAAAATTTTATTTATTTTAAATCCCGGACCCAAATTCGACACAATTTAGAAATTAAAATTTTATGGCTAAACGGGGTCACATAAACCTAACTTTTACCTAAAAAATAAATTAAAATTAACCGGAAAGTCAAAGGAGCATTTTTAACAAACAAAAATTTTTCTTCAAAATTTAATCATTCCAAAAATTAAAAGAGTCATCAGCATCGTTGTCATTGTCGGTTTCCATTGTCTAAAAAATTTTTTTTTAATTTTAAATTATGGTAATACTTTAGTTTACACACCTATCAGGTCCGTAACCAGGATTTTCTTCAGGGGGAAGGCAAGGGGAAAGATTTTTCTGTGCCAAATTTTTCTGATTCCCTTTTCGGAAACTATCGAAAGAGCTCATCAAGCTGATATAAGTCGAATGACCCCAAAATCAACGAAATCTGACTTAAAAAAGCAACAAAGTTATGACCGTTTGGGTACTTGTGGATTATCCTCTCCCAATTTTGCGGATAATTTATGCAGACTAATAATAAAAATAGTCTCATAATGGTCAGAGCGTTGACAATTACTCTTACTATTTCAATGTATCCGTGGAAATTTTTGTGGCCATTTGGGGGAAATATTGGGAGTTTGGATGATTTCCTTTCATACCTGACCATTATGAGTCAACAAGGATATGTCCGCAAGAAATTGCTTGGGATAACCCACAAGTGCCACCGTTTGTTTTAATCCCTTGAGCATTCGACCTTACTCGAAGAACTCTTTCGAATTTCGTTCCAAAAGCTCAAAATGGTCAGGGAAACGGAAAAATGGGGGAGGGGACGAGGTGTAAACCAAAGTATTATTAAAAAAAACCTTAACCTTATCCGGATCTCTTTCCTTTAATGGCAGTTTCTTTGGTGGTGGAGATTGTGAAGGAGCATGACGTTTACGTTTTGGGGTTGTTGGCTTCAAAATAGATTTTGTAAGTTTTGGAGTAGAAAGTGACGGAAACATAGTCTTTGACATTCTTGGAGTAGCAGGAGTTTGAATGGCAGAAGTTGGAGCTGGAGAGACAGAACTACGAGTAACAGGTTTTAAAGCTGGAGGCTTTCGAGTTGTAATTTTTGGAGTTGGAGACTTTCGAATGTTCGCCTTTCGAATTGCCTATTTTTAAGAATAGAGATGAAAAAAATGTTAAAAATAAGTTTAAATAGGGTTGGCGGTTCCGAATTCCAAAATTCCCAAAAATTTCTCGTACGATGCTGGAAAGTTTAGGACTCAGATTCCTTCCAAAAAACCCTCGATATCTTGTTAATCCCTCTAAATCCATTGTTAATTAGTCCTAATTCATCTATATGCATCCATTAGGCCTCAACTTTCCAGCATTATAGGCGAAATTTTTGAGAATTTTGGAAGATCAAGGACCCAGATTCCTTTAATTTTTAGCGCCATTGGTGACTTGTGGGATCCAGTTACGTGCAGACTACTGTTTGATTATACTATTTTTGAGACGCCTATACTCTGATGGGACGCATGCCCTAAAGTAGAGCCAATAAAAGCCCAGAATAAGGGTAGTACAAACTAAATACGAGTATGAGGAAATCTGAAACTCACTGTTAGAAGTGCAGATTCGGACCCGAAAACAAGGTATCCGAAAATTTTCAGTTCGGGATATCCGAATATTTCTCGGACTCCGCCAACCCTAAGTCAAAATGCAAACCAATTGTTGTTGTTTTTGATTTAATTGAATTTTCATATTTGAGACCTCTTCTTGAGTTTTAAAATATTCCTGAAAATAAAAGATTTAATGAAAGCTCTAAAACATAAACTAAATACATTTTCCTCATTTTCAAACTTCTCCTTCATTCCTTTTAATTTATCCTGAAGCTTAGCAATCAAAAGAAAATGTTGTTTTTTGTCCCAACTATTAATTAAGACTAAAAAAAGAGATATTAATGAGAAAACTGAAAAGTTCACAACAGGGATGTCACGGTAATACTTTGAAAGTCGCCCCTTTTTCCTTTTCATTTTTTCCCTATTTTTTCCATTTTATAGCAAATTACATATCATTCGAGAGTGCTCTTCGAGCTGAATCGAATGACATCGAAATCATCGAACTCTGACTTAAATGAACAATCCCTTAAAGTGGGACAAAATGTCTTTCTAGCTAGGATTTGGCTTCAAAATTTTTTTCTAGTCTAGGATAGCCCAGAAACCTTTTTTTCCAAGCTAGGATTTAACCCAGAAACTCAATCCTAAACCCAACTCGACATTTCTCAACACGTGACACCCCTTCACACAACCTTTTGATGTTAAATTCTGTTGTTCCCCCTCCATCGTTTTTGCAATTTTAACCAAATCAGACAAACAATTGTCATGTTCTTGTTGAAAATTAGTTAAATCCCCAAGTTCTCCTTGCACTAGAAAAGTAAATAGAAAGTCTGTCAAAAATTTAGCCGTCGGACAGAGATAAACCCCGACACCGCTGATTTCCTTATAGATCGTCTAACCTACTTTAAAGGGATAAACCATGAAGACCTACACTCAGAAGACCTTAGAACCGCTGATTTCCTTAAAGCCGCCGGAGCTAGCCGGACAGGTCTACTCACATAGAGTTATGGTCAAAACTCACGATACAATAACATAGGTTCTAAAATATAGAATGGATACCAAAAGTCCTTAAGGTGTAGGTCTTCCTGGGTGGACCCGTTTTAGAAAATTAAAATTGAAAAATTAGATGCTGAGAGTGAATCATCCTTACAAAAAATAAATTTATAAAACCTTGCTCCAAAATTTTTTCGCCAATTTCGATAGTTTCTTTTCCAGCATCAACAACCGCCTTAACAATTGTAAATTTTTGATCAGATCCAAAATTGAGATTGTCAGACATTTTTTAAAAAGTAAAATTGAAAAATTATCTAGAACAGAAAGAAGAAAGGTAAATTACATTAAGCAATGAAAAGGAAAAGAAAAGAATGCTTGGCACCAAAGTGGCCGCAACCTTTGTACACAAAAATCAATAATGATCTTTCGTCTAATAATCTCTTCAATTTTAATGCTCTTTTGCAAAAATAGTGTCTACGCGGTAAGTCAGGTTTAGGCCAATAGAGTACCAGCTATATACTTCCTACCAAATTGAAATTCCAAGAGACTCTAGTGACCCCAACACTTCTCACACATTTTAAAAAAGAACACTATAATCGAAGAGATCATTAGACGAGCACGATTTCCCAATAATTCGCAAGGTTTCTCCATATTTGACCAATACAACATTTTGCCAACAAGGCTAAAAACGACATTTTGCAAATAAAACTTTGGCAAAACGTGAGATTATACTCTTATTGGCAAAATGTGGTATTGGTGAAATATGAGAACGATTTATTAAATACACGATTCATCAAAAGACAATTCGCCAGTAGCACATTGGCCACTCAGGCGGTGACACTACAATTTGTCAAAAACCACAGGATTTTAAAAATTTAACTAAACATGTCTTTCACTTTCTGTCAAGCAATGCACTAAAAAACAGGCAGTAAATACAAACGAGAAGATAAACATAAAATATGGGAAGATACTATAATTAAAAAAAATTAACGAGAAGCCAAAAGTCTCATTAAAATTTTCACTAGAAAAAATTTTTTACACAAAAAAATTTTTTTCTCTTTTTTTATTTTATTCAAAATCTTTATCTTCCAAGTATTTATACTCAAATGTGAATTGCTCTTTTTTCCGTTGTACCCATTTTTCAAAGTCAAAATAAACATAGGTTCCCTTAAAAATTGACAAAATTAGCAAAAATAATTTTAAAGCATACGGGGACATATCACGACGGACAAATCGAGGGATTATTTCAATATACGAACAGTTACCCTACTGATTTTGGGACCTATGGTCATTGGGTTTTGGATAAACATTACTCTTTGGAAAAAAAAGTTTTGGACGTTCCTAGAATTTTTTTGGATGTTTTTGAATCAACGTCCGACCCTCAAGAGGTTATTTTTCCCACAGGAATCCCGATAAATCCGTCCCAATATACCCGCACACCACTTTTAAAATAATTTTTAAAAAATCAAAAAAAACCTGTTCGTAATCATCAGTTATTTGTTTAGGCTCTTCATGTCTTTGAAACCACATCAAATATCTAAAATATTAAAATATATTAAGTAAGTAGAATATAAAGGAATAACAGCATAAGAGCTGCCACAAGCAAAGATTAACAGGTCGTGAACACCCCTAGTCTCACTGATTGAATACCTTGAGGAGTTGGGAAGAAGGTGAAAGGAAAAATATTTTGAAGCTTTTAAAACTGGAAAGATTTTTTCCAAACTACCGAAAAAAGGAAGTGTGAGGAAAATAAGAAAGCAAGCCTGACGAAGATAGATCCTCAAGGTTTTGACCAATCCACCGATATCCCCCCTAATCTTGCCAAATCCTCCTTATCCACTCAAAATCCCACCAACTCCCCCGATTTTCCCTCCAAAATATGAGGGTTAGTTTTCCAACCTAACAGAAAACGGAAGCACAAGTATATAGAAAACAAGAAAACGGCCAAATAATACCAAAATTATTCGCGAAAATAATTTTGGTCTTAAATTTTTTGAAGGGGCACCAAAAAATTTTTTTCTAAAGGACCGCACTGTTCCTCAAGGCTTTCAATAAAAAAAAATTTAATAAAAAATAAAATTTATACTTTGTATGAAACCTCCACGAAAGCTTTTTTAATGCCTTTGCAGCTAATAATTGTGCACGTGAACCCTTAAAGAGACAAAAAAATTTAAATTCTAAAAAATCCAAAAAAAAAACCTCCATATAATAAAACGTAAAGAAAAGAGTTTCAACAGAAAGTCGAAGATAATATTCAAGGCTATCTGCATTTGGTAAAGGTGCCTGAGGATAGTAAGGTGGTGTTGAACAGGGCATTTTTGGCAGATAACTTCTAGGCTTTTCCGAGTCCATTTGAAGAGGGCAACGTTGCTGTGTTGCGTCTAACATTTGCAGTTGGAAACTCAATTCTTCGTTTATTGGAGCCATCCCAAGAGGAGAAGCACCTAACCATGGTTGGATAACAGCCTTTAATGGAAAAAAATTTTTTAAACGAGTTAGTTTTAATCAGGTGGCTTTTACTGGTGCCTAGAAAAAATGTGAGAAAGAAGATACTTTCGATATTTGAGAACGGCCTGGATCTAGATATTAATTTTTCCTGAATGGAGGGTCTCCAGAGCTTGATTTTTCTCTGACTAAAGGTCAAGAATCTGGTCAAGGTCTCCAACTGAAAATCAAAAATCAAATTTTTTAATTCGAAATTTTCGAGGCTTGGTCGGATGGGTCTCGAAATTAATAAATCTTATCCTCATATCCGGACTCACAGACTCGATCACCTACTATCAAACTCTAAAATATCGAAAGTGCACTTCTTTCTCATTTTTCCCAAGGGGTCAGTAAAAGTCCCTTTACCAAAAAATTTAAAGAAAAACCTCTTGAGGTTCTCTACTCTTTTGTTGTGTAATCATTGGACTACCAAATGAAGAATTATAAAGCAGATTTGCAACTTTTCCATTAAATTCAGTAGTATCAGCTATATTATTTCCAACATCATTTGACGAATGTTGACTTTCTTGGTGTTGTTCAGAATTTCTTGAAGGCGTCGATAAATCGCTTGTTCTCCCTGCTGGTGTTGTTGTTGACAGAGGAGCAGAAGATGCCGCCGACATGAATGTTGGCAATGAGAATGGCGATGGATTTGATGATGAAGATGTTGTTGCTCCTCCTCCAGCAGCAGCTGAAGAATTGAATCTTAAAGGTAAAGGAGCTTTTGAAGTTATTGGTGATGACGTCAAATTTCCTCCTCCTACAACAGTAGAAAATTGACTTGTCTCTTCATGTAAAGATGTTGCTGTAGATGATGTGACAGAAGAGGATCGAGTCCTTATTAAGGTTGTTGATGCCATTCCTGAGGAGGAAACAGCATTTTCTTCTTTTAGTTCAGCTACAGGTGAAACTGTTGGGGGTGCTTGGATGGTTGATGGAGGTTGTTGTTGTTGGACAATAACATTACTTGAAGTATTTTCTACGGCTGATGGTGACGGCAATGTTGTTTTTGGAGAAGCTAAAATATTTGCTGATGTTGACGCAGTTGGTGTTGAAGCAGTATTTGTTACTGCTTGATGCATTGGATGTATTGCCATTGCTGCAGTTGATTGAACTGGTGGTGTATGCATTTTTCCCGCGGCAACCGAATTATAAGGAATCCCTGGGATAGCAGGCGGTGTTTGAGGCAATGGAGATGAAACAGAACTAGAATTGCTGACCTGACTGAAAAGGGAAAAAAATTTTTTTTCTACAAAAAAGGAAAATTTTTTTTGGAAAACTCCCCCACGCAAGAACGCGAACAGGCCAACGAACTGTGATGCCAATGCGCCGCAGAGCCTATAACTCCCTTCGAAATTATCTAATCCAAGATGTTTTGGTATGGTCTGATTCAGCTCGTTGAGGAGCATCCAACCACAACAAGGCGTCCCGGATTCAATAATTTAAACAAAGTTATAGCTCGGCGACACTTTGTCGTCGAGTAAGACCAATCAAAAACACAAACCTTCCTAACCGAGTAAGTTTTAGTGAAGTGACGGAAGAAGCACCACCACCGCTTACTGCCGAACGATGTGAAGAGGCTGATTCGGAAGTAGAACGCGTACTCACATTCCCGACATATGGCGATTTTTCATGAGAAGAAGTGTCCAGTTCTCCGCCATTTTGATGTTTAGACCAATAATCGGGAGATGGACTCGAGGATTTGTGACTTCCTTAAATTTGGAATTTATGAAAGATATGAGGGGCATAGATGTCACGAGGCACCCAAAACCTGGCCCGAGGAATTTTCCAAAACTAGACCCGAACTTTTCCCTTCTCAATCCCCCTAACTGAACTCAACCAGAGCTCCAAAATCCGAACTTTTTTCACAAAAACCCGATACTAAGAAAATTTTGAAGCCTGGCCCAACTTTTTCCTCAACCAGTGACATCCCTGGTATGAAATAAAAAATACAAACCAGTATCATTATTTGGTCCTTTTTCGTCATCAACGCTATTTGTTGAAATTCCTCCAAGTTGCGACAAATAAGTACTAAAATTAAGCTCCTCGTAAATGTCTAAAAAATTAAATTCTCAAAAAATCCATACAAAGTCAAAAACCTTCTGGGTCCAAACTTTCCGGATCATCATCATTTTCTGGGTCCAACGCGTCAATGTACATCTCCAAAGGTTCCTTCAATTTTCCATTTACATCCTTTATTTCAATCTTTTCGTTATTTATCATTCGGATGCAAACTTCCAAATTTAAAAGATGAAACTTTACTCTATCCAAATGCCTTCGCAATTCTTCAGACTTCTAAAAAAAATATTTTTTTTAATTCAAAAAAAAACCTCTTTTTCGTTCTTTTTGGCATCCTCTTTTTTACCCCTTTTCTTTCCGGTGTCAGCAGAAGATGAAAGAGTTTCAAGTTTAGATTCAGTCCTGTCAATTTCATCTTGAATTCTACGAATTTGACACTTGAAAAAATTATAAAGAAATTTTAAAAAATTCAAAAAAACAGGTAAGATTCAATTTCGTACCCCCTCTTTTCGTCCCTTCTTCAAATGGCTCAAAACGGTCAGACTTCCTCTTTCAGACTCAATCTATCTCAACTTCACCCTGTGAGTCAGTAAAAAAATTACCAGCCACCTAGAAATTGTCTGAAGTTGATGAAAGAAATCTGACCATTTTGAGTCATTTTGGGAAGGGAATAAAAGGGAGGGGGTACGAAATTAAATATTGAAAAACAAACATTCAGCCACTCAATTGTATCACATTTTTCTTTTTCTTTCGGGTCAAGTTTGTCTTCAGCAGTTAAACCTTGTTTGCTATGAGGTTTCATTTTGTTCTCCCTTTCAACGTCTTTGAAGATTTCCATCCTTTGTTCTATCAACTTTCGAAATTTAGACAGAGAATCTTTATCCTGAAATTTTGAAAGTTAAAAATTCCCCTAATCTGTTTAAAAATATAAACACAAACCTTTATTTCCGAGGAATTTTGCCATCCTTTGATCTGGTCTCTTAGCCTTTGGAGCTTTTTAATTTCCTTTTTGAGGTCATCTTGAAACTTTTCCCGTTGATTTTCACTATTTGCTTCTGTCATTTTGGCCATTATATCATCAAAAATTTCAAAGCCTTCCTCAATCTTATAAAAAGTTAATTTAAAAATGGGGTCAACCCAGCCCTTTGATTCTGAAGGCCTACACGTTTTGAAAAAAAAATTGAGGGGTCAATGGGATAAGACCCAACCGTACCCAGTTGTGAAGTTTAGAAACTATGGTGAGGTATTGTCTGTGTATCATCTGGGAAAGTATCCATCCCCTTCATCCTTTATCCGCTTCGATGATACAAATCCCTCGATATCCCCTTAATCCCACCAAATCCTTCGATATCCCCTTTTGACGTTCCCTTTCAAAAGATGTAAGTCTTCAAGGTCAAAGGCCCTTAAAGTGTCAAGGTTCTCCCCCAAAAATATTTAAAAGTAAAAAAATACCTTTTTGTAACACTTATCAATTTCATTCAACAATTTCCTTTTTTCAGCCATTTATTAAATACTGATAGATTGATGTCAACTAGAAAAAGGTAGAGAAGTATGGGCCTAAAGCCAAAGTTTAAAAAATATTTAAAACACACAATATCGTTTAATTATTTAATAACAGAACTGAAAATTAACAAAAATTGAAAAATTTTAATGAAAAAGGTTGTCAAAAAACACCAAAAATAGTTCTAGAAATATTTAATTAAATCTAGACTCAAATATACTTCCTGTCGAAAATTTCTTCAAATTTTCGTCGAAGGAGGAAATTAATAAAATTATTAATTTTTCCTTTTTATTTTGTATGACATCACTTTTTAGTGATCGTTATCGCCTACTTTGCTTTTTCTCTCTTTTTTCCATAAAATGGATAAATTTATCCATTTTATCTTAAATTCCAATCTAAAAATTATTAATAATTTCATCCAAAAGGGAAAAAAGGGAGAAAGTGCATTTCCGCCAACATTATTAAAAACATATAATTTTTTATGTTTTTCATTTTTGCCATTTCCCCCACATTCTTTACCACACACATTAATTCCGGCCTATTTAAGCTAATTTTTTCCCCTTACACCAACATTCTTTTTAACTTTCGTTCAATCATTTTAACCTTTGCCTAATTATTCCTACCAGCCTTTTAATAACCACACACATACAATTATAATTTTCTTTAATTAAATAAATATTTTTTAATATTCTTTTGTTTTAATATTCTTTGGTAATATTCTGTGAATATTCTTTGGGAATATTCAGTTGTTCGTCTATCGTCTAGACTTGGCCATCCATCTCAAACTTTCGCCTATTCGCCTAACACTCTTTTGGTTTGCCACGTCTTAATCTTTGGGATTAAGACGCTCATCGACTTCAACACACTTTCGACTATTGTTTTTAGCGGCGAACTCCTAGTCCCTTTTGGGAATCCCGAACTAGGAAGTTCCCGTTAAAATTGGTGCCACGACCCGGGACAGCCGTCGACATTCATCAGTCAACACAAACAAACAACCAATCCGACCTCTGCAGTCGGCATAAAAATTCGACTAATTTTCGTCTGCGCCAAAAGGATCAGCCGTCGACAAAGACCCACATTCCCAGCAGAACAAACGACTATTAGTTGAAGTACAGCGACCACAAGCCGTCCAACTGTACACCATTAATTTTATTTGGCAAACCCCGACTAACCAACCATCAATGGCACGAATTATACGTCAAGAACTTTATGGAACGACAAGAGCACTCGCCGAACACCTTAAAATCGCCGAATCTTGCATCGTCCAACTCAAATCAAAACCGTCAATAGAGAAGGAAGATGAACTGGCAGCATCAGTGGAGATGGAACTTGTCCATCTCACAGAACGAACCAACCAACTTCAATCAATTATTAACAAATACAATCAATTTATGGATGGCCTCGACGAACAACAGCAAAACGAACATGCAGACTACCTCGCCAATTTCTTAACATACGACAAAATATCCGACCAGAACTTGGAAAATGTAGAACAGTGGCCAGTTTCGAAGTTGGTCGACCGAGCAAATGAAGTGATCAACCGCATCAAAGCGTATAGAGTGATTCGGCAAATGACGACAGACAGCAATAGCAATAATTCGCCAAGAGCGCCTAGTATACAAGGATCAACATCAGCGAACGTGGTCGACAATCAGACTCTTCTCCGTCAAGATAGACGTCAATTGCTCTCAGATGATGAAGAAGAAAACGATTGGAGGCAAAATCGGAGAATGCGTCAACCCAGTGCGCCAGACTTTGAAGAACCGAGTATTGGAAATCAGCATGAGACATCACGTCAAACTTACGACTATCAGCATACCAACTCATTCCAGCAACCACAATATGGCCTTCCATTGTGCAATGCTTTGAAGGTCGACAGCGTCCGTCTCCCATCATTTGGTGGCGACATACGTGATTGGCGCACCTTTTGGGCAGCTTTTGAACATGCAGTCGACAAGCAACAGTATCCGTCTTTTCAGAAGCATCTCCTGCTTCTGCAATACCTCAAAGAAGGATCAGCAGCCAGAGAAGCAATTAGTGGTTATCCACCATCCGATGACAATTACAAAATCGTCAAGGAAATTCTAAAAAAGAAGTATGGTAACGACGACCAACTTAGCAACCAACTTCAGGCACAACTTCTCAAACTTCCGCCGATCAGGAACAACCTTCGCGAACTCACGCAATTCCAGAAGGATATTGAAAGAATTTGTCTTCAATTGGAATATTTGGACAACCAATCGCCTATGTTCCTATGCAACATCATCAAGTCCAAACTTCCACATGGCATTCTCCAAGAACTCATCGCAAAGGAACTTGACTCGCCTAAGAAGTGGACACACAAAGAATTGCGACGAGCTCTGGAAAACATCGTCAACATTCGCCAAGCCACCGACGAATGCATGAATTCATTTCACGACGAACCACCACGTCGACAAGAAGTGCAAAGAAGTAATCAGCAACAAGTGCGTCAAGAGGTTCGACAATTGCCACGCCAAATGGAAAATACCAGAGCATTTCCGGTATTCGCCAACGCCAATAACACCAGCGCCAATAACGCCAACGCCAATTACGTCAACCGTGGAGAACAACAACTTCCACAATCATGTTCTTTGTGCGCCATGGTTGGACACAAACCAAGCAGATGCCCCTCATATTCGACACCTCAACAGCGCAAACTTCGTCTATTGGAACAAAGCAGATGTTTGAAGTGCCTCCAGCAAAGTCATACGACAGAGCAATGCCAGCGATCTTTTATTTGCCGTCAGTGTGGAGGCGACGACCATCACTTCCTTATATGCATACCACCGCAGGCAAAAATCGACTATCCAACTCTTCAAGCGGTCTCATATGCACCACGTCTAGCTTTGCAATCTTCGGTTCAATCGCCAACACCACCGGCAAGATCAGTGCAACAGACAGTTTCCAAGATGCCTCAACGCCAAACACCTCCGCGCCGAAATGATCGACCAATGCCAAAAGTAACTGGTGGAAATGCGACAGCACTCAACAATCAACGTGCTACGACGACAATGAGTTCACTCCAAGAAGCAACAGACTCTGTTAAAGAAGTTAAAGAAGAAACTACACCACCAGTCAATGAAATTCAAAAGGTAGCAAATGAACCTGAAGAAGTCAAAGAAGAAGCAAAAGAAGCACCTGACTCGTCAACTACGCCAAATGGAAAATACCAGAGCATTTCCGGTATTCGCCAACGCCAATAACACCAGCGCCAATAACGCCAACGCCAATTACGTCAACCGTGGAGAACAACAACTTCCACAATCATGTTCTTTGTGCGCCATGGTTGGACACAAACCAAGCAGATGCCCCTCATATTCGACACCTCAACAGCGCAAACTTCGTCTATTGGAACAAAGCAGATGTTTGAAGTGCCTCCAGCAAAGTCATACGACAGAGCAATGCCAGCGATCTTTTATTTGCCGTCAGTGTGGAGGCGACGACCATCACTTCCTTATATGCATACCACCGCAGGCAAAAATCGACTATCCAACTCTTCAAGCGGTCTCATATGCACCACGTCTAGCTTTGCAATCTTCGGTTCAATCGCCAACACCACCGGCAAGATCAGTGCAACAGACAGTTTCCAAGATGCCTCAACGCCAAACACCTCCGCGCCGAAATGATCGACCAATGCCAAAAGTAACTGGTGGAAATGCGACAGCACTCAACAATCAACGTGCTACGACGACAATGAGTTCACTCCAAGAAGCAACAGACTCTGTTAAAGAAGTTAAAGAAGAAACTACACCACCAGTCAATGAAATTCAAAAGGTAGCAAATGAACCTGAAGAAGTCAAAGAAGAAGCAAAAGAAGCACCTGACTCGTCAACTTACTTGACAGCACGACAAAATGACAACAAAACTCATTTAATGACAATCATCATCAACGTCTCGTGCCCGGGAGGTCCAAGAGAAGGAATTCCAGCAATGGTCTTCTTCGACTCAGGAAGCCAAACAAGCTACATCGCCAAAGAACTTGTCAATCGCCTTCAGCCGCCAAAACTTTCTGAAGAAGTACTTCGCATACACACCTTTGCGAATCAAAACCCGAAGACAGTTCACTCACCACTTGTCTCAATTCGTCTAAAACGTCAAGACGGCGAATGGGAGCCGATGCAGCTTAACACCATCGACGAAATTTCAACTTCAATGGAAACCTTCCAATTCATTGGACAAAACGACTGCGTCGAGCCAGTTAAAGGAACACCATCAATATTAATTGGGATTCGTGAATTCTGGAAATTCGTCACCGGCTTTCAACAACTTGGCCCCAAGCTCTACAAAGTTCAAACCGTCTTTGGAGACGTCTTAGGAGGTGAATCTTGCTTCAACACGACTAACTCGCCTAAGACATTTATGGCACTCACCGACGACGACAAAGAAGACATTCTTAAACCAAATGACGTCGAGAATTTTTGGGCACTTGAGTCTATTGGAATCAAGGAGAACCCGGCTGAGAAAGACGACGACACCGCCATGCGACTATTTGAACAATCAATACGTCAGAAACCCAATGGCACCTACACAGTTCGTCTACCTTGGAGGGAACCTCGACCAACCATCAACTCAAATTGGACAATGGCCTATAGCCGCCTTCAAGCTAACATCAAACGCCTAATACAATCGCCTGAACTTCTCGCCAAATACGACAAAAACCTGCGCGACCAAGAAGAGAAAGGAATAATTGAAGAAACCGGCCGTGACACAGAAGAATTCTTCATGCCTCATCACGCCGTCATTAATCCAAAGAAGCTAAGAATTGTCTTGGATGCAAGTGCTCATCCCAACGGAGCAGCAAGTCTCAATCAAGCCTTATACCGAGGACCTGTTCTACTACCAACACTCGTCGGAATGCTCATACGATGGAGAACATGCCTTATACCAATCCTGTCTGACGTCCAAGCCGCTTTTCACACCATCGAAATGCTACCTGAGGATCGTCAATTTTGCAAAATTCTTTGGCTGCGCGACGTCAACAAACCAATCACCACAGACAACTTAGTCGTCAAACGCTATACGAAGATGGTCTTTGGGGTCATCTCATCACCTTTCGTCTTAGCAGCAGTTTTATTGCATCACTACGCAAAATTCAACACAGCATTATCAAAAGAAATGGCAAAGAATACATACGTCGACAACATCCTATTTCAATGCTCAACAGAAGAAGAGGCCCTCGGCAAAATGAAAACCGCCAAAGAAATATTTAAGAAGGCAGCAATGAATTTACGAGAATTCCTCAGCCACCGACAAACAATCATGGAACAAATACCAGAAGAAGACCGACTCGACAAAGCCAAAGCTCAAGTCTTGGGCATTAAATGGGACACAGACAACGACTCAATCACACACAAATTTCCAAAAGAGGACGTCAACATCGTCACTCGTCGAACTGTACTCAGTGCATTGGCCAGCATATACGACCCGTTGGGACTTATCAACCCATGCTTGCTTCACGTCAAACTTTTCTTCCAACGACTATGGGACAACGAAAGAACATGGGATACGCCAATAAATGCAGAAGAAACGACAGAATGGCAAAACATCAAGCAATGTTGGAACGACCAAACCATCACGCTTCCTCGACAAGCAATTATAGACAACCCGACTGAGTGGCAACTACATGTGTTCAGCGACGCATCTGAAAATGCCTATGCCGCCTGCGTCTATTTGAGAACGTCAAATGGTCCAAACGTCAAATCAACACTCATTTTTGCAAGAAATCGTCTGCGCCCAAAGAAAGCCAAGTCAAGCCTCACCATCCCAAGAATGGAACTACTTGGCGCCTTAATAGCCGTCCGAGCAAAAATACACGTCGAAGCAGAACTTCACCGACACATCACTGCCGTCCATTTCTGGTTGGACTCACGCATTGTTCTGGCTTGGATTCAATCCGTCGAACCAAAACCTCAATTTGAGCAACGACGACTAACAGAAATTCGAGATGGCGCCAAAGGAACTTTTCATTTCGTCAGAACCGACCAAAATTCCGCCGACATCGCGACACGTGGTTCAACACCTATGGAACTACAACAGTCGACTCTTTGGTGGAATGGCCCAGAATGGATCGTTCGACCATCCGACGACTGGCCCGACGAATTATCTTTCAACATTGACAAACAAGCAGAAGACAATACCATCACAGACAAAACCGACACAATAGCATTCTCGACTAAAGAACCAGAGCCGCCGACAATAGACCCTGGAAGGTTTAGCTCCATCTTCACTCTTCTTCGAGTGGTAATCTGGATTATCCGCTTCATGGGACGACATCGACCGAATGTTCTCAACATTGGAACTTCTAAAGTCTCACGCCAGGGACCTATGACTGTCGACGATTACCGAGCAGCACGAATCTTCATCATACGACAAGAACAGAAACGTCTATTGGAAAGCTATACAACACACCCCACGGCAATTAACAGCGATGGACTTTTATGTTTGAAAACCCGCGTCAACTTCTGCAATGGCCCCGAAACAATGGCACTGCCAATCCTCCTTGATCGACATTCGCCATTAACTCGACTATTGGTGGAAGAAATACACGTCGACCTCAAACATGCTGGCGTCGATTGGACAATGACAGAATTCCTCAGCCGATACTGGATGCCTCAATCTCGTCGAACCATCAGAGGAATTCTTCACAAATGCCTTCAATGCCGCCGACAACATGCACCACCATTTGTCCGTCCATTAATGCCTCAACTGCCGCCTATGCGTGTTCGACCAGCAAAGCCTTTTGAATTTATAGGCATCGACTTCCTTGGACCGACTACCACCAACTACGCCGGCCAAAACGTCAAAACATGGATCATCATCATTTGTTGTATGGTCACACGTGGTATCTACCTGGAACCAACTCGAGATATGTCATCAATATCTGTCGTCAACGTCTTACGTCGATTCATCAGTCGCCGAGGCAAGCCACGACGAATATTGAGCGACAATGCGCCAACTTTCATTCAAGTACACAAAGCTTTGGACCTGCTTACTGGACCGCCGCCTGAAAATCCGCCTTGGGACTACACGACTAAGAATGGCATTCGATGGGACTTCATACCTTCTTATGCACCGTGGATGGGAGCAACATATGAACGACTAATTGGACTCGTCAAAAGAGCAATCCAGCGCACCATCGGCAAAAGAATTCTCGACTACGACGACTTAGGTGCATTCTTAGCTGAAGTGGAAGCAAGCGTCAATAGTCGACCAATCACTTGGGTGTCAGACCAACCTGGAGCACCATTGCCACTAACGCCTAAAGACCTCATCCAAAACAGTGGACCGAACGACCTTGGACCAACAGATTGCGAACTCGACTACGACGACGAAAAATTAACTGGACCTGAGAAATTGGCAGCACTTTGGACAGCATACAGAGAAGCAGCAGACGTCTTTTGGTCCCGATGGAGCAACGAATACATTCTGGCCATCAGAGAACGTGCTGGTTGGACACACAAAGGACCACGTTCTCAAACAACATCACCACCGAAAATTGGTCAAATTGTACTCGTCGAGATGGATCTTCGACCACGCAATCTATGGCCTCTGGCAAAAATCGTCGAACTCAATGGCTCGGCTAATGAAATTAGAAGCGTCAATCTTTTAACTGGAGATGGGAAGATCATCACCCGTCCAGTCAGCCGACTATGTCCATTGGAAACTGAGGTCGACGATCATATAGCGACAAACACCTCAGTAAATCAAGAGGAAACGCCTAAAGAACCATCAAAACCAATCCGTCAACATCAAATGACTCTCAGAACACGCAAATCACTCGTCAATACAACAACACTGGTGGCTTTTATCGTCTTACTCGCCGACATCCTAGCATTTGGAAATACAACACCTTGGTATCGATGCGGCCAATATGACTATTCTTGCCTTCTCAGCTTATCGACCATTGCTTCGGCCCTCGCCCTCTATGAGTTCAAATGCGACAATTGTCAATTCAAATGCTCGACCAAAGGAGTTATCGTCAAAGCACCGCCTGATGTTCAAAAAACAGCAGTTTGTTGTATGAAGAATTGTATCGACCACACCGACATGAAGGAATACACTTATGAACTCGCCGCCGAAATCCTCATTAACGACTATGAATGCGAAGCATGGTTCTGGCAAAACTCCCACAACAGCATTACAAAGAGGATTAATTGCCCGGCTGTGAATGAATGCAACCTATTCGACTGCTACTTTTGCTTTGAACAACTAGCCAATCCAACTTGTAACCCAAAGTGGGCAACATTCCTATTTCTGTTGGGAATTTTCGCCTTCAGCAGTTTAGTTGGATGTTTCATCACTGTCTTCAGTTCCATCCGCGTCATCGTCAATTTATTCGTCAACGGCTCAACAACAATACTAAAAGCATTAACGTTTCCCTTCCGTTGGATGTTCGACAAAATCTACTATAAGAACAGCGACAGTTGGAAACGACAAATAAATTACGCCGAAAAGAAGATGTACACAAGACTCAGAAATATTCATCACCAAAGCCATCAATTCAGACGAAGAGTGTCAAACATCATACTAATTTCGACAATCATCACGTCAATTATTATCCCGACTATTGCAGTTATCTCAATCACAACGCAAACTGAAACTTGCTTAAGAGGAACAACTGGCTTGACTTGCACCGTCAATAGCGCCAACACACTTACGTTATTACCTGCCGGCCAAGTCAACACATTGCTTCTTCGCGACGAACATGGATTAACTCTGGGTACAATGTCAATGCGTCTAACATCTTTGAGAATGGCCTGCCATCAACAATCAATCGCCTGGTTACGTTCATATCGCGTCGAACCTACAGCCGTCAAGAGATGCCCTCGAGCTGGATCATGCTTCAACGACCATTGTGAAAATGTGCGACCAAACAGTTACGTCAAAGAACTACAAGATGGACGAGAACTACCTGGCAACACCTTCTGCATTCCATCAACAAGTTTCTGGGGCAACAATTGTGGACTGCCAACCTCAGCCTGTCTATACTACCGATATTTTGCTCGACCAACCAGTTCAAACGTTTTCGAAGTCTTCACCTGCCCAAGTTGGAGCCCACAAATGGACGTCGAACTCACGTTAGAGACCAATGGTGGCAAACGACTATCAAAATCTGTCATCTTACACCCTGGCATCACATCATCATGGGGGAACATCACCATCACACCCTTGGCAATCTCTCTTCCGCCTATGCCAGTACTTGGATCAACATTCGTCACTAATGGACAAACCGTCTCAATCGTCAGTCGACTACCTGTTGATCTACACTGTGCGTCAGAAGAAGCAGCTCGATCCTTAAACTGTTCACTCGACCAAGAAGCCTGCAAAGAATGCTTCCCAAACCATAACGATGGAACAGTTGAATGCAACTGCCGAGATGTGGACCTCGATGGAATGGTGGAGAACCCAGAAACACGACTACCGATCACCAGAGCAAAGGTATGGCTGGAAAACAATGGACCATCAATTTCAGCAACATACGTCTATGCGCCTATTCAAATACATCTTCAAATGAAAAGCCTTGCACTCCATCTTCAACTTCGTGATTCAAAATGCTTCATGGATGAAGCTCAACTACATGGATGTTACAGATGTGGAGCTGGAGCGCAAATAACCTACAAATGCAGATCAGACAACGCCAACGTCTTAGCCACCGTCAAATGTGAAGATGGAATTTTATTCGTCGCCCACTGCTCGACAAATGGAACCCTCGGCAAAGAAGTAGTACCAATCGACTATCCAGATGTCAACACTATTTGTACCGTCGACTGTCCGGCTGGAGAGACCAACTTTAACCTCAATGGCAGCCTTTATTACATCCCTCTTCGACGACAATGGGGACATCAACAACATCGTTCAAAACAACTTATTTTGGACCCAGAAACATTCAGTTTTTGGCCCGATCTTGGATTCGACTTGTGGATACTCGGCAAACTTCTTCAAGGAGGACCAATTTTCCTTGGCATCATAACGTCAATTGGACTTGCTTTACTCGCCGTATACCTCTTCATGCGACTATCGCCGATATTTCGAATTTACCGACAAATGGCTCGAACAATTACCATCATTGCAATTCTGGCACAAGTTCAAGCTGTCAACGTAACAACAATCGACAAACCCGAACGAATTTCGTCTGCGCCTATATTGTCAAATTATACATTTGGATGGAATCTCTTGGGAATTGCCTTCGTTTCGACTAGTATATTATGCCTGATGATTCGAACCGTCTATCTACATACGCCAAAACCATTTCGTCCATTTTTTCGACAAAAACGCCAAAAACGATTTGCGCCGATTTTACCCTTCAACTCAACGTTTTACATTCCAATCATAATTATTGCACTTTCTGTGTGGCCGGCCGGATGTTCCCTTCAGAAAAAGGATAACAATTTACAGCGACTAACTGGACCACACACAGTCAAGCTAGTGAAGCGGCAAAATGACATCATACTTATTGCAGCAAAGAGAACTAATAAAATTCCAATCGCCTATCAACATATTCAATCATCATGGGAAAATAAAATTATTGTCAACACGCCTAGTATTATAAATACACAATTTCAATCGACTATAATTCATTCATTCACCAACTCCACTCTGCTCGTCTACGCCGAATTCAAAATGTCTTCTCGTCCATTATCACCATTCAACAATGGAGGTTTTGGAACACCTCGCAACAGTCGCCAAATGGAACCTCAATTTCCACGAACACCTTCCCCACCTCGCAATCGTCATGCCTCAAACCCACCGCCGTTCAATCGTCAAATATCCCCAACACGTTTACATTCTCGTCGAACAGGAAACCGTCAACACCAAGAAGTCATTGAACGTCTGGATGAATATTTGGCAAGCCGATTTGGGAACAATTGGTGGAAAACCGTTGCGACTATCGACAAAATCAACCGGCAACTTAGAGGAATAATGATACGCGACCACACCAACGGCAACAACATCACAGACTGGGACTGCATCACCTACAAGCCAGCACAGAAGCTACTTGTTCAACCCGGCGAAACAGTAGCACAACATTGGCAAATGAAAGGACTACCGATTAGGGAACCACACCTCCCTGTACTACGACAATTTGGTGGCATCCGTGGAACATCGCGTCAATCTCGCCAACGTCAACGTCGAGGATTTATCCCTTGGCAAATGGGATACGACCACAAAAGTTACTTCCCCCTGCAGAACTTGGAAATTGTAATGCCCACGCCATCGTCAAAACCTAACGAAAATCGTCAAGAAGAGCAACAACCTCGTCAAATTCATGTAATCACCGAAGCAACGCGTCAACAAATCATCACCAAACTTGAGAAGACAAGAGACGAAATCAACGATGTCATCAAACTTGTTCAACAACTTGCACCTTCTGAGCAACCTTCAACCTCTTGGAGTTGGAATGGAGGAGAGCAGTAAAGAAATTTTAAAATTTTTTATCTTTCTCTTTCCCCCCCCCCTTTTTTTTCTATTCATTTCTTTGTATTTATCCCCAATTCCTTAATCTCTTTCTTTGTAAATTTTTCAAATGTTTGGAATGGATTGGTACATCAACTCAAATGTTGTCAACAATGGGTCCTCGTCAAATGTTCATCATATCGCCTAAACGTCTAAACTTAAACGCCTAAACCTTAACGTCTAAAACTTTAACGTCAAAACTCAACAAAATAAACTTCACAACAAAAAATCGTCAAATTTAAATAGTTCAAAAGCAATCATCAAAAGTTTAAAAGCATCTTCCAATTTTATTTATTGGCGAAGCCAATTTACAATAAAAAGAACGTGGTGAAACATCATAATTTAAAATTCAACATCTTCAAACTAAACAAATCTTCAAACTAAATTTTAACAACAATCTTATAAAATTCAAAATCGACAAATGGAATATCGACTAACACTTTAAATCGACTAATCAACTTAACCATTAACAACTAAGGACCCACTGAAGTGCCTGCCCGCGGCAATGTCGAAAATTTCTTCAAATTTTCGTCGAAGGAGGAAATTAATAAAATTATTAATTTTTCCTTTTTATTTTGTATGACATCACTTTTTAGTGATCGTTATCGCCTACTTTGCTTTTTCTCTCTTTTTTCCATAAAATGGATAAATTTATCCATTTTATCTTAAATTCCAATCTAAAAATTATTAATAATTTCATCCAAAAGGGAAAAAAGGGAGAAAGTGCATTTCCGCCAACATTATTAAAAACATATAATTTTTTATGTTTTTCATTTTTGCCATTTCCCCCACATTCTTTACCACACACATTAATTCCGGCCTATTTAAGCTAATTTTTTCCCCTTACACCAACATTCTTTTTAACTTTCGTTCAATCATTTTAACCTTTGCCTAATTATTCCTACCAGCCTTTTAATAACCACACACATACAATTATAATTTTCTTTAATTAAATAAATATTTTTTAATATTCTTTTGTTTTAATATTCTTTGGTAATATTCTGTGAATATTCTTTGGGAATATTCAGTTGTTCGTCTATCGTCTAGACTTGGCCATCCATCTCAAACTTTCGCCTATTCGCCTAACACTCTTTTGGTTTGCCACGTCTTAATCTTTGGGATTAAGACGCTCATCGACTTCAACACACTTTCGACTATTGTTTTTAGCGGCGAACTCCTAGTCCCTTTTGGGAATCCCGAACTAGGAAGTTCCCGTTACTTCCGTAGAGGTCAAACATTTTTTTTTCGTTTCTCTAATTACAGTGTTAGAGTTAGACATCTTGTCTGCAGTTTAACATTTCACCAATACCATATTTTGCCAATAAGGCTAAAATTGAAGTTTTGCCTCAAAGTTGTTGGCAAGAAGTGAGATTAAACCTTATAGGCAAACTATGTTATTGGTGAAATTGAAGCAAACTTGTTTACGCCATTCTTGTCTAAATTAGAAAATAACAGCCCATTTAGACGCCAGCCGTTTATCCGCAAAACTATCTTTTTCGCCTACTTATTAGTATTCTGTGAAAGAAAGGAAAAAAATAAATGGCCAATAACAGAACTCATGTCACGTAAACTAGACATAAAGTTATTGAGAAATAGCGTGTCAATTTAATAGTGACGGTAGACAGCCTTTTTGTTATTTGAATTGCTGCGCGAATAAATGGTCATGATGAACAAATCTCACATGTGCAAACGAGACAAATTATTGGGAAATAGCGTGTTAATTCATGAGAGACGGAAAGTCTTTTGCGTGTCCCTACAAAGGATCGTAACATAAAAGGATCGACACGGCTAAAAACGTTCAAAGGATCGTAACATCTAAAAACAATTAAAGGATCGTCACGGGCAAAAAGTATTAAAGGGTCGCCCATTAAAGGATCGTCCATCAATGGATCGCCATGGGTAAAAACGTTTAAAGGATCGTTTTTTGAGTACCCACCCAAAAGAAGACGTTTGAGTCCCGTATATCTTTTCGATTCGGCCAAAAGGGGTTAAAAGAGTCTAGCAATCCGCGGAAAAAAGTTTTTGCCGCTGCGGAGGAAGCCGGGCATGTCGAGCGGAACGACGGCCGCCGCTTCGCTACGGTCGCCGCGAGCGAAGCGAGCACGACCGCAGCGAAGCACGGCCATCGTGTAGCGAAGACCATGCCCGGCCTACCCTCCGCAGCGGCACAAAAACAGTTTTTCCAGCGAAGATTCTGTTGGTAATACATATTATGTTCAGACTCGACTGACTTTTCCGTCTTAATCACCGTTAGCAGACTGCGGCATATAACTGCGCTCAAACTGTTGGCACTGAACTATCTTTATTCAATTTTTGAAAAATGACGATCCTTTGAACGATTTTACTCTTGGCGATCCTTTGATGGACGATCCTTTAATGAACGGCCCTTTAATACTTTTTGCCCGTGACGATCCTTTAACAGGGCGATCCTTTAAAAAAACGATCCTTTGTATAGGAGCCGTCTTTTGTTGTCTGAATCGCGCGCGATTAAATGGGCAACAACAAATCTCACACGTGAGAACAAGACATCGAATTATTGAGAAATAGCGCACTAGACTTAAGAGAGACGGTTAGACAGTTTTTTGTTATTTAAGTTGCAGCAGTTTCAGTGCCATAATTTTAGGGAGATTTGAGTGCCTAAATTCTTCTTTTTGTCCACGTTTTACATTTGCCGCGATGTTGTGGACACGTCCAGCCTTCTTTCCCTTTTCACCTGTCTAACCAATTATCGGTTTTTTCTTCTCTATTATTGTCTGTAAATAAAAGTCTTGGAATTTTTAAGATGTCTATTTTTTTGTTGTCATTTTTTAATATTTTTTTACTTTGTTTTTATTTTCTAGGCCATATTTCTATTGAATTAATTTAACAACAATGAATTCAATACATCGAAGCGAGGAAATGTATGTTCAAAACGAGTTTATTTTTAAATTTTCTTGGTTTTCAGGTGCCTGGTTCAGTTGTTTCTTCAAAACGAAGCGGCTTATTTATGTGTTGCTGAACTTGGCGAAATTGGGCTTGTGCAATTCCGAGATGTTAGTTTGTTAATTTTTTAGATTTTTATTCAATTTTTTATGAAAAAATTTCGTTATGTCGCCCATCTCTCCGATCTCTCCTATGCGGATGGTTTTCAGACCCTTGGTTTTTGGATTCGGCAATTTAAGTCTCGGTCCATAGGTGAGATCGGTGCCTAATTTTGGTGTCGGTCAACTCAGCTCAAACTATCTGTCCAATCGGAGTATGCATGATATGACAAAATTTCCCTTTTTTTAGTTAAATGCTGAAATTAACGCTTTTCAACGCAAATATGTAAGAGAAGTTCGTCATTGTGACGAAATGGAACGAAAATTGAGTAGGGCTTGTTTTAAATTATTTAAAATTTTTAAAAATTTTGTTTAATAGGATTTTTGGAACGCGAAATAAAAAAGGATGGAATTGTAATGGTCGATACTGGGGAGAATACGGAAGTTCCCTTACCTAGGGAAACGTTTGATTTGGGGGTTAGTTTGATTTTTTCGGGACTTGTGTGTTATCCTAGACCATGGTTTGCGTGCATATTTTTGCGGACTCATAATGGTCAGATATAAAAAAAACAGACCGTATCTGAAAGGAGTGCCTGGTTGAGTTTTTTCCTTATTTCCTTAGACTGCCTAGGAATGGTCGATTTTCCTTTATATTTGATATTTTTCGTAAGGTAAAAATGTGTAAAAGGATTAATTTTTTTCATTTTTTTGCTGATTTTGTTTGACTTTTCATACATTCTATGTTTATTTTTCAAAAAAAATCTGTTTGTTTTACCTAAAATGGCTTTGAAAAATACAAATATTGGTGATCCTAATCGTGGCAGGGTAAAACACGGACCGGGCACGATACGGGTTTGCCAACATACGGGACCAAAACAATCAAAACACGGACCAGACCGTGTTTTCTGTTCCGTATTTTGGAATTCCTTGGTTTGCCCTTCACACACGATCTTAAAGAAGTTAGGAAAAATAGGAAAGGAAAAAAGGCCATTCTAAAAAAAGAAGGAAAAAAGTCAACCAGGCACTCCTTTCAGATAGAGCCAAAAAACAAATAATGGTCAGTATGAGAAAGATCATAATGGTCAGAAGGTCAAGTATGGATTCTCTGACCATTATGAGCATTATAAGTCCGCATTAATTTATCCGTGAAAACTGGTTTGAGGATAACTCGGAAGGGCCTTTTCTTCATTTTTAAATTTATTTTTTAGGCAACCTTTGATAAATTAGAAAGTGAATTGCGTGAAGTCAACCAAAATGAGGAAATGCTTCGGAAAAATTTTGCTGAATTGACAGAACTTAAACACATTCTTAGAAAGACGCAACAGTTTTTTGATGAGGTTAGTTGATTTTTTGTGTTTTTCTATGGCCAGCCGGCATTTTTTATGGGAGTCTGATAACAGATTCTTCGAAAATGCACACTTTTCATTGTCTTTCACTAGTTTTAGATATTTTTCTGACAAGTGAACATCGTTCACTGCGTATATTTGGTACCATTCAATATAAGACCCCACGACTTCATATCGCGAAGTGATGCAAGTTTTTTGTAAAATAACCTTGGGCAGGTATACTCAAACACTCCCAAAAACAGAAACTTTGAACAGCCTTAACTCGACCAAAAGGCATTTTGCAAGAAAACGGACATCACTCCGCAATAGGAAGTCGAAGGTCCTCTATCGATTTGTACCAAAAAATGTATCAAATTTAGTCACAGTAAACGATGTTCCCTTGTGAGTTTGTTAAATTGTCAAAATCGCTTGTTTTGGGGATTTTCTTTTGGTACTTTTCCGTTATGACGTAACCCCCTAAATTAATGTTCAAAATGCATATATAGGGTAGAAAAAGGTGCTGAGTCGAACGGTACCACTCTTTTTCACGGAGATGCCTGTGGACCGAGATATAGGGCTCGAAATGGTCAAAAACCATAGGGGGGAGTGCGCCTCGCCTACGCCACATAGGTTACGTTGACCATTTTGAGCTTGTTAATCTCGTCTCAAAATCAAGATTTCGAGCTGATTTTTTTGGCATTCGACTCAGCTCGAGGAGCCCTTTCGAATAAGCTATCATTCAAAAAATGGAATTTTTCACCCCAAAATTTAGCTTACTCCCCCCTATGGTTTTTGACCATTTCGAGCCCTATATCTCGGTCCACAGACATCTTCGTGAAAAAAGAGTGGTACCGTTCGACTCGGCACCTTTTTCTACCCTAAATATGACATTTTGAACATTAATTTAGGGGGTTACGTCATAACGGAAAAGTACCTTTCTTTTTTGTTCACATCTTTCAATTTTTGAATTGTTTTCCTTCTTTTTCCTTATTTTCTCTAAATATGCTCATCAAGGTCGAATACGAACACAAAAGTTTTGGACGTCTTCATGGTTCCATTCGACCCAAAAGGCCACAAACAGTTATTGAGACTCCTCTTGACGAACTGGAGCCTCTTCTTGTATCTGGTGGACATTTGACTGAATTTAGAGGGCGCTTGAAATTAGGGTTAGTTTTTGATAATTTTTTTCTTTCGTCTCGTGGTGGTGCAGTTTTTATTCATTTTTAAAATTTTCTAAGATGATTAACAGTCCAAATATTGACTAACAAAACATCTTATTTATTGTATCTTTTTTGGTACTTGTGGGTTATCCCAAACCAATTTTTGATGACCATAATATAATGGTCTCACTATGGTCAAAGCACCCATACTTGACCTTTCTCCGTTTAATGAATCCGAAAAAGTGTTATCTGACCATTATGAGTTTTTATATCTGAACAGTATGAGTCCCTATAAATATACCCACAAAAACTAGTTTTGGTTAACCCACAGTTACCAAGTTATTTGTTTTATAACCAACCTCATTCTCTCATATTTTCTAATTTTTGCACTTGCCGGCAAGCCATTCTCTTTTTTTAAATTTCTTTCAAACTCCCCCATTTTCATTCTTTCTAAAGAACGAAGGCGAACGTCAAGCACTTCATTCTTTGGCACAAGAAGAATTTTTGGATGATGGTTCTAGTTTGATTCCTCGTGATAGAGGCGATGCTTCACATGTTTCCAAAGGAAATTTAAAGTTAGTTTTTCTTTAATTTTATTATGAGAAATTTTAAAAACACTGCACCACCACTTTTGCACTTTTAATTTTTATTTATGCTGTTTCCCTCCCATCTAATTACCTTGATGTACATGATGGTCAGTTATTAGCTTGTATTTTTCACTAATTACCAAGGGCGCGTCTACGGAGGCTGAGGGAGCTGAAGGAAATTTGTAAAATTATGCAAGGAAACTGACCATTTTGTACATAAAAAACAATTAGGTGGGGGAGGGAAACGACATAAGTATCTTTAATTACTCAATTTTTTTTGTTTATTAGATTTGTTGCTGGTGTTATTCAACGTGAACGTTTACCAGCCTTTGAACGTCTTCTTTGGCGAGCCTGTAGAGGCAATGTATTTTTGCGACAGGCAGAAATTACCGAACCTTTGAGTGATACAATGACTGGACTAGAAGTTCAAAAGGCTGTCTTTATCATCTTTTTTCAAGGAGATCAATTGAAAAGCAGAGTGAAAAAAATTTGTGAAGGGTATATATTTTTAAATATTTATGTGTCCATCCCTGATGACCTATTGCCCTGAAGACAAAACCTTTGAAAGGGAACTTTGGGGAGTGAGGGTGTATAAATCCTTACTCCCCCAAAGTTGGTACACACAATACCGGACATAGGTTCTAGAATACAGTACTGGGTACTTTTCTTCATAGAGATGGGTATTAATCCCTCGATATTCCCTTTCAAAAGTTGGTCTTCAAGATAAAAAGGGTCATTGGGTCTCAGAGATGACTCCATTTTTATAAAAAAAATTCATTTCTAGTTTTCGTGCAACAATATATCCATGTCCGGATTCTCCTCAAGAACGCAGAGAAATGTCAATTGGTGTCATGACACGTATAGAAGATTTAAAAACTGTTTTGGGACAAACTCAAGATCATCGCCATCGTGTTCTGGTTTTTAATTTTTTTTATTTGTTTTTAATTTTAAAATTTTTTTAAAGGTCGCTGCTGCTCGTAATGTCGCCTATATTCAAGCTCGCCTATATTCAAAGGGACTCTCCCTTCAACATAGGAAAAGACTGATCTGCCCCGACGATCTGCTACCCGAGACTCGGAAAATTTTTCCTATCCCAAACCTGATCCGAAAAATTTCAAGAATCCGAATCTTTCATCCTTGCTTAAAAAAATATAAAAATTTCTTTCTTACACTTCCACGTTTTAATGCCAATTGAATTCGATCAAGTTCAGCAACTGGACACCAACATTCAGCAATTAAACATTTTTGAGTTACGTCCAAATTGAATAAATTTAAAGTGTGATAAATTGCTTTGACTTTTCTAACTTTTGTAAGCCAAGTACGAACATGTCCGGTATTGTGTGTACCAACTTTGGGGGAGTAAGGATTTATACACCCTCACTCCCCAAAGTTCCCTTTCAAAGGTTTTGTCTTCAGGGCAATAGGTCATCAGGGATGGACACATAAATATTTAAAAATATATACCCTTCACAAATTTTTTTCACTCTGCTTTTCAATTGATCTCCTTGAAAAAAGATGATAAAGACAGCCTTTTGAACTTCTAGTCCAGTCATTGTATCACTCAAAGGTTCGGTAATTTCTGCCTGTCGCAAAAATACATTGCCTCTACAGGCTCGCCAAAGAAGACGTTCAAAGGCTGGTAAACGTTCACGTTGAATAACACCAGCAACAAATCTAATAAACAAAAAAAATTGAGTAATTAAAGATACTTATGTCGTTTCCCTCCCCCACCTAATTGTTTTTTATGTACAAAATGGTCAGTTTCCTTGCATAATTTTACAAATTTCCTTCAGCTCCCTCAGCCTCCGTAGACGCGCCCTTGGTAATTAGTGAAAAATACAAGCTAATAACTGACCATCATGTACATCAAGGTAATTAGATGGGAGGGAAACAGCATAAATAAAAATTAAAAGTGCAAAAGTGGTGGTGCAGTGTTTTTAAAATTTCTCATAATAAAATTAAAGAAAAACTAACTTTAAATTTCCTTTGGAAACATGTGAAGCATCGCCTCTATCACGAGGAATCAAACTAGAACCATCATCCAAAAATTCTTCTTGTGCCAAAGAATGAAGTGCTTGACGTTCGCCTTCGTTCTTTAGAAAGAATGAAAATGGGGGAGTTTGAAAGAAATTTAAAAAAAGAGAATGGCTTGCCGGCAAGTGCAAAAATTAGAAAATATGAGAGAATGAGGTTGGTTATAAAACAAATAACTTGGTAACTGTGGGTTAACCAAAACTAGTTTTTGTGGGTATATTTATAGGGACTCATACTGTTCAGATATAAAAACTCATAATGGTCAGATAACACTTTTTCGGATTCATTAAACGGAGAAAGGTCAAGTATGGGTGCTTTGACCATAGTGAGACCATTATATTATGGTCATCAAAAATTGGTTTGGGATAACCCACAAGTACCAAAAAAGATACAATAAATAAGATGTTTTGTTAGTCAATATTTGGACTGTTAATCATCTTAGAAAATTTTAAAAATGAATAAAAACTGCACCACCACGAGACGAAAGAAAAAAATTATCAAAAACTAACCCTAATTTCAAGCGCCCTCTAAATTCAGTCAAATGTCCACCAGATACAAGAAGAGGCTCCAGTTCGTCAAGAGGAGTCTCAATAACTGTTTGTGGCCTTTTGGGTCGAATGGAACCATGAAGACGTCCAAAACTTTTGTGTTCGTATTCGACCTTGATGAGCATATTTTGAGAAAATAAGGAAAAAGAAGGAAAACAATTCAAAAATTGAAAGATGTGAACAAAAAAGAAAGGTACTTTTCCGTTATGACGTAACCCCCTAAATTAATGTTCAAAATGTCATATTTAGGGTAGAAAAAGGTGCCGACTTCATATCGCGAAGTGATGCAAGTTTTTTGTAAAATAACCTTGGGCAGGTATACTCAAACACTCCCAAAAACAGAAACTTTGAACAGCCTTAACTCGACCAAAAGGCATTTTGCAAGAAAACGGACATCACTCCGCAATAGGAAGTCGAAGGTCCTCTATCGATTTGTACCAAAAAATGTATCAAATTTAGTCACAGTAAACGATGTTCCCTTGTGAGTTTGTTAAATTGTCAAAATCGCTTGTTTTGGGGATTTTCTTTTGGTACTTTTCCGTTATGACGTAACCCCCTAAATTAATGTTCAAAATGCATATATAGGGTAGAAAAAGGTGCTGAGTCGAACGGTACCACTCTTTTTCACGGAGATGCCTGTGGACCGAGATATAGGGCTCGAAATGGTCAAAAACCATAGGGGGGAGTGCGCCTCGCCTACGCCACATAGGTTACGTTGACCATTTTGAGCTTGTTAATCTCGTCTCAAAATCAAGATTTCGAGCTGATTTTTTTGGCATTCGACTCAGCTCGAGGAGCCCTTTCGAATAAGCTATCATTCAAAAAATGGAATTTTTCACCCCAAAATTTAGCTTACTCCCCCCTATGGTTTTTGACCATTTCGAGCCCTATATCTCGGTCCACAGACATCTTCGTGAAAAAAGAGTGGTACCGTTCGACTCGGCACCTTTTTCTACCCTAAATATGACATTTTGAACATTAATTTAGGGGGTTACGTCATAACGGAAAAGTACCTTTCTTTTTTGTTCACATCTTTCAATTTTTGAATTGTTTTCCTTCTTTTTCCTTATTTTCTCTAAATATGCTCATCAAGGTCGAATACGAACACAAAAGTTTTGGACGTCTTCATGGTTCCATTCGACCCAAAAGGCCACAAACAGTTATTGAGACTCCTCTTGACGAACTGGAGCCTCTTCTTGTATCTGGTGGACATTTGACTGAATTTAGAGGGCGCTTGAAATTAGGGTTAGTTTTTGATAATTTTTTTCTTTCGTCTCGTGGTGGTGCAGTTTTTATTCATTTTTAAAATTTTCTAAGATGATTAACAGTCCAAATATTGACTAACAAAACATCTTATTTATTGTATCTTTTTTGGTACTTGTGGGTTATCCCAAACCAATTTTTGATGACCATAATATAATGGTCTCACTATGGTCAAAGCACCCATACTTGACCTTTCTCCGTTTAATGAATCCGAAAAAGTGTTATCTGACCATTATGAGTTTTTATATCTGAACAGTATGAGTCCCTATAAATATACCCACAAAAACTAGTTTTGGTTAACCCACAGTTACCAAGTTATTTGTTTTATAACCAACCTCATTCTCTCATATTTTCTAATTTTTGCACTTGCCGGCAAGCCATTCTCTTTTTTTAAATTTCTTTCAAACTCCCCCATTTTCATTCTTTCTAAAGAACGAAGGCGAACGTCAAGCACTTCATTCTTTGGCACAAGAAGAATTTTTGGATGATGGTTCTAGTTTGTTTCCTCGTGATAGAGGCGATGCTTCACATGTTTCCAAAGGAAATTTAAAGTTAGTTTTTCTTTAATTTTATTATGAGAAATTTTAAAAACACTGCACCACCACTTTTGCACTTTTAATTTTTATTTATGCTGT